TTATGTAGAGTTGCAGGAGGAACACAGCGACTTATTCGTTTAATAGATCCAATACCAGAAGAGATTTTTTTAGATATAGCGTTGATATGATTACTCCATGTTAGATTTTCATCAATTAATACACCAAGAGACTTGGTAAAATCGACTCTGTTTAATTGTGTGCCATTAATTTCTAAGTTTGGGAGAACGGATAGACTATTCAATTTTTGTCTTGATCCGATTAACATAAATTCAGTTTTAGTCATTTTGAGAGTCAATTTATTGGCAATGAGCCAATTGTTTATATTTAACAAGTCCTGATTTAAAGAAGCCTCAAGGGAGCAGATGTCATTGTCAGCATATGTTAGGTGAGTATCATCCGCGTACATTCTTGGTTGCGAGTTAGATAAACAATTAGGTAAGACATTAATGTATAAGAGAAACAGCAAAGGCCCCAGTATTGTCCCCTGGGGAATCCCAGAAGTTAAAGTGCAGCTTTTAGAAAGGACGCCATTGACAGAACATTTTTGCGTACGATTTTCTAAGTAAGAAGAAAGCAATTTATAGGCAATTCCTTTGACTCCATATAAACATAGTTTGGATAATAGAATAGAGTGATCGACTGTGTCAGATGCCTTTTTAGATCTAAAAAGACAACAGCGTTAACATAGCCACGATCTATGTTAAAGGCCCAATTACCAGTGGCGTCGAGCAAAGCGGTTACAATTGAGTGAAAGGATCGAAAACCAGACTGACATTTTGACAAAATATAATTTTCGGATAAATAGGAAGAAAGCTGATTATAAACTATTCTCTCGAAGACTTTTGCTATTGCTGAGATCACAGAAATTGGGCGATAATTGTTCATATCACTTCTATCGCCCTGCTTGAATATAGGCGTAACTTTGGCTAATTTCCAGTCATCAGGGAATGTGCCGGTAGTTAAACAGCAATTAAAAATAATCGAGATATATGGTGAAATAAGGTCAGCACATTCACCAATAAGCCGACTTGATAGCTTATCAAGACCAGCCCCTTTAGACTTATTTAGTTTATTCAGTAGCTTTAAAACCTGTCCACTATCAGTAGGGCGGAACTCGAATCTATTGTTAATGCCTTTGACATATTTCCGATGGCAGTGGTCATTGTTATTAAATAATGAGATGTCATTAGCAAGTTTAGGTCCTATTGATGAGAAATGATCATTGAAAGCATTCGACGGGTCGGATGGTTCAGATATAGAAGTACCATTTAGATTTATTTCTCTAATCGATAAATTAGCGGCTTTGTGAGATGTAAGATCGTGGATGATTTGCCACGTTTTACGCGGGTCGCCATTAGTTTCAGTAAACTTATTGTTGTAAAATAACTCTTTAGCAGCTTTAATTTCAGTATTAACTTTGTTACGCATTCTTTTGAAATTGGCCCATTCGTGCGGATCATTCGACTTGATTGCTTTGATCTTTAATGTGTCACGATTATGCATGCATTCTTTCAAATCAGCAGTAATTCACGGAGAATTTTTAGATCTAACGCGCTTAATTCGAATTGGAGCATGTTTGTCAACAATCTGTAAAAATTTGGTTTTCCACTCTGTCCACATTTGGTTGGGATCAAGAGCTGGAGCCAAAAATTCCCAGTTCTCATTGCAAATATCGTTACGAAATTTGGCACAAACAAGACTGTGATCACTAATACTGATATGGGCGACTCCAGAGCAGACTACCTTCTCAGGACAATTTGTATAAATTAAATCAATCAGAGTGGATGATTTATCTGTTATCCGAGTAGGATCAGAAATGAGTTGGTGGAGGCCATAAATATCAGCAATATTTATTAGCTGACGGACATTGTTGTCGTAATTGGTTGAGGCCATATCGGCATTCATATCACCAAGTAGGAAAAATTCAAGATTTGTTAGGTCAAGTCTTGCAATAAGATTTTCCAAATGTGAGAATAGCCCAATTGGAGAGTTAGGAGGCCTATACCAATTGACAACAATAAAAGGTTTAGAGGTCGGCTTGCGAATTTCGATACACAGGTTTTCAAGCTCGTCAACATTGAGATCCGTCCGCACGGAGAAATTTATTGTTGATTTAATATAAAAGCATATACCTCCGCCACCATCGCTAAGCCTATCTCTTCGAATTAATTCGTAGCCACAGATATAAAAATCAGAGTTATTATTAGACACGTCTAGTTTAGTTTCCTGAATAGCAAGAACATCTAGGCACTTATCGGCAAGCAAAATTCTAATTTCATCAATATGCGTGGAGAGTTTGTTAACATTTAGTGAAGCTAACTTAAATCCTCGTTTTGAAGGAATGTGATTGTTAATAATGGATCTCTGCTGATCCAAAATTGATTGAGTCGATATGCAATTATTGTAGCTATTGATATGAGATTCATAACAATCAAGACGATCGGCATTCGAGGAAACAGTTCAATGATGATTAGCTTCCTTGGCTGCTAAACATGATGCAAAGTTTTTATTTAATAGTTCGTTACCTTGTTTGGTTAAATGTAAACCACCTCTGTTTAAGACTTTCTCCGTGATGTTGGAGTGGCGAACCAAAGACCATTGATGCTGCTTGGAATATTTAATGAGGAGCTTGTTAACAGATTTTACTGATTCTTTGTGGGCATCTTTGCGCGTAGTTAACTCAGATAATCCAACCTCGGCTCCACAGGTAAATTGAATGGTCTTGGCAAGATCCACAATAGCGTTTGTAATATCATCTGGTGCCTTGGATTTTAAATCATTGGTCCCGATATGTAAACAAATCCTATCTGGAGCATTATCGATCGTTGGCTGGATATAAGACTTCATGTCTTGTGTCGTGGCTCCGCTAAAAGACTTCACTACAACTCGTTGGTTGGTAGAGACGATGAGCCTATTAAAGGCTCCTGGCATTTCTGTTTTTTTTTCCTTGTAGCTTTGAGAACAGTCAGGCATTGAAAGCGGTAACAAAATAGTGATCCTTTTTTGGTTATGTTTAAAGAACACTTTACATTATTATTATTATTATTATTATTATTATTATTATTATTATTAGAATAATAACAATATTATTCCAAAGTAGGTTGAGTTTGATTGTCCGGGTGAACGGATCAAACTCAACCTACTTTTGAAAGACTCCTGGGTTCAAACGTTTCACAACAATATTATTATCATTATTATTGTTGTTGTTGTTCAATCTCGTCCCCAGGGCGCTTTTTTAGCCCGGGAAAAGCGCCCTGGGGACGAGGATAGTTGTTGTTGTTTTCTTGATCTCCCCGGCTAAGTCGATAAAAGAGCTCACTGTTTACTAACCATAATCGCCACCAGCCTTTAATGTCCAGGTTCCTCTTGGATCCTCGCCCCAGTGATGAAGAGTCAAAATATTCCAGTTTGTAAGGTTAGTGGAGACGCTTTTAAATCTATCGAACGGCCGGTGCTGAGTAAGACGAGACACTGTTCCATTTGGCGACTTTAAGGACAGTAGCAAGTCTCCTCTGGGCCAAATTTGGAGGTTGACTCTAACAAGAACATGTTCCAGAAAACCAATTCGTTCCTTGCAGGAGTTATGCAAAATCTCGATTTTAGATGTAAGGGGCCTAAGAGAGAAGCAGTGAGAGAACAGTGTTTGCGTAATGACTTAAATGTCTGGTCCAGGGCACCCCTGCTTCCCCCCCCCCCCCCCCCTCCCCCCCTGTGAGATGATTCTTTCAAGTCCCTATCATTCAGGTGGCGAAAACTCGCAAATCCGAAGAATCTACAAGCAATAAATCTTTTCCAGCTATTTTGTAGCCTTCCTTATTTTCCAGTAAAACACTCGTGTCTATATAATAAATATATATATTTTATTATATTTCTTTTTAACTCCTAGGCACCCAGGTTACGCTGTGCGCCCTGTGTAGCTTTTTCACCTTTTAGCATCCAGTTGATAACTCGGCATAATAATAATAACTAACAAATTATAAATTAACCAAAAACTAACGTACTTGACGTAGCTGCCTAGGTATTTTTGCACTTCACAATGCATTTGTTTCGGTACATTCTTCCATTTCCTTGCAAAGTTGACCATTTGAAGTGCGTCCATTAGCCCAAATCCCAAATAATTGCTTACTACAAAGTAAGAGAAAATAGAAGAGATACACAGTCTAAAATAACTAAAACGAACGAAGGCAAAACCAGAAACGAAAGCTTTTCATATGACAAGCAATCCTCAAGGCTGAATGGGTCACTCCGGTTTCGCTGTATCTACCGTCAGGATTATCAGTAAGGGCTGTTCTGGCGGAAGCAGTCTTTGGTCATTTTTTTCCAGCTTCCCGTGAAACATCGGACAGTTAAGGTGGCTCGATGGGGTTTTTCAGGGTCAATACCTCTTGAGTTTGAGCATTAACTAAGTCGCCATTAACAATGATTTGGAAAAATTACCAACACAGCTGTATTAGATAAAGAAAAAAAAATATTATGATCAAGGTTACAATGACATTGGAGTAGTCATAGCAACGAAATGACGCCACTACCTATTTTACTTGCAGCCGTATTTCTCGGCACTGGGATGTGTTCTTTCAAAATTGTTCAAGGGACATTTTTCCTCGAAGAGCCGCCTCGATCTATCAGAGCGTTATCAAGATATTGTGGGAGTGAATTTTTTTATGAATACAAATAAGTTAAAACTTAGCTTAGACAATCTTGAGTTTGGCCGTTATCTGTAAAAGAAACGAAGCGCTTTTGAAATGCAGTCTCATCTCATAGTAGTTTCAATCTTTTTAAGAACCTGTGTGAAAGATAATGAAAATAGCTCCAGCCGATTCCCAGACAGAAGGATTTGATTAATATGTATCGAAGCGCTCTTGTTAGCGGTTTGTAAACAACAGTTTTAGTCTTAAAGCGAATAATTTTGAAACCGCTCGATAGATTTTTCAGATTCTCGAGAATAACCGTCGCCTTATACGACCTTTGAGCTTCAAGATGATTCATATATTGTAATTTTACTAATTGTAATTCTATTGAGTATTTTTTTTGTAAAATACGGGCTACAATTCGCTAACTTTTTGCCGAAATTTGGTGTTTAAAAGCTAGAGCCTCTCAGTATTCAGGGGTATTGTTTCTAGCCTGCGAAAACAGCCGTTTCTTCACGCTCCTCGCCGCTTGGGACGTTTCGCGAGGAGGAACGTCTGCGACTCAGCGACAGAAATTCCACATTGAGGACGTATATTAACGTTTACATAATAAATCTGGTAGTTATGAGGTTCCAAGAGCAAATTTGACCAATTTAACGTTTCTCCTGGTCGATTTTGGTAAAGTGTTGTGTTCATTTGCGAACGAGATCCAGCAAAACTCGAACGCTTCTTCTAGAGAAGAATATATTCCACAAATATTGACTGTTTTGGTATAGATTCATCGCGTCTATATTTGACCTTTGTAGCCCTTTGTCTTGTGTCTGTCATTCCTAAACTATGGCTAGAACAATATAACTGCTCCGACGTCCAATCAGCGCTTATGACCGGATTCCGAATTTTACGTCAACAGTATGGAATTTCTGTCGCTAAGTCGCAGACGTTCCTCCTCGCGAAACGTCCTCCAGCGGCTATGAGCGAGGAGAAACGTCTGTTTTCGCAGGCTATATAGTCTCCAAGTTTCATATTTTCGTGGACAACAATACCTAACATTTCTGTATATTTTAAATTCATTGTTAGTTACCGCTGTTCGCGTGAACATACAACCTGTAAAGGTCTTTTGTTCACCTGTTATCAAAGTTTTTCCATGAAAAAAGCGGAGTAAAAAGTATAGAAAGAAAGAGCTAGCCTCTTAATTTTCTTTTATATAGCGAAGTTATTGGGCGAGAGGAATTCACCTTTACTTCAGGCAATAGCTAGTCTGGTATTCTTAAAGTCCTTAATTTTTGTCTTACATTTTGCGGGCAAGAGAAGAAGGCCGAAAGCTTGGCCAGGTACACCAGCTAACAGCTTCAAAAAATAAATAAGATTGCTGGAGGATTCTTTCTGACGAGTTTGCAGTTTAAAGCTTCGGATTTCTGCTCTTGTATGATTTCCTAATAAAAATTAACAGAATTCCTTAAATGTTGAAAATGCTTTGTTGTTGTCAAAATCCAACGCTTCATCAAACGTCAGAAGGTCCCGAAAGCGTTTCGTTTCCCCCAAAATTATGCCATATGATATTGATCACTCACTAACTTTACTAGATCGGAAGCATTTTAAAAACAGATGGAATCAAAAAAGCACTGAAAAATGTTATTCTATAACTGTTTTGATGAAGAACAAAGTCCCTCCTTCGTTCCATTCAATCTACCATGAAATGAGAAAGTCCTTAAATCCACCAAAAGGTAAAAATTACATTTGAACCGTTAGCTTTTCTTTATTGTTAAGGCCAATTAGAAGAAAATAATTTCTTTACGGATTATTAAGGACATAAAATATAACAAAAGAATGTTGTGATATTAAGAAACGCGGCAAACAGTCAGCCACATTCAATAATAAATTTGTTAACTCTTTTGTTTCCTCTAACCTTTCAGCCCAGCGCCATTTTCAACCATATCAGGCGGATTCCTTCCAGCAAACCTTGAACTTCTAACAATGATGTGTTGAACGTCGCGCCACGTCAATTTTTTACTGAAACAAAAAAAAAATCACTGCTTTTACTAAGGGCGCATGCATACTTGCGTTAATTTTTTTGTACATTTTCCATTGTTGCTCGGTATCTAATAGCATTATCCTTATAATTTTATCTTGAAAGAATCCTGTGAAAGACAGAATCCACTTCATTATAAAGGCGTCCGGTGCGGATGTGTCTCGCCGAGCTTTAGTTCGACTCTCACGCATAAAAAACAAGGGCTACTTATTTAAACGTACCTATATTTACTCGAGATTGAGGCTAAGGCCCAGTTTATTGTCAAGGGTCACCTGCCTGGCCAAGCTACCCTGGGCGAGCCCGCCCAGCCGGGTCACTCTTTTGTGATGTTAAGGTCATCACCCACGCAGCCGCACCAACTCTTCTCCATATAAAAACCTTGGCTCACCAAGCCGGAACAACTCAATCAAGGTGAGACAGTCATGTGCGAGCGCTGTTCGTTCGAGCAAAGGAATCAACCTTTTTCTCACATAAAGGTTCGCTAACGTTGACTCGGCTTGGAGGGTGACCCTTCTACTCGGGCTTGTTTTCGCCATATGAACATGTAAACATGCGTCTTTGCTGCTTTCATTCAGGGTCCATGTTTTACTCGAAACTGGACTGTTAGGCCCCGGTTCATACGCCGTACCTCGTATGACCCGAATGGAATTTGAATTTAGTCAGACTCAAACTAATTTAAGAGCCGGCTGAATTGATTCAGATGCCGTAGTTCACATGAACTTCATTCATTGAATTCAGATGCATGTAACTAAAACGAGGAAAAATGAGCAGGGAACGAGTACTGGGAACAGGAAAATGAAAAGTGGGAATAAATTGCGGGAATTGGAAATGAAGTTCCTGATAGGGCTAGGGTTCAAGTTGGGATTTGTTCCAATTTTTAATTTCCCCGTTCCTTCCCGTACTCGTTCCCCGCTCCCCGTTCCCCATATCAGTAACATTCAATTCAGTTCGGGTCATGTGAAGTGGGGCGTCTGAATGGGGCCTAATTAGAGAGCTTGAGCAGCCACCACGAAGATGGCAGTAAGGAAGTCAAAGAAAAATTATGAGTAAGACAACTCTGCACGTGCATGATGCTTAGCTTTTTGTTGTATTTCTTTCACTTCCACAGCGCGTCCACTGAGTAACTTCCTACTTAATGTGACGGTTTTACGGAAGACATGAATACTAGATGTGGAGCTTTCATTCCTATTTTGAGATTGAATATAGTGTTTTAGAGTTCAGCTCCAAGAAAGTTCCCATACATTTGACAAATTGAGAGAGGATAAATAACCGCGATGAAATTTTATAAAAAGAACACAAGTATTTTTTTAGTGACGTTTTAACTGCCGTTGTCCTCATGGTTGCTTAAGCTTCCTATTACCGGTTGTTATCTTTGCTACTTTTGAAGTAATCCGTTTATACACTTAGTCATACTTGGCCTCAAGGGTGAGTGCGATCAATCCTGACGCCATTGCATTCGCGGCAGAGCTTCCACCAAAATAGTATTCACATTTCCCATTCTGACCAGCGGTAACCTGCAACGAATTGTTATTAACAAAGAAGTGCGATTAATACCTCTTGTTAGCCGACTTCAAGTTTGAGATCTGTACAGTGACTCAAAGACCGAGTTTATTTATTTATTTATTTTTTTTGGTCTATGGCCCAAGCGGGAAGCACGCAGGCCATAAATCGATAGGAAAAAAAGCGACGGTCCGTAATTTACAGTACGGACCAGAAAAACAAGGCTTACAACACGCGATATAATAAATATTTTATTACTAACGCTTAGTAATAAGATATTTATTTTATCGCGTCCTGTTCGGGGTACCGGATAGAAAGTGCAGGTCAAGCGATTTGGCGGTCATTTGACAGGCATCAGAAAGTGAAAGTTTTCATTGGCCCAAGAAAACAATAGCACAAACTGAACGCTTTGAAAGTACCACTGTAAGTTTTAGCTACCTTATGTGACGTTGGAGTCTTTTGAAAAGTAAACACTGTGTCTGGCTCGAAATTGCTTCCATCTTTCCTTCGTTGGTCTTTGAGAAAAAAAAAAGCTACAGGGACTCGTTTCTCGAAAGTCCCGGTAACGAAATATAAAGTATAAGGGCGCGGATCCTGGCTAGCAAATTACTCCATTTTGTTTCATTAACTGATGGTTTTATCATGTTAGATGCAAAACTATTGAAACCTCTGTCTTGCATGTAAACAACGACATCTTTACGGGCCCGTTAATTATCGGGGCTTTTGAGAAACGGGCCCCCGGTGACTAAAAGCTTGTCAAGATCAGGTGCAGGCACGTTTGTTAGTCGACGGAACCGCCCGTTTTTCTCTAGCAAAACATCTCGGCTCTCTGCCAGTCCGGTGTCGTCTTCTAACTGTGTCTTGCGATTTTTGACCGGACTGGAATCCTCTTCTTTGCTAAAATTACGATTCAGTTTCTTCGTACGCTTCGCTCTCAAATAAACGCGTATTAGCAAATACGTATTAGAAAACCGAAGTTAACACCCTAGACCTTAGGGTTTACAGACACTAATACTCTCCACCTTATTTTCGAGATAAACAGATTTCGAGCTGCAAAATAAGTATTAGCTTTTGACATTTTGGTCCGTATAGCTTTCGTTATATAGACCACCTGACCAATCACAGGGCGAAAGCAGACTTAGTCATATAATAATTCCATTTACGGCAACAGAAAATGAGCGTTTTTGTGTTTTCAAAACTCTTGTTCAAAAGAACAAAAAATTCAAGAAGTTGGATATGTTAAAGAACCGAAACCGAAATAAATTCTACAGACAGTAGTTCCAACATACGTCAAAGAATTGTGGTCCCTTAACCCTTAAGGAACTTGCTGTATTTTCAAGATTGAAATCCTGACTTACCACGGGGTTTTTATCTCCAAATGAGTCTCTGCTATAAGCAACCGCCATTATGCCAGGGCAGCGTTCTCCATAATAAGGCACTGATCCGTCTCTATTGACACTCGAGATAGCAATAGTATAAATACTGTTGACATAACCATTGTACGCACAGCTGTCTTTTGCTAATATTCCACCGTTACCAGCCGCAAACACAAATATAGATCCTCTTTTTTTACGTCCCTATAGAATAATGCACATTTATCGGCTGTAAATACCATAGTGATGTCACTTTAGTGTAAAACGCTCGACTGCAACACAAGCGTATTACTCCAAACATGCCCGTAAAGAAGTGAAAAGATTGTGTAAAAGTTTAAAGTAACTTAAGTTCAGTATAATTTGTAGAGTTTAAGCACCAGGTTTAAGGCAACGACGACAAATGGCGGAGATAGATACGTGATAAACTGAATTTTCTTTGACATTTTTCACCTTCGCCGTTTGTCGTTTGCCTTGAAGAGTTGACTTAAAACGTCAGTAAAATCTTATTTATTTATTTATTTATTTATTGTTAGCTGTCGCATTCATAAGGGATCGTACAACTGTATGCTTCAATACAACGTTTGCCATAAAAGGACTGTTAAGAAAAGAAAACCGACTTTCTATGAATACTGTAAACTGAGATATATATACGTCGAGCTTTAGGACAAGACGCAGTGATTCTCGATGGCAAACGGAAAGCAACCGCTTGCCGTTTGCCGTAAACGTGACGCTTAAAAGCTCTCTATCATAAGAAGAACAAAGCACATTGTCATCTTGCCTCTTTCGCTCCTTCCTCAAGTGTGGCTTGAGTTGCCCTGCCTGGTCCTTTTACTAGAAAACCTCTATCATCAGGCCCCCAGCTGTTGGAGTATATATCAATGTAGTCGCGGTTAAACATTAGAGCCTTTGCTTCCTTCATATCAGTTGCCATTTCGTCCTTGAATAAGCGAATTCCTAAAAGCATTTAAATATAAAGTTCCAAGCTTGTTTTAGGACTAGATTGACCGGGGAAACTGCATGAGGTTTTGATAATTTGTATGAAAGATGTGGTCGTTTACGTTAAAAGCTAAAAGGAATTTCTTCATTGGAATTAAGACTGTCATTATGGCGCAAACGTACTGAAATAAATCAAATATTAACCAACAATGCAGAGTCGTTGTAAACTAAAAACAAGAAAATCTTAAGTCTCTGTTTTAAAACAAGGCTAATTGCGAAACCTCATTAGATATAGAGGAAAATACATAATTCTACTGAAACTAATCCAACCGACATTTTGACCAAAATCATTATAGAATGTTCAAAGACAATATTATAAAATCTAGGCGAACTAGGGAGAAACTAATGATTTAGGTCTTTCCAGCACCTATAACACAGTCAGACGTAATTCACATTTACCCAGAGATCAGGCCACGTTCTGGTGATTTAGAATCCAATGACGCGATAGCAACGAGAACGCCGCTTAAAAAGTGAATTTACATTGTTTCAGTCTTTATCGCGATTATTCCTACCCACTTGCTTTGTCAAATGTACGCGAACCCTCCTGACTAAATAATGAAAATGAGCCTTACTATCCCGACGCGGTTAGTAAAAATTTCTGTCATTGAAAATCTTACACCTGTTTCTTTTTTGCACACCGTGATTGTGTTTTATCTCGATCAATATATTGTTCTAAAAGATACGCTGACAGCATAATCGAACAGGACGAAAAACGCGCATTTCACAGAATTCAAGGTAACGAGGCCTTTTTGGGATGGGCAGATCTGGACACAGCCTAAATATATATCTTTTGAATTCCAAGGGACCATATCAAAGTTCAGAAAGCGAAATAAAATTTCGTCGTTGCTTGTTTAAGGTGATGTTAAACGAGACGATTCGCAACGACGATTTTTAGCGCAACACAGCGTTCTCCAACATTTTTTGAATAGTTACAACATTGTTCCAACATTGCCACGCTGTGTTGCGCTAAAAATTGTCGTTGCAAATCGTCCCGTGTAACATCACCATTACGTTCTCCATAAAACACGAAATTAGGCATTTTCACGTCGTAGTCGTGCAAACACGACTAAAAGAAATGTACAACAAAGCGTGATGCACGTGCAAAGTTGTTGTTTTGCTTATTAAGGGTGCGTTTCTGTACCAAAATCCACATCCGAATTTTAGTCCGAAAACGGATCTTTCGTTTCTTTACTAAAATCCAAAAACGGGTTATTGATCCAAATGATCCTCAACGGAGGTGGATTCTTTGGATCATATCCAAAACCGGATACTTTGGATACATAGTCCGAAGAGCTTCTTTCCTACGGATCCGAAAAGAGTGAACACTGCCAGCGGTGACTCGAAACAATTTTAATGCATACATCAGCTGTTTGACTACACTGCTCATCTCAGTCCGGTCATTTTTTAACCCGAGCAGGAATTAAACGATCCGTTTTACACGTTTTATCGGAGTGGTAAAATGGCAATGCAATCAGAACCTGCATTGTTCTAGTTCACAAGGACAAAACTACTACACAACTTCGCCGGCGTGTCTTGCAAGACTTTATTTTTCGAGTACATATCTTATTGCAAGATTCGTCTTCATTTGTCCCGTCCAAACTAGTATCCTTGAGATAATCGTCAGAATACAATGAAAGATCAGCAAACTTGCAACACTGTTAGTAACCGTGGATAATGTGGGTCGTTTCTAAAATCCTAATGATCCGGATTTTTGATCTGATCTTGGATTTTAGTAATGAAACGCACCCTTTTTAAACCTATCGTTTTCTAGCCGTTCTCCTCGCCGTCGCGTCGTTGAATCTTTAAGTCCCTAATTTCAGAGAGGGGGGAGCCGGGGCACGATAGAAGAAAGAAAACTGAAAAGGAAAGGAAACGTTAAAAAAAAAGGATTTATCTCAACTGCGATCTCTCTAGAAGAAAACGGTTTTACATTTCTCCTTAACTTTACGGTTTGTTTGTTACTGTTAGCCTTGCGCATTTAAAAGATTGCCTGGATTAATACTTTAGTAGACTGCAAAACAGTCGGGTTTTTTTTTTCAAGTTTCTTTTTTTTTTTCTAAAAATCGGTTTAGCGCAGCTTAATCTTCGGTTTGGCTGCTCGCACGTACTTGAATACGCAAAAATATGAACTGTTTTGCACTCCAATAGGTTAGTGCTCTTTTCAGCGGGCGTACAGATGTAGATCGAGTTATGAAGAACGTCGTTGGAAATCACAAGCAGACTAAAGGCGTGTGTTTGGTCAGAAAGGCCATCTTCTATCTTTTCACCATGGTGGCTGCTCTCATTACGATAGACCAGCAGAAACGTGTTTTACTACTGTGACTGAGGCCATGAAAAAGTAAGAGAACGAAATGTTAGTGAGTTTACGCAACAGGACGGGAGGAAGAAGAGGACGGCAAAACACTTGTGTGTGACAGGGCTATTACTTGCTTATCTTGTCGTTATATTCACTTAACACCAAATAAACAATGCTTTCTGGTCCTCTACAGAAAGATCTGTTTAAAGGAAAGTGAAGCCACGGTTTGGCGAAAAGTTGATTCAAACAAAATTATCGTCACGCTTGTCACGTAAGGGTTGCCGTCTTCTTTTCTCTCCCGTCATGTTGCGTAAGTTCACTATTCTTACCTCCTATCCTTGCGTTGTAAGCCAAGCCAACGCCGCAAAATCCATTATTTCCTTTTGCAGCAATTATCCCGGCACACTTTGAGCCATGCCTAATGGTTAAAACAAGTTGAGTTAAAAAAGTCCCAAGTCATGTGCAGATTGAGATTAGGCCCACAAGAAAAGAGGTACTTAGGTTTCTCACGATAATTGCTTAAGAGAGTGTTAATCACTAACTCCAGAGGATGCCAGCATTAGCGGTAAACTCATACCTCCAGTCCACAGAGGTAAAATGGGATGGTTATAACCTCCACTTGAATTATGCTAATGAAAAAAAGAGGGACTGGCAAAATATGGCTTTTAAAATTACTCTGGAAAATAATTTATATTGGTAGAGGTAGACTAGCCGTATCCACAGTCCTTATTTACTTGCAAGGCTGAGAAGTTCACCCGGGAACCTAGAAATACTTACTTACCCAGACATAACGTAACTGCTACGCGGTTCAGGATGAGAATCGCCATCAACGAAATCCTTACTGGCTTTTTTATCCTACGAAAAGCAGAAGGTATTAATGAACTAGCTAAGGAATTTATAACTAAAGTATTTCTTCCTTTTCTTTTCCTTCCTTTAAGGGACACAAACACATTGTGTGAATGTAACTGGAGTATTTTGTTCTCAGAACAATATCCATGACTGCATATTGAATACAGAAACAGATCTTAAGTAGTCCTTCGCACACATGCGTACAAAAGCAACTACAAGCTAAAACGCAGCTTTTTACTGACACTCACGTAATTCTCGCGCAGCTCTGGGTGGTTCGTGTTTAGTCCTTCGTCGACCACGGCCACAACTATTCCAGCTCCGGTATAGTTCATTGCCCAGACCTCTTTAACATTGTAGTTATTCTCCGTAGTTGCATTCTGACAAGTTCATGACAAAAAATGCATGGCTTTATTGATTCATTAGACCACAATTCACTGGTTTGAGTCAACATCTTTTCTAGAACCTTTTGGTCAACTTTATTCATTTATTTATTTACTCAGGTTTGCAAATTTTGGCAGATTCACCGCAACGGGGCATGACCTCAATTACTGCGGGCAAGTAACAGTATCTTCGCCCATTATAGATGGACCACACTTACGGGGTTTACGCGACCTGCTCTTCTCGAACAGCAGTGTGGGTTCTTTACGTCCCCTTACAATTAATAAGGAAGGATGAAGGAGACAAGGCTTAACGTCACCTCTCAATGACGAGATCATCTGAACTGAGACAAGATCTTGAATCACAGTCAACCAGTAAAGACCCTGGTTGTTGTTCCGGGCGGGGTTTGACACCACGTCTTCCCGATCGGCTGACTGGCACTATCTACACTGAGCTATCCGGGCGGATGTGTGGATTGAGCTATACACAATCGAACATTAAGGGACACGATCTTAAAAATGGTCACTTTATTGTCCTGGTGGACACACTGATCCAGTTCTTAAACGGCTTAAGTCTCAAGAGTGACCAACATCAATTTTCTCCAGTGAAGGGCTAAGGGACTGGCGAAATTTGGCGTTTGCTATAACAAGGTTTCATTATATCGAGGTTCTTTGTCATACATTTTACTATTACTGGGGTAAGGACAGGGTAAGGAAAATCATTTGTTAGACATGTACCTAGGACTTATAGAGGTTTATTGCATGTTATGTCTATCGAGGACCTTCTACTATACGTTGTATGCTAATTTTTATTCTCATACTCGACTTGATAATGACCAAAGCATGATCCACACGTCATTGTAAATTTTTGCCATTTATTTTTACCTTAAATATTATTGTTTTAAAACACCCTCGCTGAAAAGAGATCATAAGGCATTGCTTTAATGACTTATGACTTCTATAACTTACTATGTACCACTGCAAACCGATGCTTGGATCATCAAACTGCACATTGAGGTTAGAATATAACTGATAAGATTTTAAGGTCTGTTGCTCCAACCAGAGTACCTGAGAAAGGATTGAAAACAAACAAATAATTAAGAAACAAACAAACAAAAAGAAAAGGAAAGAACAAAGAAAGAAAAACAGACACAAAAAGAAAAAAAGTAGCAACAAGAATAGAAAGGAAGAAAAAGTAAAAAAGGAAAGAAAAAGGAATATAGACATTCAGAAAGAGTCTGAGGAGAAACAATGACAATGAATAAATGAATGAATGAATGAATGAACAAATGAAGGGACAAACAAACCAACAGGCAAACAGATGAATGAAAAAAGGAATGAATGAATGAATAAGAGAAAGAAAGAAGGAAGGAAGAAAGGTAGGAAAGAAATAAGAAAGAAATGTGATCAAATGAGTAAGTGTAGCTTAAAATAACTACAAGTATGTGGACTATGTGTCTGTACAAAGTATTACAACTTTCAAGCCCTGGCAAAATGGGCGCAACATTTTTGGCCAACAACTCTTAACAGTTGTTGCATCCATTTGCAGTTAGCTAAAGGTTTGACTGGTTTCAAACTTTGAACAACAATTCCCAACAACATGCAACAGGGTGTGCAATTGGACAAAACATGTAACATCCAACAATGTTGGGAGCTGTTGGCAAACAATGTTGCATCCATTTGCAGGGGGTTTAGCATAAGATTAGTTTATTAGTGACAATATTAATAATGGTAGCAACAAACTCATTGTTTAAGTTATACAAAATCATTTAATTCTAACCTGGTCTTCACTCAACAGGTTTTCACTCAAATGACTGCTTGGTGTTGATGAATGCTCATGTACCACATCACAACGGAAACTGAAATATGTGGAGACAACCTGAATATAAAGACACAGAAATCAAGATAATTGATTAAAATGTGTAAAGTTCTGTTAATGACTGGATTTTAAGGTAGTGTTGGTTCTAACAAAATTTTTGAAAGACCATGAGAGGCAGAGATGGTTCAGTCACCTTTGGTTGCTGGGCCAGTGGCAATAATTATCTAGGATGGTTAACATTTCCATAATAGCCATTTTTGGCATGTTTTCTCTGCTTTAGACTGTCTGTTTAGCTATATCATTAACAAACAAAACATCAAAACAAAAGACATACAAAAGAACATGATCGGAATTAATAACGCTTATTTTGGACTTTTTCTGTGGGTGTAAGGAATTCGACAAAAATTATGGTAAAATAGGGCAACAAAATTTTGCATACTCACATATGCATTAAATCAAAGTTATTTTTTGTTTGTTTTTTTGTTAACTCATAAGTGAATTGCTATCATGCATTACAATTTACTAAACTGACTTGGAAAAAGGCAAGTTTACATTGAAAGCACAAATAGACAAAATTAAGACTAACAAAATATTACTATTTCAATTCAACCAGTGTGTTTCATACAATGTATGTACATGCTAGCATGAAAATCAGCATGATGGCTTTAGGTTTTCGTATTAAAATTCCCAAACCATTTCACATACTCATATCCATTTTAATTTCATCACTAAGCTTACCCATGTTAAAATGGCGAGGAAAGATAAATCATTTTGCCAACTTTGTCTACAACCAAGGTGTCACAGAGGAAACCTTCAGTACATACAAGCTGCAAGTCATGTATTTATCCCACAATAGCACATGCAACACCTATGCAGCATGTTGTCACTCTCTGAGTAGGTGTACAAGTAAGTCATCAATTTCTTCATGTAAAGCATATTTCCCTACTTTGAAAACGCCTTATTACCATGTATGTTTTAGTTGAGGAAAACGAGAATCGAGAATTCCATTGATGGAAAATCTGGCCGCGCAAATTTACATGTGTGCGTGACCACGCGCATTGTGTGACTAAAATCACTTGAAACGCCGTTCACTTTTTCGTGTTTTTCTGTATGATCATTGAGATCGAGCACTTACTGTCATGGAAGGTCATCTTGCTTTCAAGTGTAATTGTAGCAAAGGAGAGAGTCCCACATCCACTGATAAGGCGGGAGGCGGGAATCCCTCGGTAAATTGATTTGAACAAAAATTAAAGATGGCTACCCGTTTCACGATTAAGGTAATAGATTTTCGATTTAAGATTAAACGCTCGCTTTCGACCATCTGATCATGTCTAATGGGAAAAACAGAGGACTACAGACAGCCTACCACTCGACATTTTCATAAAAAAGAAGCACAGTGCAAGGTACAGAATCACCACTACGTCGGTTTGCAAGAGAGCTTGAGTGAGTCGTACATGTACTTGGGGATTGGTACCCAGCCAGAGAAACGAACGGGATTATGGGTCAAAAAAAATGGCGGGCGTTTTAACTATTAATTTAATAACCGGTCAGTATAAAAGATGGACTGCGGACTGCGGACTGCGGACCACGGACTGCGGACTGGGTATAAAATACGGACTAGGTATAAAACGCGGACTCCGGACTGAGTATAAAACACGGACTAGGTATAAAACGCGGACTACGGACTATGTATATAAAAACAGCTTTAGAAGGTAAAACTGAGAGAAATAGAAAGCGGACTAGCAAAAACAGTAGTCCCAGCTTTAACGCTGTTCACGTAGTCTATTCTTCCCATGGAGAAGGAAGGTTATGCCGGTACTCAAGGCAACTGAAATTAAACTCTGAATTTTATGAAAAGAAGGAGTTTGAAGAGATTTCAATTTGCAGTTTTACACCAATAAGAAGCACCGAATTAAAAAAAAAAATAGTATTGGTATTAGTCAGATCAGTAAAATTCTTAGCGGACGCCACAATTCCGTTTCAAATAAAGCCTTGGGAATATGAGGACTGAATGAAGAACTCAGACGAGAAGGTCAATGCGATGCACAAAGCAGTATTTAGGTGCAAGGGATTACTCACATACGTGAATAATAACCGAAATGCGTCATTCAACGTTATATTCTAAGTGATGATTATGATGACATGATTTACACCCTGCTCCTGATCCCCGGAAGGGGGTACTACTGGGAATTCTTCGTTGGGGTGTAGTACCCGGTTCCCCGAATCCTGACCTTATTGCAGACCAAAAAATTGTCATTTTCCACACCCGTTTTCAGACTAGATCTCTAAAATCCATACCCATTTTCGGACCTGGCCTAATTTAGCCTGTTCCAGGTTCTCAGATAGTTGGGGAGACTCCCCAGTTTTCTCCCGTTTTATTTTCGTGTTTTCGCTTTCTCAATTCATCGGACCCAACTATCTTAGAGCCTTGAACAGGTTAGGTATGATTAGGCAGAAATTATGTCATCATTACCAAGTTAGAGCGGAAACAAAAAAAATTCTCCAAATGCATTTCGAATTCGCACATTTCTATTTCGTTCTTATTCATTTGGAATTGAAACGATAAATACGTCCATTCATGTACGCTCCCGTAGTTCCCTCGAAAACCATACCCGATTCCACACCAAAATGGGCAAAGTGTTTTCAGACCAAAAAGGCCCAAAACTCCTACCCTTCCCTTATATAAGGGAGTACCCCCCTGATCCTGACCCCTTTCATGATTGTTAGAGACCAAGACAAGGTCTAAAAATGGGTGAAGAAAATAGCATTTTGATCCGGCTCATGATTCAGAGAACCGGGCGGGACACCTCCACCAAGAATCTATAAGAGTATTTACAACTTTAACTCACGAGTCTTGCTATTTAGCGATCTTTTGATCTTATTTTTCCTTACCTAGAACCAATTTGCACGGTTTTTACCAAAGTAGTCCGTAGTCCGTATTTTATACCCAGTCCGCAGTCCGCAGTCCGCGTTTTATACCTTGTCCGTGTTTTATACCCAGTCCGTATTTTCTAGTCCGCGTTTTATACCTAGTCCATATTTTATACCCAGTCCGCAGTCCGTAGTCCGCAGTCCGCAGTCCGTGTTTTATACTGACCGATTTAATAACACATTTAAATTTATACACTGACGAGGTCGATAATTTAACACAACAAGATATGCGATAGGACAGGAGTACTTTGCTTGTTGCAGACCGGAGAGGAGCAAAGTGGTTTGTTCCGTTGGTGGATGTTCGATGTTGGTTTAATCCACTGGGCGTTCTATTCGTCAGTATTCATTATTGCATTTGGATGAGCGTTGGCTGGGTGTTTTAATTTATGCTGACTTTCTCTTCACTACCTGTTTTGAACGTGTAACACATGCTTTTATTGCTTTTTACGGCACAAGGGTGGTTCTTCGTCAAATTCTCCGAGAGAGTAATTTTCCTTGGCTCAAGGGGGAAGCAATCACGTACAGTTGAGTTAATTATCCAGTGCACCTTATACACAGCATGATTGAGATAGCCCAACCATGCGAAATCCTTGAAATGTTTTTGAGGAAATAAAGCTTATAGACTGGATAGTACGAAGCACCATTTATAAGGTATGGCTCCTCCTGTCTTGTTAACAATATTTAAGTTTATTTATTTGCAGGTCTACTATTTAAAATCAGGTGAGGTCACCTCTCCATATCTAATGGAATGTAGACTAGATGTATATATTAAAATGCAGTTGTGTGTTATAGTTATTAAACTACAGGTTCTGTAAGATAACTATTTTGCCTTCCAAAGCTACTACTCCTACATGTAATTGTTAGTTTCCAATCCTTACAGTCCCCAAATAATTTTGTCAAGGTATCTACCATCTATTTCCCCATGTTGTGCTTTTAGCCTCTCAAGGTAAGCCCTCTTCCTCTGTCTGATTTATTTTACGTCAGTAGCCTGCTTGCTTTCTGGTATAGCCAGGTCATTGTCAAAAATCATACATGCTGTATAGAAATTGGTCTTAAAATATGAATTTTTTCTTAAATTGCCCCTACATTGTAGTTCCATTAAATCACCTAGAGCTCTCCTTAAACCGGGAGTTGGCTGAAATCACCTTAAGTTGCACTTAATTGACTTAAATCGCTGAAGTATGGCTGCTTGATTTCCTAAAGTCACTTATAATTGCATCAGGGCCTCTTCACATGAGCCCAGTTAACCAGGCTGGCCTGGTTTCCAAGGTCTCGCCTGACCTCTAAATCCTTCATAAAATTTTGGATGTGTATGAGAGGGCTGGCTGGCTCGGTTTTTAAGATCTCGGTTTTGCCAACCGAGACCTAGGTCAGTGGGCTGGAAAATTTTGCCATATGAATAGTTCAGCCTGGCTACCAGGATGAAAGCATAATGAATTCTTCACCAAAGGGCCCTCCAGTTGGCATAATCTTGCTTTGCCTGATGTAATTTCCACATCATAAGCATCCCATTTAACTGCAGTGATACAGCAAAAAGAGCTACCAAAGCCATGATAAGCACTTGCCTCTTTTCTCAAATTTAGCACTAGAACTTATCCTTAGGATCTCCTTCAGAAACCAGGATGAAATTTCTCAATGAAATGAACCCAAGGCAATACACAAATTGGTCCTGGTAACTGGGCCCACATGAAGAGGCCCTTAATAATTGCCCGAAGTTATGGGACTAAATTATAGTAATTATAGTAAGAGAGCTATTGTGTTACATTTATTGTGTACTGTTTTCTTTTAGGCATAAAACGTTGTTGTGGTTTCTACATTGTGTAAATTAACTCTCCTATTTTCCTAAAGAACTGAAATTCAGTGTGCAGGTTTTGTCTTTGTGAAATATTCTTCGTAAGTTTTTCTACTCGATACCCATACTCTAATTATCACTTTCTTCTAGGGCCAGGAAGGATTACTTAAGTATTATTTAAATGGGAATAAAATGGGTCATAGACAAAATAAGAGAAAAAGAAGGACAATTTTGCTGAATTAATAATGTGTGTGTTCTTTTTTTTTTTTACATGTACATTTGCAATGGTAACATATTATTCATGTTCCAAGAAACTGAGTGCATGTGGCTTAAGAGACTCAGTGCACTTCCAGCTCTGCCTGTATTGTATTCTATTCTGGGCTTTTACATGTAGATGTTGGGGATTTCCATGTTTATACTACTACAAGAGAAATTTCTTCAGAGCAGTGGTATTTCAGCTTAATTTGAAACACCTACATGTGAAAATTACAAAACCTTTGTGTCTAGTAGTATAAACATTTAATAGCATGATTTGTATGTGATATTTGGTGCAAAAACCACTTGTCATATTTCAAAATTGTCTCAAATTTCATTCGCCAAACGGCTCGTGAAATTACGTATAACAATTTTGAATTATCACTCGTGGTATTTATGCCAAATATCACTACAAATCATGCTATTACCTATACTAATTTTAAAGTGTTTAGAATGCACTTTTGTCAACTACTTTTAAAACCTGTTTTAGTAAACACCCTTGTATCTTTGCTTTAATGATTTGACAGGAAGTATGAAAAATTGCGCTTTTAGACAACCGGATTTACTATTTTGAGATGTCTAAGGTAGGTTAACTTTTTGGGAGGGGTTTGTGGGGAGGTTCCATGAATGGCCTACTCGGGGAAGATCTTTTCCAAATCAGCCCTCCATTTTGTTTACCCCCTTTTTTATGTAAATTCAAGACTGTTAACCCCTCCCCCACCCCCCACCCCTCAATTTCAGCCCTTAAATTAGATCAGTTTCGTGTATTCATTCCATGATAAATATGACGCAAATGATTAAACGCTAGGTGCAAGTAGTTAGTGAACCTGCGATAGTTTTAAAACTTCACTAAAAGTTTTGACCTACCCGGCCTTCGTTTACAAAGCCATGCTTCTGTGCCAGTTTGTCAGCCTCTGCGGTATCTCCCTTTATTTGAACTAGCCATTTGTTCGTGTAGATTTGGCTTTTGTCGTGACAAACTGTAAGAGCGAATTGTGCTGTTACAATTGTACAAATTAGAGTTTTTGAAACCATCTTACCTTGAACGCGAAATGAGGAAATTACGAACATTTGCGGCCCACATCAGCGTGAACCATTTCGTTTATTTTATTTCCTGTTTTTCTGAAAATGAAACACAAGACGTGTCAGCAAAAACTCTGAACTACCGCCCTGTCTCAAAGAAAAGAAAAAAGAGATGAAAATTAAAGAAAACAGGAAGTCGGGCAAAACTAAAGAAATCTTAAAAATTCTTCGGTTTTTTGAGCCTCCCACGTACTCACGTAGGAGGTCAATGAATCCCCCACAAAGGTTAAAATAAATTGCCCCGAGAACAGCTTACAATCCAAACATAAAATCCAAGTAATTCAGTATTCGTACCTGCTTTTCTTTAACCGTGTGACTTGCCGGATATGTTCTTAGTGCGACTGTCTTCTGCAGTTAAAGATTCTCGTAGGATTGAAGGTCGCTTACGTTTTTGTAAGCTGTGTAAACTTTAACAGACTCAATAAATACCATACGTGGGTCTTGAAATTAACACAAGTCAAAAGTAAATTATCAAGATTTTTTTGTGTTTAGTGGAAATCGCAAAAACTATCCTTAATTACGCGAATCAGCGGTAATATGAAGTCGCCGATCAAATAAGTAGGTGAAATAATAATAACAAATCACGTATAAAAAGCTGCTCATGCTATATACACTTTTTTTGATCCTCAAAGGTCATGCAAAACATCACTTTCCTGTTTATTTTTTTTATCTGTTTAAAAATAATATTGCCCACAATAGTGCGCATCAGAGCCACGACTTTTTTAAAATTAATATCCTATAATGCCTCTGCCACAATGGCGGGCGATTTTTTTGTGACTTAATTAAAATGTATGTGTCTGTCATAAGAAATGACGAAGTAAAGGCTGTTATAATTGCATTAATTTTTTGTCTCATCAGCCTTTTCACATCACATATTCACAGTACGCATTATTCCAGTTCTGAAATATGAAATCTGCGTCAAAGCGTTGAGCCTTCAACGCCTCTGATCCAGACTTGTGCGGCAAAAGGTCGGCTAAAAGCCAGGTCAGTATGTTTTGGCAGTTTCACCACGCACTATTTTTCAAACCCATTAATACTCCTCTCTTTTTATAGTTAATCCCTGCATCTAGCAGTGTCGTCTATTCAATATTTATCATCAATACTGGGAATATCTTAATGGCGAAGATCTATCCACGCCAATCTGTAAGAGGGATACATGTACACATAGGAACAAGAGCCATAAGATTATGGCAGAAGTAGCACTATAAAAACAAGAATAATCAGAAAAAACAGTAATCTGTACAGCAAGAGAGGTAATTTTCATATTTTGTTACTGAAAAGAAGGAAGTTATAGTGTCGTATTAATAGATTGTAAGATCCGTAAATCCTGACAATCTTCACGATCACGAACCTCCTCAATTCAGGGAGGAGTTTTGGCAAGGAACCGAAACAGTAGGCTGCTCGTCAAACTCTTGGACATCTTGCTAGAGGGGGGAGGTACATAATAGGGAGGAGGGAGAAATCGGAGCGAAAATGTAGGGAGGAGGGAGAAAGGAGGCTCCTTAAAGATTTCTCTTAGCCGTTGTTGGTTTTGTATGAGGTGCCATTTTCCCATAGTATTTTCTTCAGTCTAACTAATTAAAAGCCGGGTGATATTGTGTCAAAAAACTGAGGTAGTAGTATTTTACGTGCGCATTTGTTTCTCTGTAGACGGGCTCTTTTCCTGTCGGCGAATTTGAACTCAGAGAGGTACTTTCTCACAATAGGAACAGGGTAGCCTCTTTCTATCTGGCGATTTTCGAAATTTTTGACACTTTCCTCAAAAGTGGTTTGAGAGCTAGGGATTCAGTCCTTAAACGCCTGAGCGCTTCTTCTTTAATGAAGCATTTCTTCATGCCTGGTGGTTGACATGAGTACGTGAAAGTCGTCTGTTGGCTTATGTACTCCTGGTTGGTTTATAATGTGTTGCACGTCTAGGATTGGTTCCTTGTTGAATCTGACCCCGGCCCTTTGTACAGTTTTGTGTCCAAGAAAGTGATCTCTGTTTCTGACTTCTATGCTATGAATTTGATATTAGAGTGAACGTTATTTGCCTTTTGCACGATTTTAGCTCTCTATTTTGTCTAGACCTATGTTCCATAGGGATAACACATCGTCAATATATCTTTTCCAAAACGGCGGTTCAATTACCCTGGGTGCCCAGAGACTTTTTATGCGCGGTTTCGATCTTGTTCGGTAAAGTCTTTATTGTGACCCGGGCGAAAAACTTTTTTTAGCGCGTTTTTTCTCGCGGCTTCGCCTCTAATGCCTTCTACCTTCGCTCCGAAAGATCTGTGGGCCTGCAGCCGACACTGAAGCATCCCGCTGCTCGTGAGAAAAATCCTCTGGTGACCAGAGTACGGTTCAATACAACTCTGTCTCAATATTTGGTTTTCTCTCTCAGTCTTATTGGTTTTGTTTTCTTTGTTTTATTTTTCAATGTCCCAACTTCATGGGCGTAGCGTGACCATTTTGACAAGTACGCACACGGGTCCACTGATATGGTTTCCAAAACTTCATATAAAATATCGTTTTTGCCAACCCCCCCCCCCACCCTTGCTTGCTTGCTTGCTTGCTTTTCTTTTTAAATACATATTTCGGCAGTTTACAGGCTTGTTTAAAATAGAACGTGGCATTGAAAAAGCTATTAAAACGTTCTTTTTTGAGCTGGTACTGGATCGTTTACAAGCACAAGGCGAGGGGCCCTCCCTAAATAAACTTCCAAAGCGCTGAATAATTCACACGAAATTCAAAACCTGTTTCAAATAAGATGTTTCGTTCAAATACTAAACGAAAATTTAGCAAAACATTTTATGTTAAGAATAAAAGATTAGCTCTTCTGTCACCTTTATTTTTTCGCCTGTCACTTAAGAAAAATGTCCACTTAAAGCGTACTTTTTCTGTGCAGAAATTTGGAGTTGAAATGCATCGGTCAGTGAAAGAATTGCGACGTGTGCGTGGTTGAGTAAATTCTCCGCATAGTCTGATCCATGATTACCCAGTTGAGCGACATTAACGTAATCTTAATTGTTAGAATTTTTTGACATTTGTAGAGAGAGAGAAAATTAAAAAAAGCAGTAGCTTTTGGATGGAAAAACTTTTCAGATAAATCTTGAAAGGAATTATAATCATGCAGTCAGGATCGATTCTTTGTGGCGACTAATGTGTTTGCATGAATTTCCCCAGTCCGCCTTCGTTTTCAGGAATACGCTATGTTTTCTTTTTAACAATTCTGATGCACACATCAGCAGGCTAACTGCTCATTTCGTCTTTCAAGCATTTAAAAGACGAAAGAAATATAATTAACTCTACCATTCCATTATATCTTCATTTCCTTAAATTTAGCTGTTTATTGTTATTTTAATCGGTATCACCTGTACAAAATGATAATGCTGAAGAAACTTGTTGTTGTAAGTTGTTGTTGCTGTTAAATGGCTAGCCTGTGAGCAAGCTCTCCTATTTGGGCAAGCGAAGTGAGCCTCGCGAGAACGCGCGAGCGAGACTCTCTTCATTCGCCCAAATAGGAGAGCTTGCTCGCAGGCTATTAAATGGCTTTTACTTATAACAGAAACGTTTTTAAAAAATCCTGCCAATTTCTCGACTACGCACGTGCGTAGTCGAAGGGAAACATGCTGCAAACAGTAAATGTGCCAAATACTACTGACAATTAAGCCGAAACCTAAAAAGGAAACAAAGAAAATTATATCCTTTGTCTCAGATTCGTTGCATGCGAAGCGCTGAAATATCGTTGTCAATCTTCGCTTAATCGCCTTTATCACAGACGAAAATCATTGACAAGCTTTTTTGTTTGTGGTTTCTTTTTGACTAGGTTTCAACTCGCCCCACCAGAAGATGAGTGCATTTTTAGTGAGCATTGATTCCTATCTGTAGCTTCCTGTCATTGTAAAAGGAATTCAAGTGTTCCTGTCAAATCTTCAACACCTCCTACTCTCTTTATAAAGACGTTACCACAAAGGCAGTTCCAGTTTGTATTGCAGTAGTTGTGCTGCTGCCTCTGACACCAAGCTAATAAACAGAAGCTAATCAACCTCAACGGAGATATCACCGTAAAATGGTAGGATTGTTAAAATATCAAGAGATAATGTTTTTAGTCGCAAGTAGTGCATTGATGTTGCAGGCGTTTGTTTTTACGGGTTAGGTCACTGAGCCTTGAATCGATTTGGGGACCTTCTCCTCTTTATTTCCTATCACAAGTACGATTCCTAAGACCATGTGTCATAGATAACGGGAGATGAAGTACTCTACCTAAATCCTATGGTCACTTTCTGGCTTGAAAGCAATGGTGGTGTTAGTTGTTAAATGTGGTCTTTTGTGCCCCCATTTCATGGTTACTCATGTCATTTGTATTATTTTTTTTTTAGGCTTACCGTGCGGTTAAGTCTTTGGGGTTTTTATTTCTTATCTACTACATCCATTCCACTATCTCGTCTCAGGTATGTGAAGAAGGAATAACTTTTGTAACTATCCTTGACTAGCAAAAGTCCCTTCCATGGAATGTTTCCTCTCAATGTTTGATGTTTAGCCAAGACTAAAAGCGAAGCTTCCGTTAATATGACTTATAACTCGCTAAAAACAAATTATAAGCCGTTGCAAAGAAATCTGCGGATACCTTGTTTTGACGTACGGTTGTCAATTGACCATCCAATATTAGTAAGATACAGTAAAAACACGCATATAAAAACCTATTGCTTTAAGAACTTTAACAAGCTAAAATTTGTCATTTACAGCAGTTACCTTTACTAACACGCGCCCTCGATTTTTTTTTCTTCCGTTCAAACCTGCGGTTTGGTAGACGTCAATCAACCGTTACCATGGTTTTCACGCGTTGGCCAACAGAAGATTCTTTCCCCGTTTCTCGAGCATTCGGAGGAACATTCCGGCGTTTAAGCCGTTTTTGTAATATTTTGCTAAAGGATGACTGACACCGCTTCATTTCAAGATCACGAGAAGTAAGAATTTGTTGAGTGTTTGTTGGAGGAAACTCAAATTATCAACTTATTTACACTGTATTGACATAAGCTTTCTCAATACACGTTCGCAACTCGTCTGAGTTCTTGGTACTGCAGGTAGTTCTGGATTCTATTCGATAACATGAAGAATGATAAGTAGAAATTCATTTTCGAAAACAGCCTCCATTCAGAGAAAAACGTTTTTCCCTTGTCGGTGTGATATCTTTTGTTTCTTTGATTTCTACTCCTTGGCGAATCGTCCACGGCTCTCCGCATGTTTTCATACAATCAAATAAATAAATAACCTGAAAACTTTTACGTATTAAACTATAGAGACTCTTTCGGCTATTTCACCCAGCTCGCAGAGACCTCGTTGTTTTAACAATGAATGTAATCCTTCATGTTAATGAAATAATTAAAACCGCTGTCGTCATTCGAAATTATTCTTTAATTAAAGTCTTCGCCCTTCATTCAGCGACGAGGGAACCTTCTCTGTCAGAGCGCGTGAGAAAACCATGGAAACAGCTAGTTGATTGACGTCCACGAAAACTCAGGTTTCAACGGACAGAAAAAACCCCTAGAGGGCGCGTGTTAGTGGTAACCGCTGTAAATACCCAAAAATATACGAATCTGTTCAGCCTGGCGAAGAAAAAAAGGTTCTTATGGAGAAAAAAAAACATCACTCCAATTGATGGTCAAAATTCTGGATTTTAATTGTGTTTGAGACTTCTGACAAGAAGTTATATTGTGTGTATGTTTTCTTTCATTTACATTTGTTTGGATTCTCATCAGAAATATGTTTTCCTTAAAGCTAAGGTGCAATATAGACGATTTAAAATCGAAAATATCCATATATTTCTGGCAATGGTCAGACACTACGAGCTACTACGAAAACCTCAGAAAATAAGAACCTATTAAGAACATAATCAGCCTAAATTGGGAAAACCTACCCTAAAATTCTAGGTTCTTATATGCGGTTTTTTACTGTATACACCGACGTTGACTAATAAGATGGACGCAAGCTTCATGTCTGGGACTCCCTTCATATCCCTTGAATAGTTTCCCCTTCCCCTACCCAGAGTCTGCACGGACGGACGGAACAACGGGCGTACACTAACGTCGTCACCAAAATTTTTCTGATTGGTGAGTTTCCAAATACTATTCAAATCAAGGACTTCGCTGCAGGCTCTTCGCGCGAGGAAGCTCCGCTATGATTTTCGCCCTCGTAAAGTGATAGAATACAGGGTGCTAAGTTCGTCAAAATTTAGGTAAATGATCGATTAAGCGCCGCACCTTTACCGAAAATTATGTAGAAGACCCGCTCTCGAATAAGCCCCGCGGCGCTAATTTGGGTATTTACAAATTAACGTCCCACCTTTGTTACAGCGCTTGATATAAAGAGATGTTAAAACCATATCGCTTGAGAAATAAGACCCCGACCGATTCGTAAGTTCTAAAGATTTAGGGAAACTCTTGAAACCGGGTTCATATAACAGTTCGAGGTGCACATTTTTTATACTAAACTGTGCATAAGTACGAACATTAACCACAAAGGACTGCAAACGAATGTGCCGAAGAACGTAGGATCTATGAAGATCTGATCAGCAAAAATAGTTAAATTAACTTTGCAAGACATTAACTATGACACCGAGAGAACTCAAAACAGAGCGGGATTGTAGCCATTGACAGCTGTTTCGCTATTATTGTAGCTAGTACTTACCTCTTTTTACTTCTCTCTATATTTCCCTTAGTGTTTTGTTGAAGCGCCGCTTTCGTATAAGTGCCGCGGCGCTTAATCGATCATTTACAGTACTCACTAAGGGCCGTTTATAATTTATGTGATGGGGGAAGGCGGGGGGGGGGGGGGCTATGGGGCCATTAATTTTCATCCAAAACATTTAGGTGGCCCATCGAAATTCAATTGGTACTCTGTATAGGGGGAGGGGGAACAGAGAAAAAGTACGAGACTGACATGGGAGATCGATGTTTATTAAAGTCCAATGAAATATCAGGTGATCTCCCGCGCGAACAAGTGATACATGTATCTTCACGTGTGAAAATAACATGTTTTATTTGTTACATATCATCACAAAGCCTTGCAAATACATTCGGTTAATACGTGAAAACTCCTTCTAGTCAACCCAAATGATTCTGACACCTGTGGTCATAGGATGAAGCTCGTGGCCCTTCGACCACTTCTGGTACATGTACTGTATTAGTTGTAATTTTGTTTTTGTTTTGTTTTGTTTGTTTTTTTTTTTTTGAGTATTTGTTACCTTTGCCATTCAGCATTTTTAGGTTTAGAATAACAAAGTAGCTATAAGGGAATGTATCATGTGTAGGGGGTTTACGAGCAATTCGCTCGCTGAGCGTAGAGGTACCAGGTATCTGTTTTTACATCTTGTTGTTCTTTAATCTTTACAGGGGCTGTTATGTCTTCTTTAAAGCATCACTTAACGAATTCTGCTAGACAACTAACTGTAACTAATCTCAACTACTCTCTCTTTTGTGCTAAACACTGGCAACTTATATAAGTAAAACGTAGGTACGTTTAGGCTTGCTGACCATAAGAGTTACAAACGCTTTTCCGAGTGACTTAAACGAATTTCCTGTTGATAACCAAAGTGGAATAAACAGACCCATAAGAAAACCAATGAAAGCGTGACAGCTAAATCCACGAGGCTCTACCTCAAACCAAAACAGGAACTCAGATGTAGGTAACAATCAAGGTCAGCGACGGTTCCAAAACGTGCCCACTTCACAGGGGCGGATCTAGGGGGAGGGTGCAGGGGGTGCGCACCCCCCCCCCCGAGATGACCTGCGGTTTTATAATACAACTGGTATTCTGCGAAAAAAAAACTATGTGGTTTATTGGTGTTGAAGTAGAGCAAGAGACGAGTGCAGTCCCTCCTAAAAAAAATCCTGGATCCGCCCCTGCTTCAAGTACTGACAATCAAATTTAATAAATGACATTCATGTTGAAAAACTACTTCAAAAGGTAATAGAATTTGAATACCTGTCGACACAAATACGGATTCTGAACCTTGATCTATAAACTGATCATAACAAGACTCTAGTCACAAGTGAAACGTCAAGCACAAACACGAAATAAACTTAAAATAACCTTCAAAATACTTCACAACACATGCAAATGATGTACTATAATTCATTTATAAAGCTTTAAAATTTAAACTGTCCACTATGTTTTTTCCATTCAGATGTTATATAATAAAGTCACAATAAATAATCTATTTTATGCAATATTAAGTTCAAGTTATAAAAAAAACTTCATTGGCTTAAATATTGTTTGTATCAGCAATTCAAAGATATTTTAAAGCAAATATGGTAGATTGCTGGTGATAGGAGTTGTGGTAGAGAGGAAGGGGGAGAGATGGTCATGGTGTTTTACCTTTGTTCGCAAGCTCTCATGAGAGGTGGCGGGTAGCAGATAAAAATATCTTACATCATCAGGGAGGGGGTTGGGGGCTAGGAAAAAAATATTTAAGAAAAAAAATTATGAACGGTCCCAAACCACTTTTAATTTGGAAGCCGTCACTCATCACCTTATCGGTTTTTTTTTTTTTTGTTAGCACATACTTGAAATAGAGGAGAAGGGAACTAAGTTTGCGGAAGGAATCGAAATTGATGAACAGAGAAATGTGGCAGTCTTCCGAGTCCCTGCTCACAATGACGTCCTGGGAGCTGACTTCTACAACGATTTTCAGATGGTAAGTGTCTGAAATTTTTCATTGACATCCGTTACCGAGTCGCCGCACCGTGACGGCAAAACAAATCACGTTGAGGGAACGAAAACCTAACCAGTAAACATTGTGTTAGTGTGCTAACCCTGAACTTGTCACCGCTGAGAAAACGATGACTTTCTTACCCTGGAACTTAGGGAAGCAAACAATTTCTTTTCCCTCGTGTTTGAGTTAGAAATAAGTCATACATACGACGGTGCTCCAACATAAGCGAGAAGGAAGGAAACATCAGGACTCGAGAAAAAACCAAACTAACTTTTTCCCGAGGGACATGACGATTTGAGGCTCCGTATGCTGTCTGTTTGCTGGAGTTGCAGGGTAAAAAATTTAAAGTTTTTTTCATGATATATTCCTAGACTGTCGCTTTAACAGCGACAAAGAATAAAGGGTGAATCAAAACAATTAATGTCGGTACTAAAGAAACGAAACTATTTCATGTATTTATCTGCATCTTTTTTAGCGGAGCTCCGCGCGCGAAGAGCGCCGCGAAGCACCATGGGTAAATAAATCTACCCGTCCCAGAAAATTTGGTTATCACGTGACCGACCGACCGAGCGACTGACCGACCGTCCGTCCGCACCACAGGCATACCAATGTTTATTTTCACACTTTCTAGCTACTTTGGGAGCCCGGGAGAAAGCTGATTGCACATCAATGTTGTCATCAATTGACAGCTGTCAAAACAGGGTATCCGCTGACCAGTATCACCTGACCGTATCACGGGCTCAGGTGTCGACCCATCAAGGTCGAGTATTTTTGAAGTTATCCCTTGCCAATTTACTCGTTTTCAAATGATCGCAGGCTCACGTTTACTTTTTTTTTCATAAATTCATATCAAATATGCTGTGTTTATGTCAGTATCGCCCCGCACTATTACGATTTTGATTTCAAACTGACCTCAGACGCAAAAATTCAGCCAGTTTTTGTGTCTAGTGCGAAGCACAGACACTATGAGAAAACGCTAAAATCCTCTGGTAAGTGCTTCATATGTGGCAAATTATTACGTCATACGAATAAAGTTTCACTGAGGTTTCTCCTACGTGACACATTACATGAAGCGATCTTTACTGGGTACCAGGAGGGTAATATCATCGATAATCACTCGTAATTTCTTTGTGACCCGAAATAAACAACCAATGACAATCGGAACCAATCGAATGTGTATTAGTAGAGACGACAATTGCGCCAACACCATGTGCTTTCCACGACAACTCCCGACAACTGCAAGAAAACTCTCTACGACGATTTGCTTTCGTTGCTTTCTTCGACTTGTGTGATACGAGTTGTCCTATCAGTAAGTTACCTTTTAGTTTCTTACTTTGTGATGAATGTCTTAAGACGTATTTTCTCAGTATGCCACAGCTTTCGAAATATGTGTCAATCCTGCTGAATGAAAGGTTTCGAAAGGTGCTTCAAAGTTGAAGATCAAGGTACTTGGCGCCGACAAACTCTCCATGCTGCAATTTTGCGACCGCCTGCGAAGAGGATACAAATTAAGCTTTTAAATATGAGCCACATTTGGGGAAAGAAAAGCCCGTTATGGGAAATATTGAGCCCCTTTTGGGGATAACAAAGCCCGCTGAGGGATTAAATAAGCCCTTCCGGGAAATTTAAACGGCAGAAAATCTTTCGCCGCTGAAGGATTTAATGTGAAAAAACTTTTCAATAGCCAAACATATACGAAAGCTGTGGCGATTTCCTTCAGACAAAGTCATACTAGAACTCGTAATCTTGTTAAATATCACCCAAGGGTCGTTTTTACTGAATCTTTCCATGCAATGGTTAGCACTGATCAGGAGGTGTGCTCGCCGTGTGAGAGAGAATTTGATAGACATTACAAAGTACAGGAAAAACGTCATAGAGACCGAGAGCCGTCAAGATTACCGATAAAAAAGATTGTGAGCTCCATGAAAAAGAGAAAAGCTAGACGCAAGGTGAAGCGCATTTTCAGGAAATTTACTCCTAAATCTTCACTTTGTTCAAGTTTAGCGACTGACTATGTTATGTAACATACGTACACAGATGCCTCTGTTTTTTTTACCGACTTTGCAAATCTTAAAAGATGGGCAGCAAACAAGTTGTTACAAAATAGTAAACTAGCAAGTATGCATTGTTTAGTTAAGCACAAAACAGTGAAATCATGTAGCTGTACCAAAAGATATTGTGTATCGAAAATGAAGCTTTTGATATCCGGTGATATCGAGTTAAATCCAGGCCTTGAGCAAAATGTCTGTGATCAAACTGCATTGTCAGTAGGTTCCACCTTATTGTTAAACTATCGATTAGGTCAGCTGGGATTGAGACCTCTTGATAACTTTTTGTATTTCTCATTTACAACTAGTTGCCTTGAAATAAAGTTGTGTTCAATTCATTTCATCGTTACCACTGTGATGTTAAAAATAACAAATTCATAATAGTTAGCACCACTTCCAGAAAAATGTCTGCAATAATTTCAACCACACCCCAAAGCAGACCAACCTCTACTCCTCCTTACTTTTCTATCACCTTCAACTCGTTTGTTAGTTCTAGCCATATTTCTTTGCTAGACTGTTGGAGCTTCACATTATACCCCAGCCTCCACTCCTGTACTCTATGGCGGATAAATCCTAATTGCATTCACGAAGTCTAACGCAATCCTATATAACCATATACACATTACTCAATTACCCAGCACTAGACACATGTACGCAATGCGGACCTATTTTTTTAAAAATACTTGCGGGGAAGACCTTTTCTTAACATGGTCACGTGTTGGTCACGCTCCACGACCAATTTTTATGCTCTGATTAGTTAAAATTTGACAGGTGAGTTCATGCGTAAAATTCATGCAGCATCTTGAAAGTTGTTTACTTTGACAGCTGAAGCTGACAGAGTTTTGAGTCAACTTGTGATGTTTTTAACTGTCTTTTTCCACTGGATGTAAAAAATGAAATACAGCTGCTATCAAGAGCATTCTCTTATTCATGGCTGGTTTGTTTATTGGGTTTTTGGTTTAGAAATGCGCCGTTTGTCAAAGCCGATAATCCTATATCGGATGGCATCGTTTTTGTTTTTCACCTTGCTGGCTGCGTACGAGAATTATAAAGGCTCAAGCGATCCTTGCCTTGCTTGATAGCTTTCAGGAGCTGCATCTCGAAATGTGGCAAGCCTGAGTAATTATTGTATTTATATCTAGTTTCATGAAGTCCAGCGGCGTAGTTTATGAAGCTAGTTTGTGCACGTTTGTATTAAGATTTGACTGAGACACTGATCTGACCTAGTATGAGGCTTGATATAAGCTTAAGCTTACAGAACTTTCAAAGCCTTTAGTCGATTTTAATTCTCCGTAAATAGAAAGAAAAAACTTTCCGAAGAATATTTAGTTATAATTTTGGCTGTAGAAAGAAAGCTTTGAGCGATCTTCTTGTCGTGAGTTCATCTTTGAAAACAGCAAACACCGGGAAACCTGCGGCTTAAAACATAATCTTTAAGCTTACTAGTAAAGACTTGAGGATTCTAAGAGACACTTAAATACTCATCTGTTTTCGTGAATGAAAATTGTTTTCTCTGTAAATGTTCTACCGAATTATATTTCTTTATTGATCGTTGGTAGTCTCAAAAGTGTAATTTTCATCGCTTTAATTTGCCGTTTGTTTTCAGGCGCTCATAAACATCGCTTGCAGGAGTACTCAAAATGCCGAGCGTATCAAACGCTTTTTAAGATTAAAACCATGAATAAAAAATAGACTCAATAAATTCTTTATCACGTTGAAGCGTAACTCTTTTAAAATTTCTTCGCAAATTTGGCGCTTGTCAAAAGTTAGAACCGGCTGGCCGTATAGGTGATTTTGGAAATTTGTTGAACGGTTTCGCTAATTAAAAGTCCACGTGTGCTTCGATGGTCCTGAATATTGAATGAATGTAATTTGTCTTGAAAAACTGTGAAATACTGCAATTTGTACGAGGTCTGTATGATAATAACATCGCCTCATGGTACTCTTTCTCCTCAGATGTGGTGTATAAAAAAAAAATAAAAGATTGGTTTGCACGCACCCAGATTTATTGGCAAGAATTTGTAAACTTGTCGAACGCAAAGAGTTCGGCCTGATATGTTTTCCACGAATTTGTTTTCCACACCTTATCTACTGTGATCAAGAGCCATTATTGCTCTTAAATGTGAGCGAAGACTATTTTATGGGTGGACATATCAACTCGATACAAGATTTGTTTCACTCCAAAATCACTTAGCTTTAATTCCCTCAAAAGTCACATGAATGTGCCCTTAAGTTAACTGATTTGTGGAATACGCAACGCTCGTTATGGTGAGGAGCGTTGCGTGACGACACAAAGAACGGAGCAGACTATAGGAAACCCCTTTACTTAAACAATTCCAGTTTATTATGACTTTGACTTCTAATTTGTTTTTTCGTTTTCTTTTTCCTTTTTGTTTTGTTTTGCTTTTATTTTTATTTTTCCTAGCGTGTAACCGTTACCAGGATTCTCTCTCGAAAAGTCTGTTATATTTCTGAAATGGACTCAACACTGTCGGCACCAGGAAAACTGAAAGCAGATCTTACACGGGTAGGCAATTTTAAAAAAATAGTTTCAGGCGACCAATATATATAAGCTGATAAATATACAAATAGCTGATACAGAGAAAAAGTCTTCATATTTTATGATAATGTTTCATCACAAACGAAGTTGCAATCCAGTATGATGAAGCCATCTGTTTAAGTGGATGTGTAGCTAAATTCACCGAATGCGAAGTAGAATATCATTGATGGAAGCTTTGGCTAGGTGTGTTTGGCCAATGTTGGTTTTAAATTTAATTACTCACGGGCACACCTGCTAGATGGCACCCCGTACAACGCGATTTTAATCTTTCGCTGTTTTGTGTTTTTATCCCACAGGCAACATCTTCAGGATCCCGGCCAAAAAAGCTTCCTGTAGAGGAACAATCTTACGTGGTGATGGTTACTGATACAGCCAAAAGATCCCTACTAACGAAGGAGATTTTAGATTTTTGTGGAGTCTTGCCCATTTACAACACAAAACTATATCCGGATACGAGCACTAAGACTGGAGTTGCAGGTAATGAAGGAACTAATTAAGATTCCAGCTTTTTATCTAACATAATAACCGTTGTGCGTTCTCCATCGTAGGTTTTTAAAGATTTTGTCACTTCTCTAGAAGGCCTGCAGCACTGGTTAGGGCTACGCAACGTCCCATTAAATTAGCTGATTAGAAAAGAGATTACAATTTTCCATATATCAAGTACCGTATTTATTTTATAAAATGCCGCGGCCTTTATTACCTTTTTAGCTTTTCTGACAGTGCAGCGCTCATTCCAGGACGTCGTTTATTTCAAAATCCAACTCCTTCAATCACTGACAACAAATACGGAAATCATTTGTAAATATGTTAAGCAGAAAGATGTTTTAGGTGTTGAAATGTCTCACTTTTTTGCCAAGATAGAATCGTATTTGGATTGTGTAGCTTATTAAGTTTTGGCGAGTTTTTTCTTCTATAAGCCTCGAATAAACCGCTCCGCATCCGTCTATTTGGGTGCGGCATTTATTCGAGAGCAGTGTTTAATCGAGCAAATACGGTACATACAAAGACTGCTAGTTCTACCGAGTAAGGATCAAGAGTATTATCGATCAAAACTAAAGTAAAGTAAAATGTAAACATACAATCGATTAGTTTGGTAAAACGCATTCCCCTTTGGCATTATTTCATTGTAGTAATTTGTTAGCAGTAGAGTGAAAAAGATCAAGAGGAAACTTCCAGCTATGTATCTTTGTCGCTTTCCTAGATCCTTTCCCGCCCAACTGATCCAATAAGTCACCCTCCCTATCCTTTGAAGCCATTAAAAATCTTAGAGTAGACTCTGAATTAGCCTGAGGAAACAGACGACATTTCCCGACGCCACCAACGGTTTCCCCGCGAAATGACGTCTGAGAAACGAGCCCAGAAATTCCATACTGATAACGTTTCACTAACCAGATCTGGGTAGTGCTTCTGATTGGTCCTGCCGCTTGTGAAATTTACTTCAAGCAATCAGAAACACTGCCCAGATTTGGGTAGTGGCGCGTCATCAGTATGGAATTTCTGCGATCGTTTCTCAGACGTCATTTCGCGGGGAAACCGTTGGTGGCGTCGCGAAATGTCGTCTGTTTTCTCAGGCTAACTCTGAATGAAATGCTGTCATTTGCATTTCTTTTTACCGAATTATCAAATTTACAGTTGTTACAGGGCGGCGTCTGGTCAAGCGACAGGTACAACGGACAGAAACAACTACATTTGCTGGCTTTAATCGTACTTGTAAAAGCATGGTAGATGATAAAGGACAACTCCGATATGATGGTTTGGAAAAGTGCCGTGGTCCAAATGACAAATGGGTTGCAACTTGTAAATTTAAGGAAGGGATGTGTTTTTACTTTGCTAAGTGCAATTATCTCAAGGGTTTAAGGTACTATTGGAACTGTACAGAAGTACACAAGAGATCTGAAATTCCCGTCTGCTGTGATCTCGCTTGTGCCGATCGGTAAAAAAAAAGTGAGAGATGGAAAACTTTTCCCCCAAAAAGGCCTCCTCAGTTTTTGTTTTTGTTTTTTGCTTGTCTGTTTGTTGTAATTTGTCTCACTGACAACTTTAACTTTCCGCCAGAGGCACCTTTTGGCCAACATAATGAAGCACCTACTGGTCAAATTAGTTGTTTCATATTATGTATTAAAAAGATAAAGGTAACAAAAAGTTAAACCATATCGTGACCTCTTTTTTGGATACTGTCATAGTTGTTGTTGATGTTGCTTTTATTTATGGCAACACAACTCTTCAGATTAAAGCTGATTCTAATAAAATGGAAATATTTCTTAAAGAAAATTGTGTTACGACCTCTAGAACTGAAGCCCTCGCGCGAAACTCGTAGATGAACCTACGGTCCTTAAAATAATCCATAGGAACACGCCGTCTGTCTCAGGGTACGTTGTCTACCAGGTTCACTTGCAATTGTTGGCAGTTACTGCGCATGTGTGAACCAAATTTTGAAATGTAAGGTCGAAGCGGTTGACGTTTTTGCACCATATATACTACAAGAACCGAGCTGTAGTAATACCATATTGAAGAGACTGGTGTAGTTCTCATGTCTCTGGACTGACGCAATGTGATTATAACAGCAATGTGATTATGACCAGTCACTATTCACCAACTATTGGCCTGTCTCGATTCTACCAAGCTTTACAAAATTTCTAGAGAGAATCATCTATAATCGCTTGTATGATTATTTAACTAATTTACATATTCTCTGTGATGACCAGTTCGGCTTCAGGAAAAACCACTCTACGACGCTTGCCTTGATTGATTTGCATGAAAAAATTTCATCTGCTATTGATCGTGGTGAATTAGCGGTTTGTGTTTTTTTAGATCTCTCGAAAGCTTTCGATACAGTCAATCATTCCATCTTATTTGATAAACTTGAACACTATGGTATACGTGGCTTGGCTCTGAAATGGATTAAGAGCTATTTTTCAAACAGACTTCAATTTGTAGAATACAATGGTTATGTTTCGTCTCGTGCTAATATCATGTGTGGCGTTCCCCAAGGTTCAATACTAGGGCCTTTGTTTTTTCTGCTCTACATCAACGATATAATCAACACTTCAACAATATTACAACTGATATTATTTGCTGATGATACAAACGTTTTTGTGTCTCACAAGGGTAAAGACTGCCTAACTAATATACTGAACGCTGAGCTAGATAAGTTGTCATTATGGTTTAGAGCTAACAGGCTTTCATTAAACTTGAAAAAAACCAAATTCATCGTATTTAAACCATGCCAAAAGCGTACAAATCAAACTATTCAACTTTTAATTAATAGCCAAAAAATTGATCAAGTAAAAGAAACAGTTTTCTTGGGAGTAATCATGGATGAAAATTTAAATTGGAAATCTGAAATCTCACATGTCGCCAATAAGGTTTCTAAATGTACAGGAATTATTCGTAAATCCAGTTTCTATTTATCTACGAAAACCTTACGAACACTATATTTTTCTCTAGTCTATCCATACTTTTTTTACTGCAACTTAGTTTGGGCCTCCGCTTACAGAACTAACCTTATTCGTCTTGAGATTTTACAGAAACGGGTCATCATGCAGAACTATAGCTAAAACCCCTTTCGATTCACATACTGATCCAATCTTTCAAAATCTTGGTATCTTAAAATTTCATGATATATACTTAATACAACTAGGCTTATTCATGTACTCCTATCAAAACCATACAATGCAAATTTACCATGCAAATTTACTTTACAAAGTCAAATTCATTCGTATAATACAAGAAACTCGTGTAAATTTCATCTGTCTTTCTGTCGTACTCGAATCAAACAACTTTCCGTTTTTTATCAAGGACCTAAATTTTACAACACCTTAAACACCAACATCATCAACGCTTCCTCACCTTTTTCCTTTAAAAGAGCACTTAAGGCATTTATTTCTAATAATTATTAGTATACTCCAACAGAAATCTTGCGAAAATATTCAACATTATTTGTAAACTTCCGTAATATTGATTAGTTTAATTTTCCACCTGATTGCTGCCGGGCATCAGCCGGTAGCAGACCATATTCTTGATCCATTTGAGATTTTTGGTTCGATAGTTCCATGGTTCGATCGTCATCTGTGACTGCAGCGCTGTGCAGTCAGTCTGTTTTTCTCTTAGGAGCAACCCCCCATTTTGTTTTGCTCTCATGTAAGATCTGTGCAGAAATCATAGTTAAGAACAGTTCAAGACGTATTGTACGGAACATTTTTTCGGTTTATTTTTTTTAATTCAGGTTTCAAGATTAGTTATAGCGAGTATTTTTTGTCACACAGATTGTTATCTCGGTAATCAAGATTGTAAGTTACATGTGCTGTACATCTGCCTGACCTGTGAATAAACAAGTTTTGGCCTTTACGTCATTTGTACGCAACTCATCTCATCGATCCTGTGTATGATGATTGTTCGATGAAGAAACAGTTTATCAGCACTGCTGTTGTTTTAGAATTTCGTGAATTATTAAAATGAATTACAAAATGGTATTGAAACCTTGTAAGCATATTTGTGATCGTGATCGGTTCATTTTTTATATTACGCTCTGAGTGTTTCATAATGCCAGCAACTCTTCTACAAACTGCTTTTGTCCTATTCGCAGTTCGCAACTAACGGCAGCACTTCCCTTCTCAATGAGAACTTCTAGTATTATTTTGTATCCGTCGCCGTAATTTTTATGCCATCTTCGAAAAATTGTAATTGAGGAGGCCTAATTAACATAAGCTCTATAGTTTCCTTTAGGCCTCCTCGCCATTTCTTCCTACATTTTTTTGGCATTTCTTTGTAATTATTGTAATCGTGTGGCAAATAAATAAATACAAATACCAATACAAACAGAAAGGCCAAACAAAGGCTCTTCTCGCTGAGTCGGATATAGTTAAGGTGTATTATTCAAATGCAAGATCTATATTGGAGTATGCCAGTGCTGTCTTTGTCAGTTTATCGCCAATATGATGCAATGGCTGCTAAGAGAATACAAACGCACACTCTAGCAATCATATTCATATTTCCAGCCATTAGTGAAGCATTATTCAAAGCTATCATGAGTCTTACGTTTCATGACAGACCGGCCGTAGAATCGTTACATGCAACAGGTTTAATTTTTTCAAAGCTTCATCCTGGAAGCCCTGTGTACAATCATCTCTGAATCCGGCCTACGTACTAATGCAGTAAAAACCCGTGTACGAAGCAACATTTTTTTTTTTTTAGCTTTTTTTTAGCGGGGCTCGCGCGCGCTTGAAGCTTGTACAGCGGAGCACCATGGGTAAGAAAATTTGGTAGCCTATGCATCCGAGAAATTTTTGGTAGTCACGTGACTGTACGTCCGCAACACAGGCACACCAATATAAAATAACTCAATCAACAGGTATATATGGCAACCCAAATGCAACTCAAGGTTTTATTTGGTAGGAAATCGCACGGTCGCCCGGACTTCTAGAGAGAAAGAAAAAAAAAACAAAGTCGTGTCTTTTTCGACGTTATTTTTGATGTCTACACACACGTGGATAACAGAGCCGAGAGCTAGAGCGAGTGATTGAAATCAAAGGAGACGAATTTTGCTGCAAGAAAAAAATTAAAATTTCATAGCGGCGGTGAGAAATTCTAGCGGCCAACAAGGTGAAAATGAGCCGCAGTGAAAAAATGAAAGAGAACTTGAACATAGGAAACGAAATCTTTGGTAGGGACATACGACAATTCCTCTATAAAAATAATACGTAACTGGGAAGTTTGACGTTTTAGTCGTATAAAACGGCATTGTAGTCGTGCAAAACAACGGCAAAGAAAGACAAAAAAGCGTGTTGCACGTGCAAATAGGCCACTTCCGAGTTCCAAAAACCCTCACTTTCAAAATGAGGCTAGCTAGGTGCACAACCTTTCTTGTGAAAATTAGTTTTATTTGCATGAGAATGAAAAATGATTTCCATATCAAAGGCTGAGCACCTACCTTCGTTTTGAAACAGAGGCCCGGGGGAACTCGGAGATGGCCTATTTGTTTTTTTGCTAATTAGAAAAACAAGTATGCTGCACGTGCAAATTTGTTTTTTACTAATTCGATCTATTGATCTTGATGCCATTTTCATTGCAGTCCCCGTTTAGCATTACAAGATTTAATTTATGGTTTATAAGTATTATTAACCAGTGCTTCGCTTTAGCCCTAGCTAAATGTATATTAAATTTGGCAAATATTAGATTCTTGCATTTGAAGGTGTAATTCGGCAATTTACGCTAAGACGTTCTTATTAATAATACGTTTCTCTATTTCTCTCAAACACGAGGACATACTGCTGTTTCCTACCATAAAAATAAATAAACTTAGGCTCGCAATTGCTCCTTAAACATACAATATTTATTCACAACTGTACATTGCAAAATTCTTTTATGCTTGGTCCATGAAGACAATTACAATCTGTACTTTGCTTTTAGAAGAATTACAGTAATTAACTTTTATTTGTAATTAGTACAGTTTTGTATAACATGTTGTACAGTATTTTCTTGAAATGTTAATTTGCAATCTCAAAGTAAAATTTCTTGTAATATGTTTATCATAATATAACTGTAACCCACGTGTAAGAACCCGCTTAGTTTTGCTGAGAATGAACAGTTTCTTTATTTTTTGTATTAAAATGGCAATGTTCTGCCAGCAGGTTGTTACGCGCCGGTGTTTAGTGCAGTGGCGGATCCAGGGGAGGGGCCCAGGTGGCCCACCCCGCCTGAAGGCCCAAAAAATTTTTCTCGTCAAACTGTTTTTTTGGAGCGGGAGCATCCGTTAATTCATTAACCGATGGTCATTGTTCCAAGTATTGAGCCTACGTTCGAACCCACGGGGGGGCGGAGGGGGGAGGAGGTATTCCGGATTTCAAGTGTCAGGGATAATGGAATGGGGGCAAAAATCAAAACCCAAAAACATCCCTAGGGCTTCAAACAAAACCCCCAAAATACCCTGGACTAAAATTTGATCCCCCAAAGAATCCCAAGCCGAATTTCCGAGCCATAAAAATTTTCAGAGGAACTACGCGGCCGCGATAAGCGGAGAGTATCACGAATCTTCAGTTTGTCAAACCCAAAATAATCCTTTGCTCATCCCTGTCACTTGAAATCCGAAGTAAGCCCCCTGGGGACTCGAAACTATATCCAAGCAACATGTCGCGCATGCTCAACAAATATCGTACTCGAGTCAGGCAGATTCTTTCTTTTGTACGCCAAAATTGAGCAAGCGAAATAAAGGCTCTGCTGGCAGGGTGCAATGTAGGACCGTGGAGAACTTTTTCACTCTTTGACTCAGTGACTTGGATCAGTTAACGAAAATAAAACAATGGGTCAGTGCAACAAAAGAAGTCTTCATCGTCGGCCCCGGGTCCCGGGTGGTACTCTTGGGAATTCTTGGTGGAGGTGTGCGCCCGGTTCTCCAAATCCTGACCTTCTCTCAGACCAAAAAAATTGTCAATTTCCACACCCTTTTACAGACCTGGCCTGTAAAATCCATATCCTTTTCCAGACCTGGAGGAGCTCACAAAACGCGACATACGACATACACTCCCATAATTACCTCGAAAACCGTACCCGATTACACGCCAAAATGAGCAAATTCGATACCCGTTTTCAGAGCAAAACAGCTCGAAAAACATATCCTGCGGGGTGGCATACACGACCGTAAATCCTCTATCAAGCCCCCCCCCTCTAATAAGCCCCCCCCCTTTTCAGGGGAAGGAAGTTGATAGGTCCCCACTCACTGTTAAGCGCCCCCCCCATTTTTATTCTTCACTAATAAGTGATAGACTGTATTAATCAACCACGACTGTAAAACATCATGTAGACTGATCCTGGATGGTTTTCTTACCAACTGGAAGATCGAAATTGATTCTGATCCTAGGCTGCATGACCTAAAACTTCTTGTGCTTGAGCTTGTCCACTTTGTATTCTAGTTCTTTATGGAGAACTGATACCATCGTTGTTTCGGGATTAAACAAGTTCCCCCCCCCCCTCTCAAATAAGCCCCCCCCCCCTCAAGTGGACTTGAAATAAATAAGCCACTGGGGGGGGGGGGGACTTAATAGAGGATTTACGGTATACCGTTTATATAAGGGAGTACCCCTCCCACCGGGCCACGGTTTTACAATTTTGATAGCCTGTTCCAGGCTCCGAGATAGTGGTGAAAGTGAAAAGTCGTTCAAAACTAAGAAAACGCGCTGTACGTCCCCTTTCCCAAGTCGCGCGCGTCTTATTTTCGCTTTGCTCGTTTAATACGTCCCCACTATATTACCTGAGAGCCTGGCACAGGCTACAATTTTGAGAATGACCAAGGACACACTTTAGTTTCATCTCAATATGACTGGAATGAATAAAAAACTAAGTAGTAAATGAACTTGCCTTATTTTTTTTAAGCATAATTGGAAGGTGATGTCCAGTTTTACTCCTAGCCAGCCACCTTTGCCTAAACTATGCTTCTACTGAGCCAACTTTTCAGTCCTGTTGTATTTCTTTGAACTAGCCATTTGTTCATGTAGTGGATTTTGCGTTTTCATGACTTGCTGTAACTTTGAAGAGTGCTAATAATCACTGCTGTTAGCCTGCGTCGCAGGCGCAAAAAGGGGAGGGAGAGGGGGAGGGAGAAAAGCACGAAAGAGGGAAAAAGGGAAGGGAGCGCCTGCTATAAGAGCCAGTGTTTTTGTATTCTGCCCACCATTTTCTGAACTAATCCGATAATGTCAACTGATACGTGACCAATCACTTCTCAGCATGGTCTGAACTTTTACTTTGTTTACCGGATATTGTCAAGTCGAGAAGCTTTTTTCAAGTGATATCAACATAGAGCGAAATAAAACATCTATACTGTTCTTCCTCCCGAAGCAAACACGGCAAACATATTGACTACGAACAGTCTCTCTCTTTTTTTACTGCTCGCAGTCCGCGACAAACAAGGATCAGTTTCGTGTTAATACACATCAAACAGAATGGTCACAAACTAGTCACCGGTAGCCTGTCAGAGACGCGAATAATGAAAGGAAAATCATACTGTCAAAAAGCTCAGCAGATAGTTTTTACTAAAGCTTCAGCTCTCTTTACAAACCATTTAGAAGTTCATTCAAGACGGTATATCTTCTTGCGGAAAAGGCGGTCTTGTGAATATTGGCATTGCAGATGTCTGGCAAGAATCGCAATCGCTCTGAACGCTTTGAATCGCCGCTCGGTGTTTGAACATATCCAGTGTACAACGTCTGTACACAGGCTATGTACAAACCTCCTGAGCCTCTCTGCCTGCTAAACAAGCTATTACAGTTGGTTCCAGTTCAGGTTTTAACGTTAAGTTGCTACATGATTGGAGTAATTTTGATCTTCCAAAGCTTATGTCAGTAGAACACATTTTCTTGATGCCTTCATCATGTTTGTCTCTCATTACCACGCCAATAATTAAGTTACTCATCACGACTCAGCCAGTCAGGAATTTGCGCCTAGCGTCCGCAACAATAAACAAAAGGGGGCTATTATAGAAGGCTTTCCTCGCCCTTTCTCCCCAATCCCCCTCCTTTTTGCCTTCCTCTCTATCCCCTAGACCCTACCCCTTTCGACGCCGGCAAGGCAGGCTACACTGCCGTTGGCCATCATATCTTGGACAAGAAATGCTGCAGATAGTAATTTGCGGCCTGAGACAGCGTTGAATCATTTCAGTTTTTATTATTCCTGTTCTGGTCTGAAAAGAAAACATAAGGTGTGTCAGCAAAAATAATTGGACTGTTAGGCTGTTATTGAAGAAAAGATAAAAAAACAGGAAGTCGGTCAAACTTCAGAAAGCGGCTAAAATTCTCGGGTTCGTTTTATGTTTCTTCAAATAACCAAGTCTCTTGAAGTTACTCTTTAGCCTCCCACGCACATAACTGGCTAATGAATCCGTCCCCGCGAAGGTTAAAAAATTCCCCTGACAGCGGGCAAGGTGCCCAAACCCTTACCCGTGGCTATAGGTTATTAGTACGACCTCATCACCTTCAAATATTCCCTTATGATTTGTGTCGAAGTATTCCTTGTAACAGATTATTTTCCCTAGCAGGATAACCATTTTAAGGTTACATTAAACAATCCATGAGTATCACATCTCAATAAAGAACATACTTAGACAAGAATTACTTGCTTTCTAATCCCTGTTTTGGATTTGTCATTGGTAATTTGCACTAAATAATAATTCCCTTCATCTGGGTCGTTCGAAACAAAAATAATACAAGAGGGAACTAGAACATATAAAAATAGACTGCGCAAAACCCCCAAAAGGGATTCTCTCTTTACGCCAGGAAGTTGTCTTAGATGTGAATAGTGACAGCTAAATTTCATCGACCGAAACGACTAGTGAAATGTCTACTTATGTCCTCTTACGCGGGTCATGGTACTGACACAAGAAAAAGTAATTGGCGAAAGAGATTTTGTTGAGTCTACTGAATGTATATTTTAGCGTAAAAACAACTCCAAATTGAGTCGGCAAAGGAAAGAATTGCGCCAGTTCAGTTCTCAAGTATTTGAGATATCATGATCACCGGAACATGGTACAAAAGTGCTATGGTGCTGCTATAAATTATGTGGAAAATTACGAACCAAATCGAACAAAACCGAGAAAGGTCCAAAAGATACACTTCTGTTAGCATATTTTTAAATGAAAGTAAACTTTGATGTTAACGAATTTCTATCTGCAAAAAAAGCTACTTGAAAATAGTTTTGAACTACAGCCAAACTAAAGACCATCAACTGTCGAGAAGAAACTTGCGGTATAGTTCTTTTTAACTCTTTTAAATACCTGAAACGAAGTAAACGAACTGACTGAAATGATAAAAAAAAGTTGTTGCTATATTATTTCTTACTTTTAACGTAAAGACAATGACTGAGGCACATCTAATCTACAAAAGAAGAGTCTGTTTTGATAAATTTTGACGTTACAACCTAAGTGCCCATAGCTGCCCATTGAGTCTGCACTACACATCCCACGCTGTTTTCTTTCTTAAACTTTTTAAAGAGGACAGTACAGAAATATCCTGACATTTTTCCGGGAAGACATAAATTTTGATATATACATATTAAATAAATTTTAGGCTTAGAGTATTTTAAACTTAAAAAGTTGGAATAATCTATCCTGCAATCGACTACTTCTTAACCGGGGAGTTGGTTAACGTCACTTAGCATCACGTGGTGTAATCGAACAACTCCTCCCCCATGCGAAAACTTTTCTTGTTCTGTCCGAGGGCATGAAAAACAACAACGCTTTCCTGCGTATCTAAAACTCGTCGGAAATATCAGAGGACCTCAAGGACCCGGTCCGACAACTTTGCCAACACTTTGCTCGAAAGGACGACGGCTGTATAAGAAACAACTTCCTTTGTGACCCAATCTGACTGCCGACCGGAAGCGAGGATTCCAACTAATGAAGTACATTAATTATAAGGCTGTGATAATTGCCCTTAATTTCCACAGTAGCTTTCGCATTTTCACATCAAATTAGCAGTATGCATTATTCAAGTTCTAACAAATAAAAAACCGCGAGAGAAAGCCATTTAAGAGCGACGAAACGCGTTTCCAAGGGCCCGTGCATGAGCTTCGTAGGGCAAAAGGTCAGTTGAAAGGAAGTCAGTGGGTGTTTGGACAAGTTTCAAAAAATTGTTGAAACATTACGGCAACAGTACCACAGATCTTTTTAAACCGAACTCTTGTTTGTTTCAAAGTTCCTCCTAAATATAAGGTTACACCTTGTGATGTTGTTTATTGACTTTCTAAAGCATTTTGGCAATATCTCAATAGCCAAATCATATACCCAGGCTATCCAGCTAATTAAGAGGAAGGAAGTGGCTCTATAAAAGTAAAAGAACAACGACACTTCTTGTTTTCCTTTTAAGTGAGAAAATAATTGATAACCAAGCTGAATAGAAAGAGGGTTTCCTTTAGGCGACAAAAATAACAATAAATAAAACAGCACTGAAGCGAGCGACCCGTCGAAACTTGTAGACTTTTTCTTAATGAAAAGATTATGTTGCGAGTCAAGTTAGCTTACGTGGCATGAAAAGGGGATTGGGGTAACAATCTGAGGCTAAAATATTGATCCCCTGGTAAAAGAATCGATAATGTTTCGTTTTGAACAAACTAGCTGAAGGAACCATTATTTGGTAACAATAAACTTACATGCAAATCACCACTGACAAATCGATGTAGAATCAGAAAGGGACGAAAAATACGAGGGTGAATAATGTTTTTGGTCAAGGCTTCATTCACGTTCGACTGTCTCGGTCGATGAAATTTAGCTGTCACTATTCACATCTAATACAACTTCCTGGCGTAAAGAGAGAATCCCTTTTGGGGGCTTTGCGCAGTCTATTTTTATATGTTCTAGTTCCCTCTTGTATTATTTTGTTTTGAACGACCCAGGGAATTATTATTTAGTGCAAATTACCAATGACAAACCCAAAATAGAAATTACAAAGCAAGTTAGTCTTTCATCAATACGCCTTTTTTCTCTTTTTTGTTTTTTGTGGTTCCATTTTACGTGGTTTCGATTTCTTTAATCCTAGACCGCAAATCCCCGAAAGATGAATAATATTTTTGTAAGCATTGATTCCTATGAGTATATTGCTGTCAGTATAAATTGAATTTAATACTTCCTGCTGAATATTCAATTTGTATAATGAACCTCAGACTCTGTATATAAAGACGTCGATTCCAAGCATAAAGCAGTTTGATTCTATCTTATCTTGCAGAAGAAGTGGTCCCGCCTCTGACACCAAACTAAGTAGAAGCAGAGCCAACACGCTCAAGGGATATCACTGCAAAATGGTAAGAAATCCAAGTCATGGATACATATATTTTTTTAAGAGTTCAAGTTCACCGAGCCTTTTAAATCAATTTGAGAAACTTTCCTTTTTTCATTACGATTCCGATTCGGCTCATTCTAGGAAGACGATTATTTATTTATTTATTTTTTTAGGCTAGCTGTGCAATGAAGACTTTGGGGTTCTCAATACTTCTTGTCCACATTTATTCCGCCACCTCATCTCAGGTATGTGGAGACATTACTCTTTTAAGTTTCCAAAGTTGTTCATTGTCTGCAGATATTCGCTTTACGCAAAACTATTCAACCCAATTTCGGGTTGTCGTTGTTGCTGCTTTTTTTTTTTTTTTTTTTTTAGAACAATTTTAGCCGTTTATCACCATATTCCATCTCGATACTGAGGCTGTCTTACCTTTTCTTTTTGGAAAATAGACCTTTCCAAAGAAATGAGGACTCGGGTGGACAATTTCATACAAATCACTGTATTTTGGTGCCTTTGTTTACAGGAATGCAGGAAAGGTTTATACGTTACTGGAAAGTGGTCATAGCCACCCTAGAAACCTATAAAATTTGTGTCCCAGATAATCTTATCAACAAACATACTGTCCAAAGGGGGGCAAAACAATTTCAGACACGAGAACCTCAAATCAAACAAACCTTGGCTGCACAAGATATACGAATTTCTGCTTGCCAAAAGTTGAATCCATTTTCAACACCCAAGAAACCAGAATAACTTTTAGCCCAGTCGAAGAATTGCGAGGAGATTTTTCGCCAAATGAACTGAAAAAATTTAAACCTCTCTTTTCTGTTTGTTCTTTGTTTGTTTCGTTTATTTATATTTAAACAGCGCAACTGGTACATGGGCGCTGATAAGATTTTTGTGTTCTTTAGGGGACTAGATAATTCCTAAAAAGTTTCCATGAATTTTTGTTGATATCAATGTTGTTTTCATTTTATGTTGTTTTGAATTTATTGTGGGAAAACTGAAGGCAAATCCGTTAAATTTCACAAGCTGGATACTTTTGCATTGATTCTTGCTGTCCATAAAATAAATATATGACTTCTTTATAAAATCGTCTGTTCAAAGTCCTCTATTTTTTCAATAAACTCGTCAAGATCGAGCACCGTTACAGACCGCCATCTTGGTTTAAAATGTACTGCCTGAGTGTGAAATCTACTTAGAGGGCGGGAAAAGGTTAGCCTCCAACGCAGGCGTTTTAGGAGAGCCCGTATTTTTATCTCTCCCCTGGGGAGGGAGGAGGGATGAAAAACGAGCTCCCCTGAAAACACCTGCGTGGGAGGCTCTAGCCTTTAGAATCAGTCGTTTTTAAAGGGAAACGGAAGAGAGAAAAAAAATAATGGACAATTCGAATCACGTCTCTCCTACGGCTCCTAAATGGAAGGCTTGATACTCAGCTTAGATCTTTTGCGTTTCAAATGCATCCTGGTGGGTCGAATTCAACTTCCAACTGCCCATCTCGAACTCACCCTTCAGTTAATAAACATCCTTTGTTTATTTATTTATCTATCTATTCATAATTTTTTGTAGCACATCTTGCAAATTGAAGAGAAGGGAACAAAATTTGCACAAGGAATCGAAATTGATGAACAGGAAAAGGTTGCAGTTTTCCGAGTTCCTGCTCACAATGGCATCATCGGCGCTGATTTCTACAATGATTTTAAGATGGTAAGTGTGTGAACTTTTACAACGACATTTAGCTCCACTGGTAGATTAATCTGAGGATTTTTAAAACTCGTGTCGAGTCGCTGCACAGACCACCAGTCCCATACAAAAATTGTGCGAAGCCGAACGCAAAAGATAAGTTTTTGAACTTTATTTATTCGTTCTTTTATTTGTTCCCATGCGAACTTTTCTGGGAATAAACAAAACCAAAGAAAAACTTGAAAGCTTCGATAAGAGAACTAGTTATCGTTTCTCAAGCCGCCCCTTAAAATTTACGAGCGAAAGCAAAGTTTGTCTTTCATTTATACACTGGGGCGGTCTTCTTGAGGATCCTTGACGGTTATTCAAACAGAAAACAAGTAAGTGAATTAAACTTGAGGCTGGGCAAGTGGTGTTTGCGCTCGTTTTTCTGTGCAAAGCGAAAAAGGAATTTACAATAGCATTTAACGTCCTTTTTTACTGTAGCACAGTTAAATAATGTTCCAGTCAGTTCTTTCATAAAATTGCTTGAACTTCTGGTCTTAAGCTAAAGGGAGGCAGCAGAAATTTGCTTTTTTAACTGAACTGTTTATTGTGCATATAAGCATGAAGCTTATCGATCTGAGAGAGCCCCCAACAGCTTTCAGGAGAACCATGGTCGTCTGTTAGAATCTGAATACAGTCATGTCCTTATGAAACCCTTTTATAACAATATTATTCTGATTTCACTTTTCTTTTTTTAGCGTGTAACCGTTACCAGGATTCTGTCTCGAAAAGTCTGTTATATTTCTGAAATGGACTCGACGCTGTCCGCACCAGGAAAACTGAAAGCGGATCTTGCACGGGTAGGCAATTTAATAAAACATAGTCTCAGGCGAGCACTATCATTTTTATTTCAGATAGATTCTACAAACAACATTTATTTTATCCGGCCCCTTTCAATCTTTTACTGTTTCGTGTTGTATCTTACAAGCAACCTCTTCTGCAGGGAGCCTAATTCGTAGTTGAAAGAAAAAAAAAAAAAGAAAGAAAATAACTGATCATCCTGGTTGAATTGGAGCCTTTTAAGCTTCAATAGTTTGTGTTGTGTCTCACAGGCCACTCCTATGGTATCCAGGCCAAAAAAGCTTCCTGTAGTGGAAAAATCTTACGTGGTGATGATTACTGGCAAAGCCAACAGAACCCTGCTAACGACGGAGATTTTGGATTTCTGTGGAGTCTTGCCCATTTACAACACAAAACGGTATCCGGACACAAGCACTACGAATGGAGTTGCCGGTAATGAAGGAAATAGTTAATATTACTCTTTGTTCAACATAATTAAGTTCTGCCGACTGAAATAGTTAAAGACTTCCTCACTAATTACAGGAACATCGCGTAGAATTCCAAGTCCATTGAGGTCAACAAAAAATTCCCGTCCTCGTAGGGGGTTAGTGTTTTGTCTTTTTGAAATGAAGCATACATGAGGTAAAAGCAACAAAACGGTCAAAGAGTACTGGAAACACGTTTGAAAAATAACAAAGATGGCGGCCGGAGTCGCAGAGAAATTTTTTTGGCTTTCCGAGACGTTTTCTGGAAGGTTTCTTCGCGCTTTCTACCCCTCACAAGTTCAGGTCCAATTTAAAAGGAAAAAAAAACCAGTTTTTATCGTATTCCTTGGTTTAAAAGACTTTGGTGGTTTTAAAGACAGACAAGAGAGGTCACGATTTCAGGTGTTACCCTGATCGCAATTTCTGTAAACTTTGGTTTTAATCTTTCCGTGAAAATCTACGCACGCGAAACTCCATGCAAAAATTTTGGTTGGTTTTTAGCGCAAAAAAACCAGTGAAATCGATATGCTGGCATTAATCGAAGGTAAGATCTTGAATTTCATATAGCCACGGCGTTCTTGATATTTATATTCCGGTGGTACCCATTGAGAATTGGTCACGAGCAACTCACAATCAGAGACAAAAAACTCTCATGTCGCTTTAGTCTTATTATTCCGCCATATTTTAAAGACCAAATCGTGGCTTGAATGCTGCTCTAGCCTGTTAAATTCCCTGTTGTGAGCTAGACCACGAGCAGTGTCTCTTTTTTCTTGGTTCGTCGAGCAAAACGCCCGAGACACACAAATGACTACGCGCGTGACTAAAGGCGCGAGACGGGAGAGGCACGACTGCCGCCCTCGTTTCTTGGGTCTCACAGCTTTGCCGCTCAACGCTCGCGCGCGCGCGTGCACTCCCCTTACTAAATCTGAAGAAAAAGAGAGACTGCTCGCAGTCTAGATGTGACTGGGCATTCTAAGTGACAAATAAATCCTTCAGTAGAAATAGCACTTGCGTCCTATTGATTTTATTGGTTCACTTCTCTCCTCTGTGATATTGGGGCGTTTAGGGGTGGATCGAGTGACCCACATTTCCCCTTTTTCTGTAAAATTCTGTTTTACTTTAAATAATTCATACCAAAATAAATAGTATCTTTATAGCCCTCACCCCCCACCCCTTTCTAAATTTTCTGGATCCCCGCTCCCCTCTCTGAGATGTCTTTCTCTGGCCGTTTTCTCCCTCCCCTGTTTTTCCATCTTCTCGAAAACAAGCATGTACAAATTTCAATTTGATCTGGAGGGTGCTACGGTTAGTTATAAACAGATTTAATCACTTCTGAAATCAACATAGATTTGTAACCTTTTTCAAATTAATCTTTGCCCATTTATTTTTTATCTTCATTGAAAATCATCAAAAATGACTTCCTTCCACTTTATATTCTCTACAATCTTTGTAAAATGATAGTGTTAATTGCATATTTCTTTCCACTGAATTGTTTTACAGTTATCAAAGGTAAACGGCGTCTGTTTAAGCGACAGGTGCTGCGGACAGAAACCACTCCTGTATATTATTTCAATCGTACCTGCAAAAGCATGAAAGCAAACAATGGACAAATCGATTGGAGTAGCTTGGAAGATTGCAAAGATGAAAATAACCTATGGGATGTAGCTTGTACATTTAAGGATGGGTTGTGTTTTTACTTTGTGACATGCAATTATCTGGGATCCCCAAGAAAGCAGTGGTCATGTTCGGAAACACACGATCATTCTGCGATTCCAGTATGCTGTGATCTCGTTTGTGGGCATTGAAACAGGATATTTTTGCCTATTTGGTTTGATTTAAAAAGAAAGGTCATTTCGATTTGTTACCAAATTTATAACCCTTTCTCAGTGCGTTTTTTGTTTTATAAGTTTAAGTTTCTTTGTGATATGCACCGTGTATGCATTCAGAATGTTTATCGCTGACCTCTAATGCAACCACTAATAATTAATAATGCAACTGACTAATAAAATGCTTTTTGTATGGAAGTGTCTGCTCTTTGATTAGCTCCTGAGTATCAAAGGAATTTATGCGCGAAAAGGGGAAGATAGAGACGATGAGGCATGTTACCAAAGCTGAAGGGGAAAGCGAGAGAGTAGGATCGGAAATTGTGGTCAGCGTTTACACCAAAGTAATAATCAGAACTAGGAACCAGTGTCGGTGGCTATTAGTAGGTAAATATCCACCACTAGCCATCTCTACTTCAGTGAATAACTGTTATATAAAAAAAGCCACTGAAAGGAACCCTCCTTTTCTAGGGAGGGGCTGGGTAATCAAGAAAAAACACCCCGGAAACAAGCTCAAACACACCTGAAATGAAAACTCTCCCATCGAGCTAAAAGTATTTTGTTTAGAGCTAGCCTGCGTAGCAGGCGGCGCTTGGAAGTAGTGGGCGAAAGAGAGAACAGGCGCGCTCGAGGGAGGCACGCGAGGAGTTAGGGAGTTCCCTTTTCCTTCGCGTGTCTCCTTCTCGCACTAGTCAGGTCTCTTAGTGCAAAATATAGGCCGGATCGTTACAGACGTGACAAAAGTGTCAAATTTGGCACAGAGCTTCCTTAGCACCTACTGATTAATACTGGAGGGGGTGCCCGTTACAAATGGTCCTAATTACAGATAAAAGGGGGGGTTAACTTTCACCTGTAATAGCAGATTGGGTCTCCTATGGTGAGTATTCTTCTTGTTTGATTTGGCTAAAAAACTTTTGTTTCAAATTTTAATGTTCTTAATTTGGTAAGGTTTAGTTTGTTGTGGCACTATTCAAAATAGTTTTACATGTACATAATACTGACTAGTGCCCAGTCTCCACACGGTAAGTGTGACCATGTTCACTGTGCGGTCTGTGCAGGTATCAGTGTCACTGCTAAGACTTGCCAGTGATAATATCATTACATATCAATTTAAACAGATCACAAAGCCAGGTTTCAAAGATGTCATACAATAACATAAAACCCAAATGTATCACATCCTAAACGACAGAATCGTTAAATTTTGACATGCAACATGAACGACCTCATGAACCGTAACTGACAACGCACCCACTTTGTGCAGCTAAGATTAGATTATAATTTGCTTCGTTGGCAACCCTGTCCTTGAGATAATGATTAAAACATGTCAACCTCGTCCTCATGGGGAAAAGGAGGAGCAAGTGTGGCACAGTTGGTTAGTGCGCAGCCTTCGGTGCGCGAGGTCCCGAGGTTCGATCACCGGTGTCAACACATCCTTTGTTTAACTTCTCTCCTTTCTGTGTAGCTTTGACTAGCTTTAAATACCCTTAAAACGGAGCATTAACGGAGAGAGGGGGGTAAAAGAAGCGCACCGTCGACCTCAAGTTTATCAGTTATTATTACTGTCACGAGTTATTGATGTAAAATATGGTCGCTTTACCTTTTTGTACCTTTTTCTTAAGCCCTGGGGACGAAGTTGTAAAACATGCCTCTCCAGGAATTTTCAACACTCTTTATTTTTTACACATTTGCATTTTAAAAGAAGTGTATGAGGTCCCTGCATGCCTAGACACCTTTTTAGGAGCTGATTCACTTCAGAGCCCTAGCACCAGAGTGTTAATGTTAGGTCTATACGATCTTTCAAAAAAAAGGAAGGTCGTCGCGTGCGTTACAATTTACAAACAAACTAACTTCAGAAGAGCTGAAAGTTACAGAAACATGGCCTCTTTTAGCCAACCAATGATGCATCATTGATGAAAATGAATGTAATTTGCTTGATGCAATTAGGCGAATACCCAGTGGTTACGAAATCTTACGATCACGAATTCCTCAAGTGCAATTCAGTTACCAACTTTTCACAAAATAATGCTGTGGAAAATTACAGAACATACCAAAAAAAGCAAGGGTCAACAATAATTATGGCCTGGTCCCTTATAATAATGGAGTGGTCATGATAAAGAAGCCCATCAGCCCCAACTTTGACCACTCCAACAGCCAAGTTTCCGACAGATTACATACCGCAAAACTTTGCATTCACTTATGCCTATGTTACCACACCAGGAGCCTAGAAATCGGCTCCTGGTCACACCTTGTTTTTATTGCTGAATATCATTCTAAAGAGTTTTACGAAATATTTTGTTAGTAGGGGTGTTTTGAACATGATTAAAATTTAAAGATGGTGACAAAAACGAACACAAAAAAAAAGTCACCAAACGAGACGCATGAAACAACCGCAATCTAATGTTCGTGTTACACCGATATAACGGCTCCTTTGGCTGCTATGCTGACCATCTTGAAGATGGAAGTAGTATCACAGCTAGTCCCGGGTTAGGTATACCGTTTATTACCAGTTTCACGGTTCTGAGACTTAGGCCCTGTTAACATAAAGGTGGGAGACCCCAGGTAGGTGAGGTGACCTGCTTAGGTGAGGTAAAATATAACCTTCCTTTACATGCAATCTTACAAACCCGCCATCCTGGGGTGCAGTTTCTCTGAATGGTCGTTAAGAACGTAAACAAGAAAAATTCTGGCCAACCACGTCTACGCTCACTTGCTGCTCTTGCTGCAACCTTCAGTGTTGTGGCTTTCTATTGTTACCTTTAATAATTATGTGAAGCCACCCGGCGCCAAAGTGAATTTTGCGTGAATTTGATGTATCACGAATCCAACCCCGACTAGCCTGGGTTACCTCACCTTGATACGATGACATGGCAAAATATGACCTCAGCTGAGAGGGTTACCTGGTGTGGCAGACCGTGCTACCCACCTTGAAGGGTCACCCCACCTATCATGTAAACGTGATCAAATTAAAGTGAGAGATTATATGGACAGGCGGGTTACCCCATCTAAGTGGGTTACCATGCCTACCTGGGGTCCCCCTCCTCCATGTAAACAGGCCCTAAAAGTTACCCGGCCCCCTTTCTACAGTTTCAGCAGTTAAGCCATTCACCATTTATCATTTGAGTCAATCTTGTACCACTTGAGTCCCACTTTTACGACTTGATAAGCTGTTATTATTTTTGGACATGGGTGCTTCAGTGCCAAATGTAGAGGCTTCATGATAAACTGTGCTGTTTTTTGAAGCTTGGGCTAACTTATTTCTTTTTTATGTTTATGAGACCAGATTCTTTTTTGTTTGTTTTTGCTTTGTAAAGCTTAGACAAACTGCGCGAATTGTAAATGATATGTCTTGTGCCACGGTGTTTGCTTCTATGTCAAAACATGAACGTGTGTCAAGCACATAAAGAGAGACTGAAAGGCATCCAGGCCTATGTTAAGTTAAAAAATTAATTACCTCCTTAGGAAAGAACTATTTTCTGTCATTTCGTCATTTGCCCTTCATGAACAGCTGTCATAAATCCCTGATAATATGTGATACAACAGACTCTTTGACAATTTCTTTTTTCTGAAATTTTGTGTGTGAATCGCTATGCCATACGCTTTCTTTAGCTTGAAGTGACATGTAATGACAAGTAATACTTGATAAATAAGGCTTAAGGCACACAATAAGGCCTCCTCTAATTGAAGTACATTAGAAAAGGATAAGAGAAGCCCAGAAGCTGAGTACTTGCAAGTCATGAAGCAAAGACGAGGCCATCTTAGGAATGACTTATGAAAATGTGGGCGGACTGTGGACTTCCATTAAGGGCACAGTAATAATCAACTTAATTATACAATCAATAAGCTAATAATGGATGGGAATGCCAGATGTTCGAGTGAAATTGTTGTTTACAACATGAGAAGAGCATTCTGAGTGATTTAAGGTATTAAATAACAATTTTCAATCAAAACACCACAGGGACCCCAGGAGGTGAAATTTACAATAATTAAATCCTGTTTAGCACGCTTCAGTGGCATATTTGCATTGGGCACCCCCTCTAATATTCATGGTACTGCAATAAGCTATCGCTGTGCAAAGTTTGGTGCTTTTGTCAACTCTGTAACGATCCTGACCTTAAGAGACCTGACTACACGCCCGTTTTTTCTTGTGACCACTACTTCCAAGCGCCTTCTACGCAGGCTAGTTTAGAGCAAAACTGGTCGTCTAAAAACACAATACTCTCAGCAGCAGGTAGCAGCCAATTTACAGGTTACGATTTCAAGAGTTAAGACTACAAATGTTAAACAGTTACAGCTCGTTTTTTCTTTTAAAAAGGCTAACGTTAGGGGAGGTTCAGAAATTATGTAACAACTCAAGTGGTTTAATATTCTAACTGCAAAAGGAAGGTTGCAGATCAACTGTGTGGGGTTCGTAACTAGCGGGTCTTAAATCAAATTTCTTATAAGAAGAGGAAAACAGAAAGAACAGGGTTAGCTTTGGGGCTAGAACGGATACCTTGAAATCAAGTTGGACACCTTATATTTATTACATGCAGTTAATCCCACTAGAGAAAATTCATTCTTCACGTGACTCAGCTCGTAAGGCCAGGGAGTGGCATTTGATAGATAAGGCCATGACTCTTGAACCTCATGGCCTAAACTACCGTGACGAATTATTGTAATCTGTCTCCCTAGTATTTTTTCTTTTCCAGTTTTTATGTTGTACGTCATTTCCGCCTCTCCCTTTTATTGCGACATTCTCCATCTATATAATATTGTGACTGCTACAGAAGTTCAGTAACACATGTAAACCTGAAGAAGGCTGGTATGGCCAGCCGAAATATTATAATAAAAAACAATACACGTTGTTTTAAATCAGCTTTGCAGTAGTCTTTGGACTTCTCGTTCTTGGTTATGTCTATTACTCAGCGCTATACCCGTCATAGAGAAACATTTATGAGAGTTTAGAGAAAAGTGGAGAAATCAGAGTAAGAGACAGTTAAGTGCAAGGAAAAGAGTTGAATACAGGGTTTGGCACCGAAGTACAGCGATTAGACACCTGCCCCCTGCTCAGGCCTCAGGCGCTTCGTTTTTCGTACAGATGCGAGTGACTGGTGACGAAGCGCAGGCGACCATGCATGGGAAGAGAAAAATGAGAGATGCAGACATCTCATCCGTTTTCTCCTTCCTGCCTTTCTTTGGGCGTGCAAATTTTCATCGAGATAGAGACGTCTGGGTATGAGGCAGGTTAAGCACTGTTTTAAAAAACGGTTGGCTTTCAATAATGTAATGACCGATGCCATAATTAACCGGTGTCGGCAGTTACCCCTTTATGGTGTATTGAATACGGATGTGGATTATACATTCAATGATGCAGGCTCAAGTCCTTAACATACCACCTACTGTTTTCTTCCGTTTTCTTTGTTCTCTTATTTACTACTTTAACTTATAATACTCCTATCATGTATTTTGAGTAACGATGACAATCTGATTGGGGTATCCATTCGACCATTCTAGTCACAACCAAACAGAACCATGTGTCACTGCGTGGTAGTTATTATCATTATTGTCTCTATTATCACAGTCTTTGCTGGTGTTCTTTTTGTTCATCAGCCGGGCGCAAACCATGCACCTAGAGCGTCAGTCACTCAAGTCAATCATTCTGTTCATACACTGAGCACCTTTCTGAGGATTCGTGCAGATCCCAGCATGCAGATCTTTTGAATCTCTGTCATAGTAGCTCTCTCTGATACTTTCTTGATGTTTTCTACCATACCCTTCTTCACTGTACCAAGCGCACCAACAACCACAGGGATCACTACGGTTTTCATAGGCCACGTTCTCTGTATTTCTAGTTCTAGGTCTTTGTACTTGCATTTTTTTCCCAGTGCGATGTTTCTATCTGATGGAACAGTCATATCAATAAGTTTGCAGGTGGAATTCACTGAATCTTTAACGATGATATCTGGTCTGTTCGCTGTTATAGTTCTATCAGTATTGACTGGCATGTCCCACATGATGGTGATGTTGTTATCTTTATTGTGTATCACGGTCTCTGGTTCGTGTTCGTATCATTTGTCTGTAATCTCTATATCATGATCTTTGCATATGCTCCAATGGATATGCTGCAGCATTATTGTGCCTGGAGATGTACTCTGTTTTGGCTAATACCTCACATCCAGATACAATATGGTCCACTGTCTCTTCATGTTGCGAACACAATCTGCATTTGGTCTCCACTTGCTGGCCACATATTACTTTCTGGTAGTTTCTGGTGTTTATTGCCTGGTCTTGAGCTGCAGCAAGTAGTCCCTCTGTTTCTCCTTTCAAATTACTTGACAACCATTTGTTGGTGGTGACTGTGTCTACATGAACCTTCTCTAGGATCTTTGGATACTGGCCATGCAATGCTTTGTTTTTCCACTTTTCTTCTTTTATTGACTTCATCCTGGACTTGAACGCGTGTTTATTATTATCATTATTATTATTATTATTATTGTTACTACTATATTACTATAATTTTTATGGTATTTCCTGATCATTTGAAAAATGAAACATGTGGCACGTTATCAAAAAGATGGACTGTTAGTCTTCTCTCGTAGAAAAAGCAAACAGGAACACATATCAGTAAAACTCGAGAAATTTGTTTTCAGTTGTTGCGTCCCTTTGCACGTAGCTTAACAAAGCCTCGAAAGAAAGTAGAAAGTTTCCCAATGGACCGATTATTTGGGAACGGAATAGTGATTTGGGGCTAAGATACTGATATAACTTGAAAAGCAACTGATTATGTCTCGTTTTGAATTTAACTTAGCTTATGGAAACATGATTGGTAACTGTTATGAATTAAATCCGTTTCCGATGGCAACGCGTCCCTTGGATTCCCTAAGGGTATTTTGCATTCTAGCGCGATATTTAAAAATTCAGTTTGAGCTAGCAGTGGACATGAACAGAAGAAATTCATCCACTGGGATATGTTTTTGTCCAGTAATTTTGTAATGCGTTCCATTTTCGCGAAAACGAGTCATCAATTACAAACGTGAGACTACTAACTGTCAGTAACGCCAGTTTGCGATATTTGTTACTCGATATTTTTAGCTACAGGCAAGAAAAATCCTTGTTACTTTTGCGATTTTTGCGATACTTGCGGACTTTGGTTAAAATTGTTGTTCTTGCTATTTTTGCGATATTTGTTACTCGATATTTTTAACGAGCAAGAAAAATCCTTGTTACTTTTGCGATTTTTGCAATATTTGCGGACTTTTCGGTGCCCTTCTTGGCCTTTCCTCTTTCTAAGTCTTAAATGTTGTTACATTTGTTATTTTTGCGATATTTGTCATCTGTGGTTTTAGCTAGCAAGAAAAATCCTTGTTACTTTTGCGATTTTTGCGACATTTGCGGACTTTTCTGGGCCCTTCTTGGCCTTTTCTCTTTCTAAGTCTTGAATCTTGTTACATTTGTTATTCTTGCGATTTTTGCGACATTTGTAAGTGATTTTCTTACATAATTTTTTTTCATTATTTCTTTTGCGACAATTGCGAAAAAAGTTTGGTAGCAAATTTTTGCTAACAAGATCGATCCTAGACATATCTCCCGAGTCGCTACGTTAGGTTCCCCGTCCCTACCACCCCCCAGAAGAAAAACCTTATGCATTGACACTTTAGAAGTTCATACCGATCATTCATTCGTTATACAGCTATTTCGAGAAAGGTTGTCGGAAAAAATGTGCACGCGACAATCCCGAAAGGTAATATGGGATATGATCAATACACTGTTCCTGACGACTGTAGCTGTCGGACCTACTTTTGTTGCTTTCCTTTAGCACTCGCGACACATTTCCAAGGCCTTATGTGCCAATTCTTTCAAATTTCTTTGAAAAGAAGAGAACTCAAAACCACCCACAATGCCTTTCAGGATTGTCGCGTGCACTTTTCCCGACATGCAACCTTTCTCGAAATAGCTGTATATTATTTTTCTTTCCTGCATGCGAACTTTTATAGGCTATTGAAAGCTAAAGTGACCCTTGAAAACTTCGATAAAGGAATAATCGTTTTTTGACGAGTTTACTAGAAGTCGAAACAGTAAATACTATAATACTGATAAAACAGCAAACTGATCCTTACGGCAAACAGATGAAAAAGAGGTTTACAAAATACTTAAAACAAAAATTGTATTTTAACAATTTAACCTTCGGACGTACAAGCGGGGGGGAGGGTGGTTATCACCCCCCCCCCCCTCCCGTCTGAGGTTTTTTTTCCTAGACGATAAAACATCAGCACCTGACGTTTTCAGTATTTGTTCGTTTATCCCTCGCGCTCTTTTTGAAACAAGTTTGGTGACGGTCAGTTACTATTGTTACGAGATATGACGTCATAAGCAGCCGTTGGTCAAGCCATTTTGTATTTTGTATTTTGTACTTTGTATTTGTATTTGTACTAATTTGCCACACGTAACACGATTACAATTACAAAAACATACAAAAAAAATGTAGGAAGAAATGGCGAGGAGGCCTAAAGGAAACTATAAAGCTTATGTTAATTAGGCCTCCTCAAGAGCCATAATGGCTCTTGGCGTCCTTACAAATGTTAAATATTAGACAGCTTTTTCCCAAGATTTTTGTTGGAGTATACTAATATAAATTATTAAAAACAAATGCCTGAAGTGCTCTTTTAAAGGAAAAAGGGGAGGAAGCGTTGATGATGTTGGTGTTTAAGGTGTTATAAAATTTAGGTCCTTGGTAAAATACCGAAAATTGTTTGATTCGAGTACGACAGAAAGGCAGACGAAATTTAAAGTTGTTTCACGAAATTCAGCCAAATTAGGAAATTACAAAAAAGCCTATTAAGTTAAGAGAAACATAAAAATAACGGCTTAAAACTTTAAAGGAAAGTTAAAATAACATAACGGAAACAACAGATGCCACGGTTTGGCAAAACTGAAGATTGAAACGGATTGAAATTAGGGTTTTTGAAAACTGGTCAGCCTAACAGTTTTTCAAAGTTGATCCCTGCTGCTTGCAACTTCAAAAATAATGCTCAGGAGACATATTTGTTTGTCACGGATCTCTGATTTTGTCATTTACATGTAATTTCTTTGCTTACTTTAAGTTCCATAGCAATTGAGGGCGAGTAATTGGCAAAATTAAACAAAATGAACAGGACTGCCGTGACACAGCCCCTTTAATTTACAAGAGTTTCTCATATTATACGAATGAATTTGACTTTGTAAGGTCAATTTACAGTGAAATTTTAAAGGTAGAGTATGGTTTTGATAGGAGTACGATTAAGTATATATCATGAAATTTTAAGATACCAAGATTTTGAATGACTGGATCAGTATATGTGCATCGAAAGGAGTTTTAGCCGTAGTTCTGAACACTCGTTTCTGTAAAAGTTGGTTAGAGCGGCGTCATGTATTTTTAAACTTGGCGGGTAATAAATAGGTTTAAAGTGGGTTCAAACATAAATGTTTGGTCGCCAAACATTTGAATTTTGAGAGGGCCCTAGACAAATGTGGGCACACCGCTCGCGATAAAGAATTGACCGAAACCGGAAATCGCGCATAAAAAGTCTCTGGCATCCAGGTTAGCGATTGTCTAACAGCCTGAAGCATCCGAGGGGGGGGGGACTTCGCATATGAAAGGGGTGGGACTGCTCGTCGGAAATTTTGAATTAAAAACCTAAAGGAGACCGATCTGGGCGGGGCCCAAGCTTTTTTTTGACCCCTAAAAGAGACCATGTTAAAACACAGACAATATATATTTTTCGCCTCCAACCCTAAACGAGCCTTCACGGCTAAATATGATGGTGTTTTGCCCAGAACACCCTAAGTGAGACCAAAATCCGAAATTTATACCCCTAAGCGAGACGACGAGCATCCCCACCCCTCTCATATGGGGAGTCCCCCACCCACCTCCCCCCCCCGGAAGCATCTGACCTGATTTGTGTTCGCAGGGTGAAATATTCATCGCAAGTATTAGATGTTAAGGAGAAGTAATGCAGTTTGAAACTCTCAAGAATAATTCTTAAAAGCAAATGTACCGTTTCTGAAAGAAAAGCATTCCTGGAAAAAGAGAGAAAATATCTTGCACATTTGCATAAAGAATTGAAGCCAGCGACCTATCAAAGGTTTCGTGTTTCGCGCGAGATAACCTTTACTTTTGGCTTTCACGCTGTGTCAGAACTCAACATTCTTTACTTTAAATGGCTACCAGCCGTTAGAAAATCTCACTCTTTAATCTCAAAGATCAAAAACATGTCAACAACAAGAGCCGATTAGTATCGGCTCCTGGCGCTAATTTCAAAAATGACTGTCAAACTTCAAATGTTTGGCGGCGAAATATGTCACGTTCACGTGAAAGTAGACCACGCGGGTCACGGAAACAACAGACAAAAATAACCAACGCAGTACGCGTGCGAACTTTAAATAGATTAAAAAAGAATTATTATGGGACACAGGGATTCGCTCTTCTTAGCTCATTCTCTCCTGGTTATTTTCAATTGTTATATTCCTAGAATTTCACTCAACTAAACAGGGACTGCCATTGGTTGATTCTTGGTCACGTGGCCTTGACTAAAATCAAATGTATCCCGATCGTGATACATTAAACAATGTATCCCGCTCGGGATACATTGCAGCACGTGATCAAAGCATGGTGGAAAGTGGCGTGACAGAAGGCGGGAAAAACGCCGCCAGGTCCTGCCGGTTTTCTTTTTCGTGAATGAACACAAGAACACAATCACGAAGCCTCAAGCTAAAAAGCAACCATTTTTAAAGTTATCCCAGAAGTTCCCAGTCGAAGAAAAACAGCAGCTAGTGGAGGAAAAAGATGCAGATGATATAAGGAAAGTATTTTTGTTTGTAAATCATTCATTCAGTGGTTTTGAGAATTAAATTTGTGTTGTTATAAGTACCGAGTCGACTGTTTTGGTTCGTTTTGGTTCGCTCCGGTTATTCTTTTGTTGCTGTTGAAGTGAAAGTTCTAGAAATATAACAAAACACTTAATGTCAGATCCCTCGGGAAACCAGTTACTTTGTTTTCCCTCGAGTCCTGATGTTTCCCTCGACTTCGTCTCGGGAAACATCAGGACTCTCGGGAAAACAAAACTAACTGTTTCCCTTGGGATCTGACATTAAGTGTATAATGTCCCACACAACTAAAACCTCAAATATTCTATTTGTTTTTAATTCGTTAATAACATCTTTTCAGAGCAACAAAAAAAGCTAATTCGGCAATTGTCACGTGACTGATGATGTCATTAACCTAGATGTGACATGGGAAGATATTTTATGCATTACCTTTTCGTGGTCTGTCATTCTTCTACGTATAAAATTGTAATATAAAGCTTTTGAGAAAAATTTGCTCTATGGATTCTGGGATAATTTTTATGATAATTATAATTTACTTTTATAATTATTATTCCTGTTGTTGTTATTGTTATTATTATTATTATTATTGTTTGTTTACATAAAAAAGTAAAGAAGACAATAAGATAGACCAACTACATTCAACCCCATAAAATCTTTGAGGCTCCAGTAGCTCAAGCAAACGGAGCAAACGGCATTTTGATTGACCAATAGAGTGTCATCCAATAATGAGAGGATGTCAAACATTCTCACTGCATACAGGAGGATATCCTTTCGACAAGGTATAGAAAAATAATAGTTTTAATCGCGTTTCTTTCAATAAATTGTTTTGCAGTTATTAAAGGTAGACATCTGTTCAAGCGACAGGCACTGCGGACAGAAACAACTCCGGTGTATTATTTTAATCGTACCTGCAAAAGCATGAAAGCAAACAATGGGCAAACCGATTGGGGTCGCTTGGAAGATTGCAAAGATGAAAATAACAAATGGAATGTGGCTTGTACCTCTCAGGATGCGACGTGTTTTTACTTTGTCACGTGCAATTATCTAGGATCTCCACGAAAGCAATGGTCGTGCCATAGTTCTGCAATTCCTGTCTGCTGTGATCTCGTCTGTCAGCAGTAAAACAGGATTTTTTAAGTGTGTTCTTTTATTAACTGTTCGCCTTAAAGTTTTTGTTTAATAAACGTTAAAGTAATGACATGTAAAACTGATTATAATCTTAATTTTTTTGCGATATGCACAGGGTATATGCATTTGCTGTGTACCACTAAAGTGAGTAATAAAGTGCTCTTTATATATTTGTGTCTGCTCTTTAATTTAAGGGAAAGGTATAAGCAATAGGGGATGTTACCCAAGCGAAGAATGTTCAAGATGGTGGAATAGAAAATCGTGGTCAGCGTTAATTTAGCAAAATTAAAAATCGGTTGTTATCGGAGCCTTTAGCAAGGACTACGGAAACAAAATAATCTGTTGAAGATACTGATCATATATATAGTACCTTATCATTTATCAATTAGTGGAAGTGAAAGGCAAACAAATTAAATTCACTTATTTAAAAGAAGTAGGGGAGTATGCAGCAACTTAACTTTTTAGTATTCTAACTTGCCTGGTTGCAAATCAATGTGTTGAACTTCGGAATCAGGTTTACAATGTAACTATATGGGTCTAAATTATAAGAGTTTCGTGTGAGAAGAGGAAAACGGGAAGACAGGACACCCAGTTCCTTGAGGTCCTTGTGCGTTCTTCAGCCTCAGTACTATCTGCGTTCCCAGATCTAAACATAAGACAAGACGCTTTGGGAGCGTATATTTGGGCGTCGATGTACTAGGCGTGTGTGAAGTTTTTTCAATGTGTGTTAGGGATGTGTGAGTAGCGCATTAGCGGTTGGTTGAGACGTTATATTGGACGCGGAATGGTAAGATAATGGCTGTAGTTTGTTACTGAGTGAAACTGGTTTCTCGTAGAATTTAATATGAAGTAACAAAAAATGAATTTTTTTGGGAAGGTAAAAGTGATTTTGGGTTTTATAGTGAGGTAGTTGTGGTAGTGCTGATTTGGTTATGAAGGGAGAGAGAAGTTAGAGTCTGTTTAAATGAAGTGGTGGTTGTGAAAGATCTTACAATAGTCGAAAACATACTTGTACTTATTTTAAATATTGCTAGGCTTTCTGTTTAGCATTGTTTTTCGGTTCTTTTTTAAATTTGTATGTAGAGGACGTGGATAAGGTAAAGTTCATTTAATATGGAGAATGGGGTTTGAAGATGTTGGGGGGGGGCTGAAATTTTGGGTGTGTGGGTTCGGGGGCCTTTGGAAAATCGGTAAGGACAAGATAGATAGATAGATAGATAGATAGATAGATAGATAGATAGATAGATAGATAGATAGATAGATAGTTTATTCTGATTAAAATCGCAGCCAAAAGCTGAATTTGATTAATCGTTACAATAATAAAATTTTCTCCTTCTGAATTTAGTTCGGCTGGAATTAAGATCGTCTGAATCACTTTAGCCGGTCTAAATAATTTGGGTCAGTCTTAATTCGAATTAGGTTCGCATCATGAAAAGTTCGGCGTCTGAACCGGGCCTTAGTTAAACGCAACAAAAATCAACTTTGCGATTATATGACAACCGAGCTATAGCCCGGTTAGCTGGGATCTCAGTATTGTGTTGCCGAGATCCCGGGTGGAAATTTTCCAAGTAATCACGATTACCGGGAAGCCCGGCAGATAAACCAAGCGAGAAGCAGGGCAGCAGGTAAAACACTGCTCATGTGCATTACTTCCCGAATCTCTATATAAAAATGGCGGCTGCGGGTTGGCCCTTTTCAAGTAATACCGGGATAAAAGTCACCTTGGCAGAGTTAGCCAGCCCAGCTCATGTGATGTGATCAGGCCCTTACTGCGAGTTGTATTCTCACGCAGTTTGCACTGAAAGCTTTGGAATTTGCGCTTTCGCGGTTTGAGAAAATACGTCTTAATCTAATTAACTTAATGGTCTAAAAATAGAAATAACCGTCACGAACGCGGTTTGCACGTCAAGATGTTGGGCTCTGCCTCTTTCAGGGTTCGAACGTGAAAGAATGCAACTTGTTTACGAGATCATTTTGCTCAATAAGATTTTAAGAAATCACGTTCCTTCCGAAAATCTGCGATGAAATTATGCTTCATTCATTGTTACCCTTATTTATCTCTTGCACGATCACGGAATTTTGTGTGACATATTCTTTGGCTTTCGACAACTGAGGGCAAAAATATTGTGAAACTCTTGGTCATAGACATCCTCGGAGACCCAGGGGCAGATAGTGGGGACGAGGGAAAGTCTAAACGGGCGGAAAAATGTGGCGCGAAGAAAAGTAAAGAACGGCGAGAAGAGCCCCTGGGGACAATAGGGCCATTTATACGAGGAAAAATAAGACGCGTCTTAAATAAGACGCGAACTGTACCATTTATACGAGCATGTCTTATCTAATAAGACGCGTCTTAACTAAGCCGCGTCTTATTTTAGACGAAATGTGCGGCAGAAAAACACAAAATTCTGGCACCTGCAATCAGAAGCCAGAACGGCGGCGACTGTTTGGAACTGGTCTGGTAAGACATTGTCCCCAGGGGCTCTTCTCGCCATTCTTTACTTTTCTTCGTTCCATATATATTTTTCCGCCCGTTTAGACTTTCCCTCGCCCCCTTTATCTGCCCCTGGGTCTCCGAGGATGGGTCATAAACCACTTCTAGCAATAAATAGTACTGAAAAAGGGCAATGACCGGTACCTATGATCCGGGATAAAAACATTCACGCCGTGTGCTGCGAAGACAATTATTTTCCAAAGGAAGAATTTAAATTATTTAATAATTTGTTTCAATGCGGTTGTTTCCTAGTACCGATTTGTTTACCGTGCGTTAGCTTTGGGACGTATTGACATTCGCGTCGCTTGGCTTTTTTACGTTCGCACGTAATGCGTGCCTATTGCAACTTCGAATCAAAACGAGCGATCTCTTGCATGCCTGCCCACTTCATTTTTGGCCTCCGGGACGGCGCAACGGTACCGTAAATTCGTTCCCCGCTACATGTACGCGATGCAAAAAAAGAAAAAAAAAACTTCAAAGCCTTTCCTTTATACTTTTAGATGACTACAAATGACCGATCTTTGACTTTTTTTTGTTACGAAGCAAGCGAACCAACGCTTGCAGTCTTTGTGGCCAAACCAAAATAAATAGCTAATTTTCACTCGACAAACCATGTTAGGTCGCGGTGGTGTAATCGGCTAATCCGTCAACTAAGGGTTTGATCTGACGGGATGCAGCTGTGCTGGGTAACCAAAACAAATAATTAATTATTCCTCGAATAGATTAAAATATTCATTGTAGCCAAAAGAAATCGAAGGGATCTCGAGATGTCTCGAAGTAAACTCCAGTCTCACTCGTTGAATAGCCGAAACAAGCCGAAAAGTCACGAACTCGTGCGCCTAATCTTGCCCCGAAACTACCCCCACAGGCTTGTCTTGGTACTCCAACATGCGTGGCCGCCGTTTCATTGTTTTGAAACACCAATATGGCCGCCGTGACGTCATGTGAAAACGCCCTATTTCTTCCTCGAATAAAATAAAGAAAAAAAAATCAAAGAACTCGCAGTGATCTCGAGATTTCTCGAACTAATCTCGCTCTCACTTTTGGACATTCGGAAGAAAGTTGAAGACATTCCTGAGCGTCGAAAAACCCTTTACTTGGTGCTCCGCGTAAGTAAATAGCTCAATTCCTGACTAAAAATGAACGGAAGAAATGAAGGAAACACACAACTTATTACTCCATGGATATTACGTTATCTGAAGGAATATCTGCAAGAAAAAAATCTATTTATATCCTTGCCGAGCTAGAAATTGGCCGAAGTTTAGAAGGAAGTCTACGAGAAGTTAATTTATAAGCTTGTTCAGAACTTAGAAATATTTTGAATGAAAAATAAAACAATTATTAAAGTTCGCTTGCGTAGGATGTGAAGAATTATGCTCATCTCGGAGCCTGTTATCCACCTCGGTCGATAACCTGCGATTAAGTTCTACTCGATATGCATGATATTCAATCACTGTTAAATGTTTTCATTTTGTTTTCAAAGCATGCAGTATCCTTTATCTAGCGGTGATTGATGTGGTGCTGACCGGGTAGACAATCAGCAGTCAATCAATAAATCAATCAACCAATCAAACAGTCAATTAGCCAGTCAATTAATCAGTCAATTAATTAATCAATGAGTCTCTCTTTTAATCAGCCATTCATCAGTTACATCATTGTAAACTGGTTAACCAATCAATTAATAATATGCGCAAAGCTTGTAATTTTTTTATGTATCCTCAGGGTGGGCAGATAAAATCGCAACAGATAGGATTCTCGGAACTCTTGTGGACATTGATGCATTCCCATTCATGTCCTTTAGCTATGTGATTTGGTTTTTTCTCACATGTTACGAAGTAGTAGCAGTCTAGGGATCTCGGTTCCATTTTGCATCTAAGATCCCAGTGCTTACTCATCATGCAATCTTGTATATAGTTCAATTGATCATATTCTTCGGCGGGGCACAGTTTCAAAGTTTTCTTGGTTACATCTATTGTTGTCTCTCTCTCATCTCTCCTTTGATATCTCATTCGGATGGCTGCAAAATAATTTTAAAATTCATAATTTAAAAATGAAGTCACACACTCATCCTATTTCCTTTGCCGCAACATACATTTTCTATCGTCCTTAAAGTCAACTTTGCCTTTAGCTTTGTTCAGGAAACCGCGTGGCAGGCATTTTAATAATAAGCAGAATAAGGGGCAGTGGAAAGGAAGGAAAGGAGGAATCAAAGTGTGCGAGGAAAAGGTTAGCTCGTGCACTACACTTCGTGTTTTTTTTTTATATATCAAGAATATATTTTTAATTATAAGAATATGGAGGCTAAAATTAGCCAAATTTTAAGAGTATTTTAATAATAAACCTGATGCTGATCATGAGACTTTGAAAAGGATATAATTTTGTGGGTTGACTCTGTTGATACAATCAAGAGAGCTCAATCTCTCTTAATACAATGATGAAATTATTCGTTTCTCTAACAGCAAAATAAGCCAGCAAAACAAAGAAATCTGCACTAATTGTAATTGATATCCCAATACATTCTAAAACGGAAATCTGATAATCTAAAATATAAGAATATTACAAGGACATTTTTAGCCTAAAAATAGGCAGAAAATAAGATAAAAATGTTCAGCCTGGGCCGGAAAAACAACATTCTCATTAAAAAGAAAAGAGTGCAGCGGATTTAATGGGGTGTGGTAAGTTTAAAACAATTATAGCCTTTTCCTTCCTCGCGTGCCTAAATCGTCTGAAGTCATTTTTGCATACATACGACAAGAGAGGATAAAGGGGACAGAGAAGGCATCCCCCATACACACCCTATTCCTTAGGTAATTCGTGTCGAGTTATTTTTAAGACCACAGATCGCGAGGGGGATTAGACAACAGCCAATCACATAGTGCGAATGTCTTCCGCGTGGATGACCCGCCCTTAGGCCTTTCCAGATTCTGCTAAGAAAAAGCTAAAAAGTTGCTAAGAAGTATGCCAAAAAGTAGCTCAAAAATTTTGTAAAGTTGCTCGAATATTTTTAAGACAGCATGTCTAATTTTATTTTATTTTAATTTTTAATTTTTAATGATGTACTAGTGAGCAGCACACTTACACTTCCAGTGAACATTTTCACTTGGAAGAAGGAGAAACCATTTAAAAAAAATAAAATAAAATAAATAAAAATAAAAAAAAAAGTAGTTTTAGTAGAAAGATGTTTAGAATTTTAACCAAGAGAATTTTAACTTGTTTATTTTTAAAAAAGGGGGTTATTCAGCATTTTGGTTAAAAATAGCCCAAAAGTTACCAAAAAAGTGCTAGTTTTCCGAAAAGTTGCTAGAAGTTGCTCTCTGACAAAAAAGTTGCTCAAAATCCTAAAAGTTGCTAAAAAGTTGCCGAGCAGAATCTGCAAAGGCCTACCCACGCTCAGAGCCACGCGTCCTTCACGAATTGACGCTGAAAAAGAATGGCGGAAGACGCGGAGAGCGATATTGCTATTCGTTTTGTCGAGGAAAACGACTAAAGAGAGATTTCTGCTAAAGCTGTGTCAGCGAAACGGAAATTAAAAAAGAATCGCCCTTCCTCTCTTGTATAGAGCTAACAGTACAACAGGGAAATCATTAACACATGGAATATTCTCTCAGGATCACTTATAATTTACAGTTTGAAGAGAGCAATTTCTGGTTTGATATTTATTCTTTTATTAGTCTTTTATTATTCAACAAAAATAACACTTGGCATCCTACTTGCTATATTGTACAAACGACCGGTTTCAATAGACCGGCGAAATGTCTCATTCTATTAAAGCACTGAGGTTACGACAACTTCGAGTTAAACTGATTTCACGGGTTGTCAAAGAGTCCAGCGATTCCCATTTCCCAGGTGAGCGCCGACTCATTTCGCTTCAATGTTCAGAAATGCTCTCGATCTCTTCACGCTTTCATTGCCTCTCGCCCGACATGTTTTGCACGGCGTTTAGTCATGCGAAACCTCCACGAAACATCCACACAGCGCGCGAGGTAAGTTTATCCTGATTCTAAAAATATTAACTCGAGACGAATTACCTATATAGGGTGTGTATGGGGGATACCTTCTCTGTCCCCTTTATCCTCTCTTAATACGAACATTCGCCTGTTATGGTGCGGCCATTATGACTTTAATTGAATTGTTTGAGTCACTCGCACGCTCTACAATTACTTAAGGATCTATTTTACTTTAACTTTTTCGACGGTTTGGTAAAATCAACAGTTTTGATCTTACCCATGACCAAAATTTGTATCCCACAACCCCCCTGGCCTGGCCTGCTTTGTGGATGTCCTACGTCCAAATCCATTATTTATTTATTATTTATTTTATTTACTTTTATCATTATTAAGAGGAACTCTATCAGGCGTTCACTGCATGCATGGATCATTCAGTACAGTTTGATTGCTGACTACTGAAACAACTTCCGGATACAATTGCGAAAGATAGATATTGTATCTCTACTTGGCCTTGTTTTTTCACTACAAATGTGACTTTCCAGAGTAAACTTGTAATTTTCAAATCTTTTGGGAAATGGGTTCTAACGGTGGACAACGGTGATTTAGGAAACGAAGGCTAGGTTTACACTAGTAGCTTTATCTGTATTCATCGGTGTTTGCAAACTGATTACAATTCGTAGGCGTTTACACATATCAGTTATTCGGAGAACGTTCTCTGGCTTTTTAAAATATTCCGTCAATTTAACTTCAGGGTTCACAATCTCTTGACCAAAGCGGAACGTTTTCATTTCGGATTTACCCTTCTGCGTGTAAACGGCCGAACGAATGCGTTATATATCCCAAAATGTTTCGAATTTGTCACGAACCCGCGGAAAAATCTCTGTCATATGTGCCCGTTTTACTATTTACCATTGACAGCGTAACTCTCCAATTCCAATTTTTTTCTCAGTAATTTAAGTTCTTAGATAAGTTCTGTTACAAATCTAAGAAATGGCCTGCACTAATTAACGGATAGCCCTACAAATCTAGCCTCTTACTTGCAGTTCCATTGTTCGAGTCATGAGTAGGTTCCAGGGTGTATCGTTTTGTATAATAGATCGGCAATACCCCACAGAAGTCCAAAATCTCTTGTGAGAGAAGACCTCGATTAACAAGTCCAGTAACCATAACCACATCCGACCTTGTTTCGACCGGGAGTTCCTTAGGTGGGGAAAAGGAAACCACCTGCAATGCCGTGAACACAGAACATTTGGATTGTCACCGTTTCCGCGTCTTTGTTTTAATTTTGTGCTTATAATCAGTAGGCAGCATTTAAGCTCTTTTCTAAATAGACCTTTTTAAATATATTGTTAAAGGCTCACTGAGCTAAATTGTTTTTATCTATCACTAAAATATACATCATGCTGCGTGCAGTGGTGAACTGACGAAAAGAGTAAGTAAAACACTAAAGATATGAAAATGTGATACGAAGTCTAGCAAAATTTAACACTAATTGCAGCAAATTCTCTCTTGCTATAGAGTTTTCTTGATAAACTCTTATTCCCGGTTTAAAATAATTCAGTGTGTTATCAAATAAATGCTGTTACCCGCGTTTACCCCTGCTTTCCCTACCCACTGAATTTTATGAACATGTGAGTTTTGATTTCTTTGTGCAGACTTTGTCATATAGCGAGATAAATCTTCCTCGGTTTTTCTAGTTGTCTGCACCGGACCCTAAATTATTCTCAGAATTAATAAAAATTATATTTACCCGCGTAAGGTCCTTCTTAAGTTTTCTTATAGATTTTACGGATGGACTCATTTCAGAAATATAGCAGACTTGTTTTCTCGGGATCCTCCTTATAGTAATGCGCTGCAATTAAAAAGAAATATTGTTAAACAATTTGTGCGCAAGAACTAACAATCGGGCGTGGCACCTAACGACGGCTTCCTCCTAAATACATTGAAACACTTTTTAGGCTATCAAGAGTACGTTTAGATCTGTAGAATTGCATTCTAAGTGGCGCTATAAAATTTCTACCTGTTCAGTCATCCTAGGGCAACTTGAGTCTTTTCGAAATTACAAGGGCTTCAATATTATTTTTTCGAAAATTTTAGAGGCAATTTTAAGTTGTTACTATACGAAAGTGAGAATTTTTCGGATTCCTCTCTACATCACATTTTTGAATCTGAAAATTTTTGGCTCACTTTTTTGTATGAAAAATAGCCTAACCTGGGCAGTGAAATGTGAAAAATTAAAATTCAAAAAGTCGTAGGGAATTTATTAAATAAGCTTCGAAAATTGCATATGAATGGAACTGTCATTTAGAAATTTTTAGCCGTCCTCAAGTAATAGAAAATTCTTGGCAATATTTGCTTCTCCAAACAGATGTTCAAAGAAAACAGTCGTTGGGTGCCCCTGTAACAAGTTTTCATTTGGACGGTAAAGAGCAAACAGAGGCATCACATAATTACTATAAGAGCTTGTTCTTTTTCAAGGAATTAATATCCTTACGGGAAAAAAAAATTTCGTTGCCCCTACCATTCAATAAAGGTTTCGGTCCTTCCTGAGACACCCATTTCCTGATCGATTCATTTTCTTTATCACTAATTCCTCTAATAATTTGGTGTGTGCTTAGTAGGTGGCTGCTAGCCTATGCAGCAGGCGCATGCGCGAACGGGGCGCGCTACGGAGACACGCTTGGCTCCCTCGCACACCTCGTTCTTTCTTGCGTCCTTAACTTCCAAGCGCCTGCTACGCCACAGGGCATCCAGACTCACAACAGCCTACCGGTACTCAAATTGTAGGGATTTGTATGGGAATTTATCGTAAGATCGATAAAAAGGTTAAAATGCACATAAACAGCCTTTAAAGTTTACATACCTCATCTTACAGTTTCTGGCCCTATAAACGCCATTTTAGCAAGTTTCGATGTTTTGGTTTCTCACCTAGGGAAACCAAAATTAAACATCGAAACTACGCAGGCTAAGTGAATTCAGCCACCCATCAAGAGATACCTTTATTTCAGAGCTTCCTCTACGAATACATGACAATTCTCCATGTCTTTCATATCTTACGAATTAAAAGGGTGCAAAAACTCACCAGATTAAAGTCGTGGTAGAAATCGGCGCCATTTACATTGTTGCGAGCAGGAACCCGAAAAACTGCCACGTTGTTTTCTTCATCGAAATCGATTTTCTCCAAAAATCTGGTTCCCTTTTCTTCCACTGCCATTGTATACCGAGAAACCTAAATATTTGAAAAAATCTGTATTATTTAAATTTTTACCTCATTTTATCTCTATCACGAGTGCGGTGGACTCATCGAAAGATCTGTAACAGTTACCGTTACAAGAAACTTCGCTTCTCAGTAATCTCTCTTGCTTCAAGTCATTTAGGTATATAATACGCCTTTTTGGAAGATATCGTAAAGTCAAAAGAATGTCGGATACCCCTTGATAAAGAGAAGTTCCTTTCAATTATTTTACAACCAGAAACACTATTAAAGGGAGAAATAAATTTAAACGTCCTTCCGGTTGAGTGATCCAAGGAAGAATGAAGAGAATCCTTTGTTTTTTGTATTACATACGGCTGCCGTTTCATCTTAACTTAATCAGTTAATTGGCATGCATATACAACTTCCCCAAGTGTGATGATTCTTCTAACTTTACGGGTTCTTCAAAAAGCTTATTAGCTAGAACGTCCTACCGTTATCTGGAAGGTCGAACTGCACGATTCCCACTGGTGGCTTGGAATTTTTTCCGAACATTTCTTTGTAACAGCCTAATTTTAAGCCTGATTTTCATATGTCGGGAAAATCCAGACGTGCGGGGATTTTACTATTTCCCGAACGTCCCAGATTTTCCGAATAATGAAAACTCGAAATCGTAGACATCGCCGATCGTCTGGGATGGTCGGGGAGAAAACTGTTTACTTCTTCATCGCCTTGCCGTAAGGATCAGTTTGCCGTTTCATATTTTTCTACAAGTTCAATTGCACTGATCCAGGTCTACAACTGGGAGATCCGGCACCACTCATTGATTTGTTGCTGTGGACTTGCTGCTATTTTAAATATTTTGGTTCCAGTCACCCTATCGCACTTTCAATTTCCACCTGTCACAGTGCATGATATGCGCATCCCCGCGTTTTGGGCATCCCCATTCCCAAAACCCTACTGATCTGGGCATTCCATGTAACTCTAACCCTAACCCTGACCGAAATCGCTAAGGTAATTTGAGAAGGGGATGACCATGTCACCAAGGTTTTGGGAATGGGGATGCCCCATATCACTGCAACACCGCCAATTATCCCAATATCGGGATAATCTGGGACAGACTTCTAGCCATTAAGTTATATATCGTTAAAATCTATGGTGGTCGACAAAAAGTAAAATCTCCTATCGTCTGGGATTTTTTCCGACATATGAAATTAACCAGGCTTTAAAGAGCCTTTTAAGTTTAATTAACAAGACTGATTTTTATAGTTTAATTAGAGGAACTCGACGAATAGAGATGCAAAAAATAATTATCATTATAATAATAAAAATAATTAAAACAAACCTCTCCCAGTGCAAATGGCAGAAGGCATGAAAAGATCACGGTGATAACCACAGGAAACTAAAACGAAAAAGGCGGGTAAAGACCAACAAATTTAAAGAATCACAAGTGAAACAAAATGAAATACAGTAGAACCTCTCCTGACGGACATTCTCGTAAGCGGACACTGAGCTCTACTTACGGCCACCTTCTTCACAAAAACCCCGTTTTTCTTAACGCTGCCAGAAACTCTGAATTTTTAGATTCCGGTCAAAATGGACTCCTTTTTTCGCTTTCCGAGGGTACGTGTCCGCTCACGAGAGCTTCCACTGTACGTCAATAAAATAATGTCCACTGTCTAGCCAACCTTCATGTTAAACAACTCAGGGGCACATTCATCGATCGTGAACTCGCTGTGACCTTGATGTACTGAGGAGCTTTCTGTTTGAGAGATACAAATGTTACTTGCCGACGCAAACGTGATATTCTTATAGCTGTCCGTATAGATGATTGAGTAAAAACCTGATTCAGCTGGATGCTCTCGCAGTTTGTCGAAGTCAGTATAGGTTCAGTGGTGAGTCATTTACATTTCGATGGACATTGGGTTACCTCTTAGCTGAGGCGAAATTGTTCAGTAGTCTCTTAATATGGCTGCAGCTAAGAATGTTGCTCAACATGTCAGGCAAAAACAACAGCTATAAAACAAACACAAACGAAAAAAGAAGAACCAATTCATATTTTTTATTCAATAAAAGGCAACTATTGGTAAAATTTAATGATGTCAGCGATGTCTTAAAACGTCCACCTAGGGAAGTTTCGCTGCCGGTCAGGTTAAAACCCCCTGATTCCCATTTGAGCACGTTCTGAAGTTCGGACGTGTTTAATAATAATGTAACTCAACTGTGATCATCCTGTGGTTTTAGCTATAATTGGGATTTAAAACGTGTATTCAGCAGACCTGAGGTGGACTTATGATTCTAGAACGTCCGGAGAGCAACAAAAAGCTTTATTTGCACGACCAACAAGTATAGCCAAGTATATAGTACAATATACGACAAGAATGTTTTTAAATATGTCAGAATATGTCAGATGGTTTTCTATATGCTTTGGAAGCCTGTTTGGTTAATTTGGAGCAATCCTAAAAACTATTTCATCTTAGTTTTGGGATGTCTTGGGTGCCTTTAGGTGACTTTTGACCTTTCAATCTGGAGGTTCAGAAATTTCTAGGCAATAGTTATTTTACAGAAAAAAATAATCGTTGGGTCAGTCCTTGTTTCAGTTATTTTTATCGCGAGGCGAGCACGATGTGTCGTGTGTTTTGTTTCATTTGTTTCATCATTCATTAATCAATGCTGTAAACCTTGGCCTTTATCCCAGTTGGCTGATACTACAGTATATATAAATAAATTATAACATCTGACTTCCATTGTTTTGAGCACGTACTGAAGTTTGAACGTGCTCGACAGAAAAAAAAAAGCGGTTTTGTGGTTGATGAGTCAATCAGAATGCTTGAAAAACAAGTCTTCAGCAGCCCAGCAACTTTTCGTACTCACCAATTCGTGTTCTTCGAGTTATTCGCTATCGGGGGCACCCAACGAGAATATAGTTCAAAACCATTTAAATATAGCATTGTTAAACGTATTTTTGTATTTAAACGGTAGATATAGGCAGATTTTTATCCCCTAAAAATTCTTCATTAGTTCGGATTTCCTAGCGGAAAGTTTAGTGATCCGAAAATTATAGGGATCAAAACTTACCTTTTCGAAAATTTCAGCCAGAAAAAAAGCTGCCGATAATTCTCGGTGACCTTTTTAGGGTAAAAATACGTTACAAATGGCCAATTATACCATTTTATAGATGTTCGAAAATCCTAGGAGAGGGAGGCAAGCAAGAAATTATACAACAAATGTTCCGAAAATTCTAGATCTCAAATCGTCTTCCGAACAGATATTTTCCGAAAATTGACGTTGGGTGCCCCTGCGCTATCGCAGAAAGACACTTCTTTCTTCTCCTTTACAGCAGTTAATTGGACTGTATTTTTTTTCACTTTTTTGAAAAAACAAGAGGAAATGTTGGTATCGGTTAGTGAATCGTTGCAGTCAGAAGCCGGGTCGGCGAGAGATGAAACAAACAACCAAAACCAGTAACATACAATTCACCTCATGATGGGAACCCGATCGTTAAAGTTAAAGTTAAGAATGCGATACATCATACAACAATAATGTCAAGAATATAGCGAAGTAAACAGACCACCAGGAATTAAAGATAATATACGTTTAAGTATCCCTCCCAAGCTTATAATATTAATATTAACGGTCTTTTAGGGAAAAAGAAGTCAAAAGTATAACAAATCCTGCGATATAGCTAACTCTAAAAAGCCAATCATCTTCAAGATCTTAACACGAAACTTGAAGTATGGAGGGGTTGTATTCGAATAGGGGCTATTTCAGATCAGACAATCATACGTCATGCCCCTGGTGGTGTTGCGTCAGATCCAAGTTTGCATCAAATGCCATTCCAATGTCAGTGAATCAAGCTTTACTAGGGAGCTTTAGCATCGACGACGGCAACGGCAGCGAAAACGTCAGTTTTAAAATGAATTCCCGTTTTTTCAATCAGTTTGTCGCGTTTATTCCAATTTGCTGAAAATGGCAAGTGTAGGCGAATTTCCCTGGAGTTGATTTCTTGAGGACCTCACTCAAGTTTAGAGAGAGAAAAAGAGATTCGTCGTCGCTTGTTTACGTCCTCTATAAAACTTGCAATTAGGCATTTTCACGTAGTAGTCGTGCAAGGACGGTAAAGAAATGTACAATGAAAAGCGCCGGATGCACGTGCAAAGTTTCTTTTATTGCATCATTCCTTCTATTTCGATGTTAATCAATACGTAAGTGAAGTCTCCTTTTAACCTATTTAAATATTTTTCAAGACACATTTGACATCTTCCTTAATTACTGGAGTGCACTACTAACCACTGGTCCGACTAAAACAAAATATTTTGCCTGTTTCGTACACAGTGTGTTTTATTTTGCTGCATTTCACTGCGCCTTTAACCGTGGAATAAAGAGTATTAACTGATTTATTCATAAGAATGGAAAGTAAAATCAGCAAACTTAAAGGAATCCATTCCGAGTTTCGCCACTACATAACCTACACAGAGAATAGGTCCGAGGTTGCGGTGCAAACATTCTTGGATTCATTTGGGAGAACTGTGTACGGTACCCTGGGTACCAGAGGTTTTTCTCGCGTGCGGCGGGAATTTTCGGTGTTGGCCGAAGGCCGACACAACTTCGGTCGTAGGCCGAAGCCACGAGCGGCAACCGCGCTTGAAAAGTCTCAGTTGAAGTCTCTGGCACCCAGGTTATGTGTACGGTGACTTGCAACTTGTTTTGCAGCATTGCTGCGAAACGGGTTTAAACGCTATGTTGCGCTTTTCACTACCTACGTTCAAGTCTTCACAAAGCAGGTTGTTGCAAATTGCGTGAATACTGACTTCTGATCATTTCGCAACCTCCAACAACCTTTTGGTTTGTTGCAAGACAACTGAGGGGTTTGATTTGTGAGTGGTCAAACTCGCAACATCGCCATTCAACTCGTTTTGCAGCAACAATGTGGCAAAAAAAGTCACACGTTTTCGTTACCTGTGTCCACACCATACCGGATAGCTTTTCTGACATCATAAAAGGCTAGGGCTTCTGTTCACACATAAGAACGGTGATTTCGCCGCGATTTCTGCAACGGAGCGAAACGAAGCCGCACTGATCTCTGTAGCGGAGAGTCAAATATCGGATAGGTGTTCATACTATATGTATACTATGCCGGATACATTTTCATGTAAGCAAGAAAAGCTATCCGGTAATTGACTTGGGGCACGACTCAGCTAACCGAGTTCCAAAACCAGGTCGAGAGATACACTACTGTAACGTCAGTATTCAGAGAAATGTTTTGGTTATAGTTTATAGAGCTTTTATAGTCACTTTATAGTGTGACAGCAAGAAAGAGGGCCGGTAGACTTTCATATACCGGAATCCATTTATCTTCATTATTCATGTTCCTTTCTTTATCCATTGCCAAAGATCTACATCCATTGTTATTTATTATGCTTTGTTACTTATTAATTATTTCAGTTTCCGGTTTCATGAAACACGACCCCAGAAAAGAAAACAGAAACATGTGTAACTGCGTGGTAGTTTTTTTTTGGGGGGCGATTCAGGATTAGTTCTTCAAAGTCTGTCAGCGAAGACGGAAGTCACGAAACTCCGGCAGACGTTACAGAAAACCTTGACAATGTAAAGCGTTTGTTTCCAAAATAAAGAACTCAATGAAACTGAAAATTTCAAAGGATTATTAGTGTTTTTACGTTCTGTTTAAAAGAATGAATACCTTCATGTTTATGAATATTAGATTAAATAATGCATGTTCCTAAAGGAAGCGCAAGGGATTCACGCGCAGGCTTTGTAACCTCTCCGAAAGTAAATAATCAATACGTTGTGTTTTTATATTTTGGAGAGATTCTTCTCAAAATATGAATTTGTGCCTTGAATTGCCTTTAAAACGCGAATGTCGTTGGTAGCTCCCTTATTTTGGAGTGTTTTCTTCTCGTTCATTTTCCTGTTGAGTTCTCTTAAATATTCCAACCGATGGACGGTGCAAATTGACGGCGATTTTGAAGAGGCTGAGAGGCTCGCGCGAAAACATGGCTTTGTCAACCACGGGAAGGTAATTACAATACAATACAATACAATACAATGTTCTTTATTTTGAGAGGGTAGATATACATGATTAACCCAGTTAAGAGTTTTCTAACACATGGCCCTCTAATATTAGCTCAAGCGTTGTTCTTCGCTATCTCAGCCTGGCCGTGCTCTGTTAAGAATAAGTTAATTCTGATAATCAATCGGCTGAGCTTCAGAATACTCGTCCACTTTATATACATCTGGCTATGTTATCTTGCTCTCATCAAGAAGGCAATTGAAATTGATGAAAGTAGGAACTTTGGGCGCTTTCCATTTAGTCAAAATTTCCGGAATTTCCGGTTCGGCGGTAAATGGAACACGTTTCGTCGGTTCGTCCCACTGGAAAATTCCCAGAAAAAGTGGAAAATCTAAAAAGGTGGTCCCGTTTTCCCGGTTGGAATTTCCGAACGGAATGTCGTGTTCCATTGACGTTTCTTGTAGTTTGTACCAGTTCCAGGTCCACGGTCGGGCACCCGGCCACGTACCGGGGTTTACGACCAAATGGAACAACTTTTTACCGATCGGAAATTCCACTTTTGCTACCACCGAAATTTCCGGGTTTTTTTCGTAAATGGAAAGCGCCCTTTGTTTCTTTTGGGAATTTGTCGTCCAAACAATTTGAAATACTGACATGGCGTAGATATTTATTTTTCAAAATGCGGGTGGAAGTTTTCTCTACCCTAACCTAGTCAATCTTCAGAGGTATTAATTTTTAGCAATCATTGTATGGGGCTGAGTATGATCTGAAGAATTCCCTGCATACAGCATCTAATCTAACCAAACCGAAATAAAAATTGATGGAACACAATCAGCTGCAATGGAATTCAGTTGATCGAACTTATCGTTCGATTAAAATCGATTGATTTGGGGAATCGACTGAATGGTCGTAATGAATCTGATTTGGTGTTACCTGTGAGCAGGGTTTGTACAGAGTCTTGAATCCTTGAAATAAAAAAGTCTTGCAATTTGCCTCGTAATTTTCCAGACCTGGAAATAGTCTGGAAAATGGGAATAAAGTCTTGAGTTTTTTTTTCAAAGCTGCAACAAGTGCTTCTTAACCCATTAAGTCCCAATAGTGACCAACATCAATTTTCTCCTAATAATATCAATAGATTGTCAAGTGCAACATCTATGAGAATTAATCAAATGATCACAAAGAGAAAAATCTCTGATCTTTTATCAATTTCTCCCAACTAATTCTGTGAGGAAATGTATAGAGATCAGTTTGGAGAATTTGTTTGTGGATATTGGGGCTTAAAGGGTTAAGTGAAATCTCATGCCTACGTTTGCAGAGTATGAAAAAGGCTTTGTTGCTTCCTTTTTTTTTAAGGTCTCTATTAATCACCTATTTGATAACCTTGAGTCTGGAAAAAGAAATTATTGTTTAGAAAAAAAGCATGAAAAAAGTCTTGAATTTTGGATCCAAGAATCTGTACGAGCCCTTTCTGAGTGACAGATAAATTTAAGCAAATTGGAAGGCAAAGGAGATGAGCAGGGCAACAGTATTTAATAATGAGATGGTTCATTCCTTTGATTTTTTTTGTGTTCATGCACCTTTGAACATAACAGGTTGATGGTACCATGTAGAATCATGTACAGAACAACCACTCTTTTTGTTTTGGGCCAAGTTGCACCTATTCACCATTTCCGAATGCCTTTCCTTGGGTTTCCTAGTTTTTCTCCAACACAGTTTAATAAAACAATCACCCATCATCACTGTGAAGTTGCATTCAACATGGTCTTTAACTACAGCTAAAATTTTTACACCACCAACCAGCCAGCTGTGTCTAGTCTAACTTGTGGGAACTTGTATGGTCAAAGTATCTTTTTGCAGAACGGTTATTGAATTAAACTACTCACCATGCCCAATAAATTAAGGGGAATCAGCGTGCAAAGAAAGTCGTGTCCGATAGCCCGGGGCTAGTGGATTTTGCTTTTGGGCTAGTGAATTCTGTTCTTAACTTGTCTGACGGGCAAGTGAATTTTTTGGGGAAATTCAAATTACAGAAGGATGGTAATCAATCCTGCTAATCAAAAAGGGTTTTGGGGCTAGTTGAAATGACTTGTGGGCTAGTACATGCTAGCTACAGCTTGCCTGAATGGCAGGCTGTAAAACTGGCTTTCTTTGCACTCTGGGAATAGACTGGCAAAAATAGGTAGATCATTAAAAGCTAATGAAAGACAAAAACTTCAACATAATCAATAAAATGGAGTATTATTGATTGCCTTGATCAATCGATGAAAGTCAATACTCTTAGTTATTGCTATTATCAATTATATATCAGTTTTGTCTAGTTGGCAAGAAAATACTTTCAATTTTATAGACCCAGTAAGCAAACAGACAGAATGTGTCTAAGCTTGTCTGAGGCAGAAGAAAGCAGTGGAAAGTCATGCATGGGTCCTAAAATCTATTTTTCCTCGCAAACCTATTTGAGACAAACAAACTTACTAAATATGACCAGTGTTTAAGTTCGTTTGTCTGTTCCTCAGCAAATTCAGGATATACATTTATTATTAGTGGGCTGCCTATGGCTTGCAAGGCCCAATCATAAAAATTATTGGGGTTGTAGAAAGACACAATAGTAGACAGATCTCACAGAAGGCATTGCATGTCTCATTCCACTGCCATGGGGCTGATCTTTGGACTATTTAGGAAAGAGGAGAAGGTCATTTCCTCTTTAATATTTCATTTAACATTTTCATTTTAACCATTAGTTACTAGATTATTTTCAACAAATAAGTAAAGTCTCAGAAGACTACAAAAACAATGAGATCTCTCATCCTTTGGAATTATAGAAAAATAATGATAGAAGGGAATATTAATGTCTTTCGGAAACAATAGTTTGATCACGGTGTTACTTTTATTACTGATTTCAGGGGGACAAAACATGTTGGCTATTTTGCTCAGAGAAGTTGGCTATTTTGTCCTCTTAAAATTAATTTGAGGCCTGGAAATAAAGTATTGAATTAAAGAAAGATTCTGTCAAAACTTATGTTAAAATTCAATTCTCTGGACCTAGACAGACTTTTTGCTTCCTATTTAAAATATTTAAGAAAAGTTTGGGACTTACTGTGCATTACTTGTCCAAATTTATCAAAAAATTATACATTATCTTTTGTACTCAAGGTAGATAACTAGTACTAGACAAAGCTCCCACCCCCAAGTCCAACCTGGAAATAAAGCCTCAGTGGGAAAGGGCAACTTGACAAATGTTTGGAAATGAATGCGCATTCTTGAAAATTTGATGGGGGCATAAATTATTATATAATTGTTTATTTTGCTCGTTGCAGGTCATTAATAATCACTACAGTTTTGTGCATGAAAAGGTGGAAAAAATATCCAATGTCTTAAGAACCCACCTACATGAAGGACTTTTGTCAGAATCAAGTGTAAGTTGACCACACCCCTTTTGTCTACGCTTTAATTTTTTTTCATCCTTTATGAAGGTTCCATGAACAGAGGTGAAGTTGAAGAAAGAAAAGTAAATTGAATGTTCATGTCCATAGAAAAAAAATTATTTTTTTCTTTCTTTATGTCCGTGCCTCTACAATGTAATAGAAATGCTGTCTTAATTTGCATGAAAATTAGGAATTCAAAGCAAGCCATGTCATCATAAATGTATCATAGCATTAATTATTGCATGCAAGTTAAATGCTCCAGTGTAGAATAGTAGCTAGAAGAGAAAAATACACGTATTTTAATACTACTTACAGTGTCTTGAAGTGTCAATGATTGAAGGTTGATTATTGTTGTTTTGCATCTTTTTTGCAGGTTCAGATGGTTACACAACAGGAAATAAAGTCTTACAAACTGCTGTCATCTAACTCTATGCAATTTCGCAAACCTAATGATCCAAGATATAAGGATATGTGGTACATTGTAAGTGTAATGAAAGGAGTTTCTTTGTTTTGTTTTGTAGTGACTTAGACTAATGTCCATATACACGCTTTTAATAAGTCTGAGCGCCATCTTGAATTTTCAATGAATGACGTCATTCGCGGAAAGATCATACACGTGGCCAAAATGGCTGCCAAAGGTGAAAGCTCTGTTGACGTTAATTTTGCAGTGTGTTGATATAAAAAGGAAAGTTTTTACTTTATATCAAGAGGAATATTTTCTTTATACAATGTCTTTATAGGTATGTTATCGTAACTTTAAAGCTTTCGTTCAAAGATATTCCTGGATCAATGATATCGAGGACAAACGAGAGCTGATTTAAATGCAAAACAAAAAAATGCACAACTCAAAACAGTAGCACAAACCAAGGAGCTAGGGTACGAACCCTAATTCATATAATGCATACAAGGCATATAATGTCATCAGTCCCTATTACAGGGAGAAATGCTCAGGGAGAAATAAGGGCTTTAAGGTGTCCCTAGCCAGTCAGGCGAAATACTGTCCAAAATAAAGAGAGGGCAAATTAGTTCTTTCATTCACTTAAGAAAATTAACAGTCCTGCAATAGTTTCAACTAAATTGACAACTGGACACGAGGTTCCACGGGTAGTGAGTTAAACATCTCTCTCTAATGGAGGCAAACTTCAGTGTTATGACAATTATTCCAATTTGCCAAGACCTAGAGCTGTTGATGGCTCCTTTCCTGAATTCCCAATTGCACGTGACACTGACACACCTGCTTGAGTGGGATTGCAAATGCCCCTTTTTTCAAAAGGACTAATTTATAAATTGTTTAAAAACAAAAAAATAATTCCTAGTCCATCCTTAATTGAGAATCAAAAGGTCAGAGCAAAGATACGTTTTGGTTTCAAAGTAAAAGGTTCAAGTCAACTAGCTGTAATTTGCACTTGTTTGCGAATGGAAACTCAACATCTCTCACTGCAAACAAGGTTTGTTCAAAATACTCTCGTGTCACAGAATGATGTTTCTAATAATATTGAATGGCAAATTGGTCTTAAGCAGCAACTAAATATGCTGAGTACATGAAAAATATTGGTTTAGCATGTATATTTTATGTACATATACATTCATATTCAGGGCTTAGAGTGTGGTATTGTCACATCAAGCACAATGTCATGGTTGGCTGCTTTACCAAACAGAAGGGTGATAGATAATAAATATCAAGTTATGGTTTATTAGAAATCAAATGCCCTTTTACATTATGAAACTTTACACCTGAGAAGCAATGTTCTGATCAAAGGTTTTATTGTCGCATAGTTAATGGTAAACCGGAGCTCGAAAGGGTCCACCCTTTTCAGGGTCATTTGGGTTGGGCACGATTAAAGTGGTACTGTCTTCAATATTCTTCAAAAAAAGACTGGTTTCATTTCACTTTATATTTAGCAGTTTTTTACCTTCTACCTTTAGTGCTAAAATTTCAGATTCTAGTTCAGAAATTTCAGCGTCGGATTCGTGTAAGCTGTGTCACTGAGCATTACTTGGCTCAACACACACCTAACTCCTGTGGTGTTTACCATATTTGGTTTCCCTCAAATCAGATTCCTGTTCAACTTTTTCTTATTTTGGATCTTAGGGATTAAAGGTATGGCTTGTGTACAGGGCATTTAAACACCAAACGAGGGGAGGCTGCATGTTTTCAAAAGCTAGCGACCACTTTTAAAAGACAATACAATACAATACTTTTGAAGTCATCATCCCCAAAATGAAAAGAACAGACGATTGTATGTTTCTGCCCATAGCAAAAAAACAATATTTGAGAGATGAATATAGCGGTTCAAATTAGAACCCACACAGAAAGACTAAGTTACACACCTTTACGGTCGAGTACTCCTCCCTTTTAATTCACTGCAGCCGTGCGAGCTTTTAATACATGCTGATCGCTTGGAATCTTATGTCACATTTCTTAGTGTTGCGTTTGTTATTGAACATGATATCCCCATATGACTTACAAACACGAACCACACAACTGCGATTACGTTAGCCTTGGAAAAGGATTTGTTGGTATTTGTTAATGTTTATACAAGAAAAGAATGGAATAAAGCGATTCATAATGGCCTGACTTTGCCTCTCGTCCTGACATGGTACTGTCACGCGAGTCAAAACTCAAAGATATTGGCTGAAGGCTTAATTTCCGCGAATGACGTCATAAATTAAAAATTCAAGATGGCGCCCAGACTTATTAAAAGCGTGTATAAATTGGGTAGACACACTTTGTGAGATGTGACCTTAGAAATTGTGAATAAACTTGTCATGACACAAAAATAAGTGAATAGAATACATATTATGAATAAATAAATAAATAAATAAATATTATTGCGTTAAAAGATATTGGTTTATAATTATTAATTGCTGTTAAAGGATTAATGATAACGACAGTGATACTCCTTTAATATGGGCACTGAGGGGGCCATAGAAAGCCTCTGTATTAACGGGGTGTCCGTATTAAGTGGGTTGAAGTGTGTTTGTAGTTGAGTCAATTTTTCACGTGCATTGCTCTTATTGTCATTTGTTTGTTAGTTGTAGAAGTTGATTGAGTGACTGATAAATCGAAACTTGTAATGAAGGCTACATTTTCTTGAATGTACTTAATTTAGCCCCTGGAAGGCTGGAAATTGCATTTTAGGGTTTTTTAATGTCAAAATTTTCCGGGTGAACATGCTCCCAGATCCCATAGAAAGGGGACATAATGCCAGGGCTCCTTGGTGATACAGTGTAATTGAACAGTATGCCATCGCACACTTGCATTTGAGCGTTTTTTCTTTTACTCCGACACTGTAGCAAAATACTCTCAGAATATAATATTATCTTATTTTAGTTTTAAAAAAAAAATTGTGCGATACTACAAATTTTATTATGATTTAAATAGACCTTTTTAGCTTGTGTGTTTTCACATTTTTAAACCACATGGATAGTACCCCAGAACAGTTCCTTTTAAATGTTTTCTTAAGTATGTGCATCCACGTGCATTATGCATAATTTATGATCACTAAATGCAAATTCCCTGGAGAACAATCAGGGAAAAAAATACATGCTAAAAGGTCTATTAACAGAACTTTGTCTAATTCGGTCTGTGATCATACTTGTGACAAAACAAATTTGTGTTGATCACTCGTATGATTACAGTGTACTGGGACTGAGTTGGACTCCACTCGGTCCTATTATCATTAATTTCCTCTTCAGCACAGAGATGATGGTCAACCAACATACAATGTAATTGATGTTTGGAGAAGAAACATTACTGGTGCTGGAGTTGTTGTTGCTGTAGTTGATGAAGGATTTAATCCCAAACATCCTGAGATTGAACCCAATTATGTACGTTTAATTTTGCTAAATTCATTTAAAAAATTTATATACGAATAAAAATAAATAAATAATGATTTGAAGGGGGAACATCCACTAAGTGAGTTCTTCATCTAAGTGATTCCTGGTCGAATTAGAATTTAAAAATGTTGGTTTTTGAGGACACAGGAAAACTGGAAAACTCCGCGAAAAACCCCTTGGAGCACGGGAGAGAATCAATGACAAACTCAACCCACATATGGTGCCGGGGGGGGGGGGGTACTTTAGGAATTTCTGGGTGGACCAGAGCTATTTTAGCTGAATTTTGCTACCCTATACTAGAGTATACTCCGCAAATCACCCCTATCCTAGAGTAGCTGTTTTCCAGAAACTACTGAGGTCACTAGCACAGTAGTCTAGCCAAAACAAAACCTTATACCACAATCCCTAGTCTAGATTAAATCCTCAACCAACTGATCAGTTTCCTGAAAAATGATACCCTATTCTAGACCCAAACGCCCTGATTTATATACCCTATCCTACAGTAAACTGCTTGAAAACCATACCCTTCACAGCGGCACGTACCTATATAGCCCATATATGGCAGTACCCCCCTGGAATATGGTGTTTACGCTGGGATTTGATCGTGGGCCACATTGGTGGGAGGGCAAGAGCTCTCACCACTGCACCATCCCTTGCTCCCCCAAAAATTAATCATAGAGTCAGTCAATCATAAAGTGCAACCTCGTTCCCAGGTTACCCGTCGGGTAGGAGAGAGAACCTGGAAACCACAGACTACTATCAACGTCTTACTTTAGAGAGCTGGTTTACTAACTTAGAGCAAACGCCACTGAATCGTAGCCAACAGTTACCAGTGCCGTACAAACGACTTATTGTTGGTTTTCAAATGACGTCACCAAAATTCAAACTACGAAACTATCCATCCTACTGAGGCTTTTTCTTTCATGGTGTATTAGAGCAGCTGAAAACTAATTTTCAAACAAATTTTCGCTTCAAAAGGCTAGGGTTCTTGGTTTTGTAATAGAGTACACTTGAATTTCTAAGCTTTTGCGTGACGCAGCATTTACATGACGGCTGAGAGAGAGCTGTCATTTAGGTTAAGAAAGTGACTTGTTTCGAGGAATTTTGCTATCTAAACAGTTCAAGTATTAGAAAAAGTATTACTTTAATGTTTATGAGTTCCTCTAGGGGTAAATTCACGCTTTTGTAGCAAAACTCGGTAACAGATGTGTCTGTTGGTTTAAGTCCGCCATGTTGGAGCTCATCCGGATGAGCTCCAGCATGGCGTCTCCATACAAAGCTCTATAAATTTGGGTAAAACATTTCCTCGGATATCTCGTGTACAAATTATTTCTTCGATCCAAATCTTGGCGAGGGTCTTTGTATATTTACCTCCTTTCATTTCCCAGATTCTGGACCTTATCTATCGAATGGTTTTGATTTTTATTTTGATCTATTTTGAATGGCGTAACACTGAAAACCAGTAATTGACGAGATCAAGCAAAACTAACTACGAGAGAAAGACTGGAGAACTGACAATTTGACTAACAATAGACGGATCGAAACGCACCAATTACTGATTACGAGTCTTCATAGCCAATAACATCACGGCTTAACTGACAGACGACCAATAACGTCGCGACGTTATTGACCAATCAGGTCAATAACCAGAGTATAATACCATCAACTGACGTGATACAACTCACTTTGACTCTGAAGATGACTACCGCACAGGTTGTCGAAACGTCATTCACTGTCAACAACAACAGTCCTACAGTGCTCGACTTTCAGAAAAAAAATCTTGGGGCCAACTGGCCCCCAAGTTTTCATTTTTGGTCGCCAGAACAAGTATTCTAGTCGCCAAAAATTATATTTAAGAACTAATGGGATAAAATAAACTGAACATCTTTAACTTAACCTTAACAGAAAATGAATGGTTTAGACTTCCTTTGAACTTTCTTTCGAATGGTTTTCGCTGACGCTCGATTACCAGCCGGTGTTCTGTAAAATGAATCCGCACTCAAGTGTAAATCTCCTCAAACAGGTATTCAAGCTTAAGGTTCAGGAAATGGAATACACATTAAAAAAGCAAAATTTAGGAATCACAAAAAAACTTATTTGGGTTATGAAAGAACAAAATCTGCAAAATTTGTTTTGCGTCCCATGTATTTGCATGTTCAGAACTGAACATCGGTGAAACTTCATCTATTGCGCGGTTGCCTAACACGTGATCGAAAGTCTCCAGAAAGAGGAAACGTTGCTAATGTTTTCGGGCAAAGAAGTCTGTTAGACAAACAGCGTGACTTCAACTTTACCAGGGGCAGCCAACGAGAATATAATTCAAAACCACTTAAACATAGCATTGTTAAACGTATTTTAGTATTTAAACGGTAGATATAGGCATATTTTTATCCCCTAAAAATTTTTCATCTGTTCGGATTTCATAGCTGAAAGTCTAGTGATCCGAAAATTATAGGGATCAAAACTTACCTTTTCGAAAATTTCAGCCAGAAAAAGGCTCCCGAAAATTCTAGTTGACCTTGTAAGGGTAAGAATAGGTTAAAAATGGGCAATTATACCATTTTTTAGATGTTCGAAAATCCTAGGAGAGGCAGGCAAGCAAGAAGTTTCACAACAAATGTTCCGAAAATTCTAGATCTGAAATCGTGTTCCGAACAGATATTTTCCGAAAATTGTCGTTGGGTGCCCCTGCTTTACTTCATTAGAAGTCAATAAAATACGGCAGAGCTTTTATTTGCGTCGTCACGCTCAACAGAAATTTGCGTAAAGTTGTTTACAAGAATTGCGAAGCTCGAGAAGTAAGCGCCGTTCGTTCCCGATTAGCTTCGATTAGCTTGAGCTTTTATCAGACTAATCTGCTATCGAGTCCGCAATCGAGATACATGTTCGACATAAAGAAATTGTTTTAAATATCGATGCGCTTAAAGTCAATCCCGGAGAAACACGGGACGATCTGTTGAGAATTGCGATCGATTTGTCCGAAAGTCGATAAGTCTTCCGTCGAATTCATTCATTTCACAATCCTCTTTCAAGTAAACGTAGATTAGAGTTTTGGAAGAAATCGTTAAAGCCTTTAGACAAATCGTTAAAACGTTTAGACAAACCGTTAGAGCGTTTGGGCAAAACGTTAGAGCGTTAGAAAAACCGTTAGCTATCCGTTAGTTGTGTAAAGGATAACAAATTATCATTAGTGTACGTTTACCCAAAGAAGAAAGTTGACGACCTGGCGTGAAAATTTAGTCGCCACTGAGTAAAAGCTGGTCGCATTGGCGACCCCACGGGTCGCAACGTCGAGCCCTGGGTCCTATTCAGGACTACGTTCACCCGGACGATCAAACTCAACCTACTTTTGAAATGACTCCTGGGTTCAAACTTTTCGCAGTCTTTCAAGTTTGTTTTCGTCAGGGGTGACATAGCCCCTTTAAGTGGGTCAAATTTAGAGTGAATGTAAGGCTAGGGTTTCCTTCCTCTGGGACAAAGCAAACTGTCCGTAATAATGAGGTGTCTGTATTAAGCATGTGTCTGTAAAGCAGAGTTTGACTGTAATTCGTATTTATTTTTAATACCTATACACAGGATCCAAGAGCGAGTTTGGATGTGATTGACAATGACACTGATCCTGTACCGTCAAATTCTTCTATTCCACAATATGGGTAATATACTGTTGTTTTGTTATTGGGGGGCATAACCGTTGCAAACGACCTACAATTTGACTTATTTTATATTATTGTCTGCAATACGCATATGAAAATATTTCTATTGTATATGCGCAATATAAGTTTCATATTTATTTATTTATTTATTCATTTATACAATTAGCATTGTTATCCTCCCTGTCACTCAAAGCATTGCAACTGATGTGTGTCAATACTTTCTTCTTTATTACTGACAAATGAATACATCATGCCAAAATTATTTTGAATTTATTCACTTCAGGCATGGTGAAAAGGTTGCAGGTGTGATTGCTGGCGCGCTTAATAACTCGAAATGTGGAGTAGGATTGGCCTACAAAGCGAAACTAGGAGGTAGAGTAATAGATATTAGGGACTTTAAGATCCAACGACGCGGACGGTAACGAGAACGTAAAAAAAAAACAATAGCTTTGATTAGCAAAACAACAACTTTGCACGTGCACCACACTTTTTCGTACATTTCTCCGCCCGTTTTTGCACGACTACGACGTGAACATGCCTAATTTCGCGTTTTACCAAGGACGTAAACAAGCAACGACGAAATTTTATTTATCTGACTGTACTCGGATATGGTGCCTGGGAATTCAGCTCCAGGATGGTTCGCCTACATTCGACAAAGTAAGTGGGTAGGAATAATTGCGATAAAGTCTGAAAGAACGTAAATTCACTTTTTAAGCGACGTTCTCATTACCGTCGCGTCGTTGGATCTTAAAGTCCCTAATACCTTGTTTATAACATAATTATTTCATGATCTAAATGTACAGTCGATGAGTGACTACTGTAAAATGCTTCGTCTTGACAAGATTTTTATTTCTTAAAATCGAGAAATTATGACTGGCTCATCTTATGACGCCATACAATGTATATTAAAAGAAATTCGGGCAAGGAGTTGATTGCGTTGTCTGAAAAGTCACACGTATCATCGCATCGCATCCGATGTTAACCCTTGGAATAGGGAATTAGTAGCGTAAACCGCATTTTTTGCTACCCCTTCCTTTCTGGATTTGTTCAGTTTCTGGCAATTGATGTCAAAATGGCTAAAAATGAGTTTTGCGACACTTGTGCTAGCACTTCACGCATTCTCTATGCTCTTACAAATCTCTTTCTTTTTATGACTCTCAAACAGCATTCTTTCATATTTCATTATTAAAATTGCTTCATGTTTGTTTTTCTGTTAAGGGATTCGCCTGTTTTTTGACGAGATGGCAACAGATGACCTTGAATGCAAAGCCCTCAGTCATAAAAAGAATTTAATTGACATCTACTCAAATAGCTGGGGACCAGATGATAGGGGATTTGCGGTGGCAGGCCCAGGCCCCTTGACGAGAGATGCTTTAAAAAAGGGTGCAGAGGAGGTAATATAATGCAGTGCAGTATTCTGTGGAATGTTACAATGCCAAAGATATCTTACACAGTTGACTCTCGATGACTCGAACCCTCGCTTACTCGAACCATAATGCATTTCCCCTGGATTTCTTATTCATACATTTACTGTAATTTGACCTTCGGTAACTTGAGTCCTTGATAAGTCGAACCTCCCTCTAACTCCAAGTCATCATTTCTGTATGATTTTTACCCTCGATAACTCGAACCATGTTTGAGCGCGTCACGAGTAAAAAAAAAAGTGTCCTGCAACCCGAAACATTAAAGTGTTGTAGACATGTGGAAGCTGATGTTGATTCTTTCAAATATAACGTGGAAACGCTTTCCAAAATAATTAGTAATAGCTAGGAATAGACCTGGCTGCCGAGAAGCATCAGGACCTACTACTTCTCGTAACAGTAAAATGCATGCTCTACTAAAGGCACTGTTTTGTTACGTCACGTTCGCGTCCAAGTACTGTTCAATTTTCACTTGACAATTGTATAATTAAAATGTGATTAAAATGTTCAGAGAAAAATGAGTAAATACTCTTCCGGTTAGCCTAACTCGAACTTTTTTCGATTTTCCCTTGAAGGTTCGAGTTAGTCAACTAAATATTATTTAACAATTATTCCACGAGTGCGCGTTTGATATGGCTTGGCTATAATCATCACATATCCAACAAGCACGAGTGGAATAACTGTTTTATTAAAAACGCCCACAAAATATCGAGAAATCTTCCCAACCTTATTTGTAAAAACATCCGATTTTCAGCTTGTTTTCAATTTTGAGTAGAGGCGTACAGTTACCATATTTGGAGAGCATGGTATGATGGCTCATATACCATGATGTATTGGCCAATCAGAGTTCTAGTATTCCATTATCCAATGATTCAGTGTTGAAAATATATATATAATGTTGTGGTTCAATTTTATACTTGGTTTAAGTTTTATTTCCTTTTCTGTTGGGGCAAGGTAATGTATGATAATGAGTTTAAACACAAAGGGAAATAAAATTTAAACCAAGGATAAAAGTAAACCACAACATATACATAAGTATAAAATGACAATAATATGATGTTGCAGTGGCATAAATCGGCAGTCCTAATGAAGTATGACTTTCTGAAATAATTCTGATTGTGTCCGTAAATTAGTTTATAGTTGTTGATGTCTTATTTCCGTGTTCGGTATCGTGGCTCGAATGTGCGCAAGAACTTTCTAATGTTAATGAATATAAGGCCTTTTCTAGGCCTGAAAATGAGTAATAAATCAGAAATTTCCCTAATGGCTATGATATTCTAAAGGTAGTAAGTCAAGTTTGAATTAGCCTATCTTTATAAGACTTATCCTTCGGATATTTCAGGATAAATTTCGTTGCTCTTCGCTGGACATTCTCCGTGTAAGGGGACCACAGGCTGCTGCTATACTCAAGGCTGGGTCGAATTAGGGCACAATAAAGCATTTTTCTCATATTTGAATCACGCATGTCCCTGTAGACTCGGTTAAGACGTCCAATAATCGTATTCGCTTCCACAACCACTATAAGTTGGTGACGGTTATTTTTGTCTAGACCAGGACATGTCATTGCACACAGTAATGCCGAAGTCAGTGATAGATGGTGCACATTCAAGCTGTTGTCAATCAAGAGTGTAGGTCCTCTCACTCGCGCATGAAGTATCCTTCCTGGAGATATGTAACACTAAACATCCCCCGTTAAATTGCATTGACCAGTCCTGGCTCCATTTGTGTAGACAGTTTAGTTCTCTTTGGAGGAAGTAATAATTGTCAGTTTGGACAGAAGCTCGATTTGAATTTCTCCAAATCCTTAGGGGCTGTCGTCTTTTATGCTTTCTTCCTTTGTCTATTTATCTTGGCAATGCGTATGAGGAGCTCGGTGTTAGTCCACGGATGATCAGACACGTTACGCCTTTGCATTTTGGAATGAGCTCATGATCAATAACGGCAGCGTTAAACAAGTCACTTCAGATACCAGGCTGTTCTTTGACGACGTGTAAGATAAAGGCCAACTCCCATGGCGTTTGTAATAACAGATCTTTGATCAACAGATCTTTTGATCAAAATTGGGCGTGCCTGTGGATGTTCCATTGAAGTGAAGTCTTAATGAGCACAAGACAGGATTCAAACGGTGCACTTGTTTTAAATTGTGTCATTTCAGGCGTAAAGTAAATAAACCACTCTGCTCTTAATCTGCTAGGGTCGCAGCGGTCGTGGTTCTATCTATGTGTTTGCTGCAGGCAATGGAGGAACCTTTGTCAAAGATAGCTGTGCTTTCAATGGCTATGTCAACAGCATATATACTATTGCCATCACTGGGATTAACAAGGATGGGTCAATTCCTATTTACGGTGAGCGCTGTGCAGGAATCATGGCAGTAACGTACAGCAAAGACGCCTTTGATGGTGACAGCAAAGTGGTATGTCCGAGACATGAAGTACAGTAAAACCCGTGTGTAAGAACCTAGTCGTTTAAGAACCTGCTGGCAGAAATATGCCATTTTAATACCCCAAAATATATATAAGAACATGTTTAGCCAAGAAAAATCAAGCAGGTCCTTATATGTTGGTTACACTAAAGTTACGATAAACATTTTATTCAAGGAGTTTGACTTTGAGATTGTAAATTGATATTACAAGAAATTACTGTACCAAACTGCAATTAGAATTAAAGGTGTAATTGTAATTCCTACAACAAAAGCAGGTTTATATAAAGTACAGATTTTATAAATTGTCTTCAACCGCCGCCTGGTTAGCTCAGTTGGGAGAGCACCGGTCTGCAGAGCGGGAGGTCGCGGGTTTGAACCCCGACCAGAACAACACTCGGGGTCTTTAAATAACTGAGGAGAAAGTGCTGCCTTTGTAATGACATCTGCGTCTGTATCTTGGATAAGGACGGAAAACCGTAGGTCCCGTCTCGCAGCACTTACACTTGTAAGGGTTCTTGTGGGACGTAAAAGAACCTACACAACTGTGCCAAAAGAGTAGGGGACGTAGACCCCGGTGATGTGGTCAACCTTTACACATCAGTCACATCATGGGTTAGGTGGGCACAGTAAGCTCATAAATGGACTGAGGGCAGCTGCCGCCTTTGTATGCTGATGTCTGAGCGTACTCTTCACATGTTAATATATCTTGTAAAGAGGGCACGTCTGTTATTCTCTCATCCATGATTCCTTCGTTCCGTCCTGGACCTTGCACAAAAGAGGTTTCCATTTGCAATGTACAGTTGTGAATAAGGACCAAACTCAAGTATATTATTTTTCTGGTATTATTTTTCTACAGTTACATCTCCTTCATAGAACCGAAGAACCTAATTAAGAACATACTTCGCCTAAATTGCCAATGACTAGCCCAAAATACAAGAACGTTTTTTGCCAGACTCAAAATACTACAGGTCCTTACACGTGGGGTTTTACTTGTTTTACTGTATTACCATAAAACATATTAAAATGTATTACCTATCACAATTTATTTATTACACTCAGGTCACTGCTGATGCTAACATGGGTTGTACAAATTCATTTGGTGCTAGTTCAGCTGCGGCAGCCATGGCCTCAGGACTTATTGCCTTGATGCTGAGTGCAAAGTGAGTAGTGCTTTAAAAATTGCTGATTGGATTCTGTGCAATTTTATTAGGACCACGGAGATACCGCGTTAAGATATCGAATATTTATACCCTATCCATATGGGCCCCACGTTGCATTTAAGTTTTATTTCAGCTCTAAGGCCGTTATTTGAAAATTACATAATTGTATTACAATTATTTATTGCTCTTCTATGTTTTTACGGGTTTAGATTGTCAGATGTTGTCTATAAATACAGCGTGATCAACAGCACCCTCTTCGCTCTCGCTTAGCCAGCTTAAACCAACATCTTTCCACTACCTACAAAATCCTTGAATATAATTAGAAATTACTGGATGAGGCTGAGTATGATAAAGAATTTTGCAGATTAAGGAAGATGTTATAACAGACCATTTTACAGTTGTACCCTAGCCTTCGAGTGAATGCGAGGCTGACGGTGACCATGTTTTGATACAAACCTCCTTTGCTTTGTTATGGAAATTGTCCTTGAAAAATACTGCTTAGCATATGAATAATTTGATTTTCATAATAAAGCAGGAAGGTTAGTCTCAAAACGAGGTCACCGTCAGCCTCGCTTCCTTCCATAATCGTTGTAAAGTGGCCTATAGAGTGTTTTCACTAATTTGACCAGTATCTATGCTAATTTATTGGAACAAAAGAAAGCATTTTACATAAGAAAAGAGTTCAACTCCCAGAGGATTTTCTCGGTACACCAACATGGCCGCCGTTTCATTGTTTTGGAGCACCAATATGGCCGCCGTGACGTCATGTGAAAACCCTCTATTCTTCATTTAAATGGAGCGTTTTCACATGACGTCACAGCGACCGTGCTGTTGTTCCAAGACAATCCTGTGGGAATTGAACTCTTTTCTTATGCAAAAGCTTTCTTTTGTTCCAATAGATTAGCATAGATGCTGGCCACGTGAGTGAAAACGCACTATACCAAATCTGAATCCAATAATTGTTTCATTATTCATTCGAAATATTTTCCACCTCAAAACATGCTTAATAAGAAAAGGTATCGTATAAGAGAAACAAGTAATGAGGATAAAATCGATGGACGTTTCGGGTTCACTTTCAAGGTAAAAAAGTGTCAGGTAGATAAACTGCATATTTTCATATATGTTAATTTATGAAATTGATACTTTTTGGTCTTGAATATAGCGTCACTGAAAATGACCTCGAAACGTCGATCGAATTTATCCGAGATATTATTTACTTGTTTTTCTATTAGGAAAACATGCTTGACTCTGTGTAAAAATTTCTTCTTCAAAACATACGTAATAGTTTGGCTATTTCATCTTCGCCCAACATACAAGATATTTCGCGATTTTCTCCAGCTCTACACTACCAGAACAGCTAAGCTATTGCGCCGCCTGTCCCTCTGTCTGTTGAAATCAGTACAATTGGCGTCAAAACTTCACAAATATCGAAAAAAATCTTCCAAATTTGGTCAATGCTTGCTGGTTTTGTAGATTTAGGGTGATAATTTAAGCCAATCAAAAACGGAGGAATATTTTGAATGAAAAGGGGTTAACAATTATTGAATGAGGAAGAATTATGCAGATCGAGCACTGGATGGGGAGCTGCATAAATGTTTAGACCAAGCGAAAGCTTAAATCAATAATTCTTAATTACTATTCATACAAAAAAAATGTTCTTACAGGTATCCTTTCCTCCTCGCAGACTTTCTTACCAAACATTTGCCCCGTTTGTCAGAACGATTATTGCAGATACTCTTCAAAAAGTAGATGACATTCATCCAGCAATGTTTTTTTGACGTATTCTTGCATTTCTCCTTTCAGTTTTAGTCATCCTCGGAGACCCAGGGGCAGTCAGTCGGGCCGGGAGAAAAGTCGCGACGAAAGTTCTCAGGCACAGGCGGAAAAGCCCCTGGGTACCGATTCTCACCGGACCATTTCCAAACGGTCAAGCGAATGCTGACTGGCTGGCTGATTGGGCACAAAAAAAATGCTTTGTATTATTGTGCCCAATCGGCGAACAGCATCTCCAGAGTTCTTTTCGTGAATTCGTACACGAGTGCTTATCTCGCCACAGTTGCCCGGTTCGTTCACAAAGCTTTCCTAACCTGAAACGAAGGAAATACCGATGAGTCGTAAACCGTTTCGGATGCTATCAGCAGGAGCAAGAGCCATAATGGGTCTTGGCAGGAACAATTCAATTTGCACTGAGAAAATTCTGTTTCTGACGGATCACAACATATCGTAAATATCGTAAATAATATCAAGTTTAAGATGTGGCGGTGACGAGAAAGTAAAAAAGCAATAGCTTGACAAGGCAAAAAAACAACTTTGCACGTGCATCACGCTTTTTTGTACATTTCTTTGCAGTCACTGCACGACTACCACTTGAAAATGCCTAATTTCCCTTTTTGTGAAGGACGTAAACAAGCAATGACAAAATTATATTTCTCTTTATGAACTTGGATATGGTTGATAGAAATTCAGCTCCAGAAGAGTTCGCTTGCATTTGACAAAGCAAGCGAGTTGGAATAATCACGATAGAGACTTAAAAAATGTGAATTCACTTTTCATCCGACGTTTTCGTGGCTTTCAGCTGTCGCGACATCTTAAACTCCCTAATATGTCTAACATTCACGAAGGCGTGATCGATGCAAGCGTGAATACCTGTTGTAATCTCAAGCTTGTATTTTTAGAAAAGTGTCTTTAGTTTTCGGGTAGAAAGTATTTTGAAATGATTCCGGAGAGTTTTTATCAAACTGAAAGTTTCCTGACTGCGTGCATTTCTTTGATGTATGAGCCCGACAAGCCGTAATCGAGTGAATAGCCGTCGTGTACGAATTCACGAAAAGAACTCAGGAGATGCTGTTCGCCGATTGGGCACAATAATACAAAGCATTTTTTGTGCCCAATCAGGAGCCAGCATTCGCTTGACCGTTTGGAAATGGTCCGGTGAGAGTCGGTACCCAGGGGCTTTTCCGCCTGTGCTTGAAAACTTTCGTCGCGCCTTTTCTCGCGGCCCGACTGACTGCCCCTGAGTCTCTGAGGATGAGTTTTAGTCTGAAATTCGGCTATTTCGTCTCCAGAAAGCCGTGTAGTCTTTTAATAAAGTAAATCCCCGATAACTCGAACTCCTCGCTAACTCTAACTAAGTCCAACTTCCGTTGGATATCGACCCACTTTCCAGTCATTTTTACTCGGTTAACTCGGACACGCATAACTCGAATTCCCCGCTAACTCGAACTACATTTCCTTCCCTTGATCAAAAAGTCACTGAAATTTCCCCCGATAACTCGTTTTCTGGTTCTTTCAACTCCACTCGAATGTCGTCCCATTAAAAAGCGACTAAAACTAACACGGATCAACACTAAAGCAATTTGATTTTAACTGGTGAAACGAACAAATCATGTTTTATCATAAACAAATGCCTTATCATTTGCACTGCACCGTAAAGTGAAGTGCTGAAAATCATTAAGTATCAGTTATTAAATTGGAAAATTGAATTTTGCAGTGGACCCCGAATACACTGGAATCCCCGCTAACTCGAACTGTTTTTCGTTTCCCTTCAGCCTTCAAGTTTCCGGGGTACTACTGTATTTGTTTGCGTTCACTCATGCGCAAACCTATAATATGTCGGTGCAATAACCCATCGAGTCGGTTGGTTATTGTCTACATTTTCCAAATATCGTCAGTACCAGCTTGTTATGAAGAATTAACCGGAGGATTGGAGCCAATCAAAAAAGGCAAAATAATCTGAGCGAATAATTATTACAGTTATTGAATGAGGCTGATACGGCCTCGGTGGATAGCACCTTCCTCGATCTCCATAATTCTTCAGACGATACGAAAGCCAAATTCAATAATTGTTTTTTTATTCATTCAAAATAATTCCTAGTTTAAAATCATGCTTACCTCCATCGATGTTAAGTTCGTCTTCGACAGTGCACGTTAAACGGCAAGTTTAGGAGATAAAGGGTTGTTCATCTCCGCAAATATTCTCCAAGTTGCGGATGTCGTCCTTCGAGGTGTCTTCTTGCAGTTCTTGCTAGGTTTTTAGCCAATGGTTCGCCTATTTCCTCCTGGTAAAACGAGTAAAACGTTCCGGCGGTTTGATATCACTACCAAAGTAACACAACCTCGTCCCCAGGTCTTCTCGGTTAACGGTTCAATAATCTGCAACTTTGCTGCACTTTTGACGTCATCAGTTTAATATGGCAAAATTCTTTCAAATTTGGTCAACAGTAGCTGGTTATGATGAATTATGCGTATGATTTTAGCCAATCAGAAAAGGAGAATTATTTTAAATGAATAATTAGCAGTAATCCCACGAACGCACACGTTGGAATTGAGATGACAGACGGCCAATTAGGTGCGAAGCGTCGAGTTGGCTATAATTATGTCACAAGCGCGAGTGGAAAATTTCATCTATTAAAAACGGTCACAAAATATCACTACTAAAGACCAGGTAAGACCAGAGACTTTCGCTTTTCACCTGCCACACGTCTATTAAAACTGTCACCATTGTGTCCAGGCAAACCGACTGAATGAAACATCAACTAACAACAACAACAACGAAGCATCATAGCAATGAACTCTTCAACAATTCATCTGGATTCTAAGAGTTAACTCTGTTGGACAGAGTTTTAAAATATGGCAGATAATGTTACCGAGAAGAATTTTTAAGTTATGCCATGGTAAATTCCTGAACTAAAATTTCCCCAGTCGCCATGCAAAGAGCTCGTGTAAAGCTTCTTCTTGAAGTTGTTTGAAACCGGTCGCTGTCTCTGTCTGTGTGTAAAAAGATTTATTGATAGATTGATTCGTTTGTGTTAAAAGTGCCTCTTTTCTTTCCTTTTGTTAGCTCAGCCCTTTCCTGGCGAGACGTACAGCACATTATTGCGTGGACTGCAAGACAAGATCCTGTTGCAATCAAGAAAAGCTCATGGACCGTTAATAAGGCTAATTTGAGTGGTTAGTATATCCCTTCTGATCTTTATAACAGCGTTAGTGTTTTTATATTAGTACTAAACTATATTATGTTAGTACAGGGAATTGTTAAGCTATACGTGCTACTGTTTCTGTTTTCATTCAAAAATGCTTTATGACTTGTTTAATGATTTTGAAAAGACAAAAACGAATGTCGATTCAGTAAAATAAATGTATCTGTACGGTAATGAAACTGATAACTGCGGTGATGATAGTAGAAGGAGTATATATAATCATAATATTGATATAATAATGACGATAATATATATTAACTTATATTCAACTCAAGACCATTTTAACTGTGCGTTATAATGTTTAACAAATAATGAAAACTTTAAGCTCTAGTTTTAACTCAAAACCCTAAACTTCCTTCCTAGTAAAAATTCTAGATAGAAATGAGTACAGTGGAATCCCGTTAATACGGTCACCAATGGGTCATAAAAATTTGCCCGTACCAACGGGGTGGCCCTATTACCCGGGGCAGGGTCAAATTTAATGACTTACGCCAGACGGACATGCACCATGCATCGCATTCGCACTTCTTGAACAACTGTTCACTTTAATGAACTACCGGAATGGAGATATCGCGTACCGTAATTACAAAAACTAAAGTCGACTCTCGATAACTCGAACCGTCAAGGGAACTCGAAAAAGGTTCGAGTTATCGGAAGCTCGAAAAAAATAGCCGGGAGTAGGGAAAGAAACAGTTTTTACTGCATAGTAAACATTTTAATCACATTTAGTTGTAGAAACGTCAAGTGAAAATTAAAAGATACTTCTAGATTATAAATCAGAACGTAACATAACAAAACCTTGCTTAATAGAGCATGCATTTTACTGTTTTGAGAAGTAAGTTAGATTTGCGACAAACAACATCAGCCTCCACTAGTAAACTATATACCTACAACACATCAATGGGAAATTCAAAATTCAATGTTTCGACACCAGTAGACTGTTTTTTCCCGACTTTTAAGGGCTCAAAACACGGTTCGAGTTATCGAGGGTAAAATTATATAGAAATGATCTGAGGGGAAACGGATGACGGAAATCCAGAGGGTGGTTCGAGTTAGCGAGGGTTTGAGTTATCGGGAGTCAACTGTACTTGAAACTTTTCTTTAGTACATAAAATTAAAAAAATCGGCCAGCAACAAATGCATTTTGCGTGTACTGTGGTCTAAAAACAATACAAGAACATGCTCAGCTAGGTCAGTGAAATTGACATATCACAGGCATTTTAATTTTCTACATTTGGAAGGTATGGCCGTATTAACGGGTGGAAATTAGAAGGGATTCTACCGTTTGGGATTTAAAAATGTGGACGTTGGTCGTATTAACTGTTTAACCCAAAAACGAGGGGTTCTTTTTTATAGGAAAATGTGTGACCGTTTTGCCAGGCCAAAAAATTTGCTGCACACTGTAATAACGAGGTGACCGTCAGTTACCGAGATGGTCGTAAGGCGGGTTTCTCTGTAATGACATTTTGAAACCCCTAAATATTAATCAATTATTATTAATGATTAATGAAAATAGGCTAGGAAATGCCTTCTGGAACAAATGTGTATGAAGAGAATCTGTAAAACGTACAGGTATTAGCCGACAGTAGTATTTCTAATGTAAAGGGAAGATTATTCCATTATAATTTAGCCACAGAGAATGATCGGTTATCCAGCGTAGTAAAAGACTTTTATGTTGGGAAGTTTAGAATTATGCTGTTATTTGATCTTAAAGAATAATACTTCCCTTTTTTTCTTTCGTTACATTTGTTGTTGTATCTTTCCTCAGTTAATGATTATGTTGGATTTGGCTTTATGGATGCCACTAAGATGGTCGATGCAGCACTGAACTGGACAACTGTTCCTACAAAGGTTAACTGCACCATTCCAGATCCCCGTGGAAATAGGTAGCGTACCTAGAACCTGACTCTTTTTCATGCCTCGTAATTATCCACTCTCCCTAGAAGTGGGTGCAATTACGATTATCATTTATGCCAGCATTTTGACCTATTTAAAATTGACCATAAAACAGTGTGGGTTCTTATTAAAAACGTTTTTTCAATAACTTAGTGTATACTCGCCCATATTTATTGAGAGCTATTACTCATAAGAATATTCGGATCCTGAGTTATATTGCGTATTTGTTTTATTATTTTAACCGCAGCGGGACTAGCTCAGTCGTTAGAACGCTTGACTGTTGAGCGGGAGGAGGTTTGGATTCCCGGGGCCGAACCATTACTCAGAGTCGTAAGGTGGCTCGATACAGTTTTTCAATGTCAATACCCCCCAAGTTTGAACATAAACTACGTCACCATAAACAAAGATTTGGAAAAATTGCCACCACAGTTGTATTAGATAAAGAAGAGAATTTCTTATGATCAGGGTTGCAATGACAGAAAATAGGTAATAGCGTCATTTCGTCGCTAGGTCAACTCCGATGTCGTTGCAACCCTGATCATAACAAATTTTCATCTTTATTTATTGCAACTGTGGTGGCAATTTTTCCAAATCTTTGTTTATGGTGACGTAGTTTATGTTCAAACTTGGGATTTATTGACCCTGAAAAACTGTGTCGCGCCACCTTAAAATAATTGAGAAATGAAGGTACTGCCTTTGCCAAGCAAACGGCGAGACCTTCACGTGGCTCGGATGACCACGTAAAATGGCGGTCCCCTTCCCAGAAGGGGACATAAAAATAGTGTCCTCAATTAGTACCTTTGTGCTAAATACATTGACACTCACATAGGTGCATGTTTTTCACTGGCCCAGAAAGAGGTAAACTTATAGAGTACTGTGCCGGAAGCGAATGTGCAAACCGATTTCTACCTTGTGTTCAGTAATCAAACGTTTAATATGCTGTATTGTAAACCAAACAAAGTGATTAATTTTCCATTTTCTGTCTGAACATAAATGCATGTGCTCCTTTTGAGGTCTACAAAAACTGCTGAATGCACAAGTTACGGGTAGTACTCTTTCTCTTGAAATTCATATATTCACCTTCATATCTTAGTCTTCTACGGGTACGTATATTATACGAACTCACAAAGTGACCAGCTCCCATTTGGTTTGGTTTCATACCTCAGTCGCCACTGAGATTATCACAGAGGTCATTGGATCGGATTCCGTTCTTAAGCCTGAACTTTTTTCAAGTTTCTTTTTCGCAACCGCTTAAGTTTCGTACTTAACTGTGATGATCTTTTTCCCTTCTTTCTTTTCATTTTATCTTTCTGCTAAATCTTTCTTTCGCAATTCTAATGTATCAAATTCTGATACATTTACTTTCAGAATTGTTAGTATCGTCATAATTTTATCTTTAATTTACCTTTCTCTCTTTCTTTCTTCCTCTATTTATTCGCCTTTCAGTCCGATAATGTTTAACGAATCACTTGAAGACACCATCGATCTAAGTACCTGGAACAGTAAATGCTTTGGCGAGAAAATCAACTACTTGGAACATGTTGAGGTCTATGTAAATTTGACTTATACACGGCGTGGGGACCTGTTAATAAAACTCACATCACCTCAAGGGACGGTTTCTAGTCTCACGCATTATAGGACCACCGACAGTCACTTTAAAAACACGGACTTTGATTTTGTCTTTATGACGTTGCACCACTGGGGGGAAAATGCGGTTGGAAAATGGAAATTAACGCTGGAAAACTCGCGACCACATCGTAATAGTACAGGTTGGTTATTAATTTCTAACAATCAACAATTATTGAATTCGGCTTTCGTATGATGTGAAGAATCCACTGAGGCCGATCATGAACAGCCTCCAAGATCTGCATAATTCTTCATATCACACGAAAGCCGAATTCAATAATTGTGTATTACTCTTCATTCAAAATATTTCTCCGTTTCTGATTGGCTAAAATTCCACGCACAATTCAACATAACCAGGTACTGGCGACCAAATTTTGAAAAATTTCGTGACATGTGAGAAATGACGTCAGTTGTGCAGCATAATTGTCAGAAAACTAAACAGTTAACCGAGAAGACCTGGGGACGCGGTTGAATTGTTTTTGTAGTTAGAACAAAATGGTGGAACATTTCACTCGTTTCACGAGGAAGAAATAGGCGAACTATCGGCTAAAAACAGCAAGAACAGCAAGAAGATAACTCGACGGAAGACATCTGCTGTTTGGAGAATATTTGCTATTTGCAGTACTGAACAGCTCTTTATCTCCTAAACTTGCCGATAAACAGGATAATGAACTTAACATCGATGGAGGTAAGTATGTTTTAGCTTGTTTTTGAACTGGGAGTCATTTTGAATGAATGATAAAACTCTCGGAGGGTGTTATCCATCACGGCCTAATCGGCCTCGGCGGATAACACCCTCCTCGATCTCCATAATTCTTCAGATGATACTCAGCGTCATTCAAAACACTCACGCACTTTCGAAAACAGTGCCGCGCGATGTTTCAACAACCTCTCCAAGACCATCCAACTCCACGGAGAGAGCCACCTTTGTACGCAAATGCAAAGAACATTACCTAGCCCTTAACAAGTCTAGCGTGTGACCACCTTTTCATGTAAATAGATATATATTTTCTTTTAGAGTTCTACCTTTTCCCATATTTTGTGGTTAGTGGTAATAGTTAGTACTGTAACATAAAAGAGCCATTTTTATGGAATGCTAATAAATCATTATTATTATTATTATTATTAGTTGTTGTTGTTGTTGTCGTTATTATTATTATTATTATTATTGTTATTGTTATTTTTTATAATTGTTCAATAATTAAGTTAATAATTAAGTTGAATTTAATTTTCCTGGCACTTTTTCTTCAAAGCCTTGGCCTACTTATCGGCACAGTTTCAGCTAGGTTAAAAAACAGATTTTTTTTCTTGCAGATTCTCCTCAAAAAGTAGATAAAATCCATCAAGCAAAATGTTTTGCGTATTCTTGCCACCACCACTTCGCTGATTGATTCAATTATTCACCGAAATGGAATTGAAAAATTGTGAATGACAAATAACAGTGTCATTTATTTCTGTGTTTCTAAACATTTTCAACCTCTTTTCGTTTCATGTTAAGGAACGCTTTTCAACTGGACGCTGTATTTACATGGTACAAAGGAGGATCCGCTAGCTCAAAATCCTCATGTTCCTGTTCCAGTTTTTCCACAACCAACAACCCGAACGACATCAAAAGCAAGTACAACAGACCTGACACCAGAGTCTACAAGTAAGACTCTTTAGGGCATTCTGGTCTAGCAGTATGTCCAGCTCTGTTGTTTATATAATAGAAACTCGTTAATATAAACCATATAACTGGGAATAGGAGACTCTAAGGACGTGTTCTTATTGAATCCCGACGAACTGAGGGTGAATTACGAAGTACGTTTTTGAACCATTGTTGAAAAGTCGCTCTTTTGAACTCCTTGACCTTGCGAGAGAATTTTCCTTCTAATGCAATTTTTCAGTTTGGTATAATTCTATTGGGAGGTTTACATGAGATTCGGAAGGCCATCATAAGCTTCCTTAAACTACACCTAAATTAGCAATTCCTTATTCCATATCTGTTTTCCTCGCAAATGTTTGAAAGATAACAAGAAATAGAGCCTCAAAGAGCTGGCGAAAAATCCGAACAACTCGATTTACTCAGTGAACCAGTTTGACAAGTTTTCATTTCTGACCGATCAACAACAACAACGCATCACTGAAACGCGCTAAAACTGAACTTGCACTTGAGCCACGTTAGTTTGCATCGTGCTCGTTATCTTGAACATGCACACTTCATTCTATTTACTCATCTGAATTGAATAATTGGATAATTATTCTCTTATTGAAGCCGGTTTAGTCCGTAGTATCGTCCGATATCACTCGACTCTTCTGAATAGCTCGCCCTACTGGCTCGCCAAGAATGAATACAGTGCGGCTAAAGATCCCACCATGACACTGCAAATTTAACCGTGCAATAAGAGATTTTGATTTTGAGAATTACGCTCCTGTGTATTCTTCCTGTATACTAATTTGCACTAAAGGGAAAAAAGCAACAACAACAAAAACAAAAATAACTTTATGAATAACCTGGTTCAAAGTAAGAATTTGACATTCTTGTGCTAGTTGCACACACGTACTGTGAATCCAGATCATTCGGTTGCTTATTTTTTCTGCTGGGGCATCTCAAGGTTAACATTTTTCGCCTTTAGTAGTATTCGGTATACGCCTCCGTCCGCGACAAGGTTGTCTTGACGGCGGATTTGTATTTAATTTCAAACACGACAAGCGTAAGCTGGCTGACAATTCGTAGTTTTAATGCACTTGTCACGCACCATTAAACCGAGCTCGTGTCTCCGATGTTACTATTACCCCTTGGACAGAAGAATTGCAATTACAATTTGCCATCACTGCCTCATTTCAAAGTAAAATTTTTTTCGAATTGACGATTTTCGAGTTGCCTCAAGCCTCTGTTTCAAAGCGAGGCGAAGTGCGAAGCCATTCATATGAAAATGATTTTTCATTCTCATGCATTTGAAACTCGTTTTCAGTAACAAATGTTTTACACCCAGCCTCGTTTTGAAAGAGAGAGTTTTTGGAACTCGGAAATGGCCCTTTCGCAGTTGCAATCAAGGCAAACAACGCTATAACAGTAGAACCATTTTGAATTATGGTACTTTGGCAACTCTAAACGTTAATAGCTACGGCAACACACTGATTTGGTACGCCGCTTCTTTGGTAGTTAATAATTTATTTGTTGGTATTGGTTATTTCTTTATTTATTTGCCCTGGACAGTGGCATTTTTTGTTTTTGGTTTTTTTTTTCTTTTTTACAATTAGGTCCTCCACTTATCTCTTTTGAGCAGATAATGCTCTTTTACATCTTGAACCCTAAACCACAACATATGGCGTACTCTCGTTTACTCACTTCGCTGAAAAATATTGGAACTGCCTCACCGATAATTTAAGGGCAATTGGCGATTTTAGAGAATTTAGGCAGCACTATCATGACACAATTTTGAGACTCAGGGGCACTCTGCAGCTTTTGTACTTATTTACTTCAACTTCAACTTTTTAGATTTATCTATATATCTACTCGTTAATTGTTTTTACTGGAAAAACGCTTTTTAACTGACTGGCCTGCATATAACAATTGCTAAGTTACGAATCAATGGGTTATGTTTCTGGTTATAATTAAATAATCTTTCTGTTAGTGTTTGTTCCTCCTTCCTACTTTTCCTTAGCCTGCGAACCGCAGACGTGTTTCCGGTCGTCGCTTCTCTCCCTCCGAAAAATAACGTCTGCGAACCCGAGTGGCAAAATGATTTCCGTGACGTAAAACATTTTGTTTTGATGTTGGCCAATCAGATCAAAGAATAGAGTACAGCTCAAGTGACTCCTCGGGACTTCGCTCTTGGATTTTGGCGAGAGTTACGAAACACGCTTTTGAGGGTGAATTTCACGACTATAAGGGGGTGTTTACATGACACCGGGGCGACTTTCGCGCCGGCGCGAGTTCACTCCATCCGGTTCCCTCTCATGGCTCTATATTTGTTTACATGATACCACCACAAAATATCATGCCTGCGCGAGTCACCCGGGCGTGAGTTCACCCCGGTTGTTGTACCGGGGCGAGAATTTCACTCCGGTACGAAATCTCGCAGCGGTATCATGTAAACGCGAAATGACCAACCGTTTCGGTGTGAAATCGGTTTGCGAGTAGACTGGAACGGCTAGCGCATGCGTAATATTTGTTATTTTAAATCACACGCGCATTTTATCAACATAAAATGTACCTTCAACGAGATACAAAATGACGCAGTCATCATGTGAAAGCGATACGAAATCAAAACGTCATCCCTGTATAAAACTCGTACCGGTGCGGGTTTTCTCATGTTAACACCTCCTAACAAGGTTTCCTGCGACGTTGAATGCTGACTTCCTTGTGAAGCAACGGCTTTTTAAGCTATATATGTGACGTGGGCCCAATCGCTACAGCGAAAGGAAAATAATATAGCTTATTGACATCGCGCTCATACCCGCGATTTATTTCAATTTAACCAGCGCCAACAAAAGGTGGCGAATCGATTGTACAGAAACATCTTGACTGATTCAGAAATCTCTGACAATGGCTCGTTAATAATTCAAAATCCTACAAGTATTGCCACAAAACAATAATCCGAAATATTATAAACCCTGGGCCGGACCCAGCGTGAAATAAGTATTTACAGAAGTAAATTGATCATAGTCAAGATGACATTTCAGCTACGACGCTTCGACTCATCTTATAAAAAACCATGGAAATTAAAACCTTGAAAAGAACATGTATAAAAAGAAGTATAAGAACAAATACACGCATCGCATAGGAAATCAATTACCACATGTCCTAGCTTTCAAAGATAAAGGATACTAAAATTATCCAAGCGACACACGATAAACTACCGAAGAGTTCTCCAAAGCATACTTTTTTGCGAGGAACCAGATAGAACAGAAGCAATAAGAAGCATGATGCGTCTACTTTCATTAGGACATTCATCGTTTCGAATATGATCAAAACAACAAGGTGTGATAAATCATTGACTCCGTACGTAGGCAAATAGTTTTCTAATAATCTTTTCTTCAATATGAATCCTCTTGGTGTTTAGTTCATCAATCAGTACCAGAGTCAAGGGAAATTAACTTTCTTAAAAGCGTCGTTCTGAGAAAAAAGGGCGGCTGCGCACAGGCTACGTCGCCCTTTTCAATTTCGAATTGTAAACATATCCACCGCGCACGATCTTATGAGAAGTCTCGCGAGTTAGTTCCTAGATTTAAGAGCTAAACTGTGATTGGCTAAAAAGGTTTTACGTCACGGAAATCGTTCTGCCGCTCGGGTTATCAGACGTTATTTTTCGGAGGGAGAGAAGCGACGACCGGAAGTACGTCTGCGGTTCGCAGGCTAACTTTTCCTACGTTTTCCTTATATATCACTTGATTTTCTTTCGTTTCCGTTTTTTTTAATTTTTTTTTTGTTGTTTGTTTTTGGTGAAGGGGTGTGGGAGTTACTTTTGTGCGGACTTCTTTTTATACTGGCTAAATAGCTAAAATGAGTATTTTCTCATAAAGGCTTCCCTTCGACCACAAGGGAGATATCAACTACAAAGTCAGGTGAGATGTAAACCTTTCTGCATTCTTAATCGCATTGGCCATCATGTTTTTTTTTTCTAAAAACAGGCCAAATCATTTTTCTGTCATTGCTCAAACTCTGTTAGTAAAATGAATTACACATCTCGCTAAGAAAATCCAAAGCAGGGCAACAGTTGAAATCCTTACTCAAAACATATCTTAATTACAAGATCGGGCGCGTTTAATTCTCAGCGTTTCAGGATTCTGTTTGCAATACGCCTTTGATAATTGCCTGTTAAATGGCCACCAGCGTTTGAGGTTTCCGTCAATATCCCATACCTACAGCGGGTCCACGTTTACACTTTCTTTTTCCTCTGGTTTAATCACCTTTCATCTCTGTCCCATATTGCATACCTGCCCGGAAATGGTAACTTCTCACAAGTCAGTCGATAATTTTCTTTTGTTGTTATGTTTTTGGGGTATAAGGAATTTCTTCGGTCCGGACTGTGCCTGTCACTGAAGTATCTTCTACTAAAGTTGTCCCTTCTACAACGGGAGTACCAACTAGAAAGTCAGGTGAGATTTCACTTTTTTTAACCGCGGCAGTGTTGGCTCAGTCGGTAGAGCGTGTGACTGCAGAGCGGGAAGTCGCGGGTTCGATTCCCGGGACCGGACCAATACTCAGGGTCTTAAAATAACTGAGAAATGAAGGTACTACCTTTGCACTGCAAGCGGCTAGACCTTCGCGTGGCTCCGATGACGTAAAATGGCGGTCCCTTCTCCAGTAGGAGACGTAAAAATAGTGTCCCCAATTAGTACTTACTTGCTAAATACATTGACACTCAAATATAGTGCAATTTTTTATTATTTTTTTAAAATCACGTACACTGTCGTGTTTTGTGATTTACGCCCCGCAAATTAATAAATCGCATCCAAAGCTTAAGACACTCTGCGACTCAAAAGAGGAGTCTCATTTTCATTCGCAAGTATGGTTCCTGTAAAAGTTTGATTTAAAATGACTAAACGACTTCTATTAACTGAGATGGTCAAGACTCAAAACGGCCAGATAAAGTCATTCCCTTTCTGCCAAAAACAAATGTTGTCTCGGTGAACATCATTTGGCTTTAGGAACTAAATGAAGACTGAAACCACGGCAGAACTACGGCACCTGTTTAGACCTGAAGTATCAAGGAAAGAGTACAACTTTGTTAGTTGCGGCATCGAAAAACAAAGCAAGGACATCACAGGTTGTTATTCTTGTTCCGTCGATTCTATCCCAAGACTGGCTTGACATATTAATTATCTTCTGACGTCAATATGCAGTAGCTTTCCCCTCATAGAGTACTGTAGGCTGCTGTTCATAGAATCGTACTGAGACCAACCGTTAGTTCGCTGGAACTATTTTCTGTTCGCTCCTTTTCTTTTTATTACATGCTAACCATGAGGGAAACTGAATCTTCACTATTTACCTCCAGTGATATCCCTCCAAAAAATAACATTATGTAACAGTCGTCGTTGTTTTTTCGTTTGTTTTTGTATTTTGTTGTTGTTGTTTTTCTCTCCTACTAAGGCCGTGTCCACAATAGTCTTTTGAATTTTGTTATTGAATACAAATATACTTATTTTGCACGTCCGGTTTCCGTCTACACGAGAACGATTTTTTTTAGGTAAGGAACTTATCCGCGTTGGCTCGGGAGACCCTTCACATCGTTTACTAGTTAAGTTTGTATGAGTGTGCGAACTCGTGAAAAGGTGCTAATACAACAGCCGCGTCTGTTGTTCTTCTAAGCGTGAATGTGTTATATAAATTATAATTATTATGAGTGTACAAAGTAGTGCGTGGTTTTATCCTCCTCAAGAAACTCATCTCTTTTATGATTATTGTTTTTTACATTTCGCGTCCGCTTGAGAAAAACAGTGAGCGAAGCAAGGGCTTGTTGCATCGTTGATTGTTAACAGTTATTTAAGTGAGTGTTAATATTGCCGCCTGGACGGTGTGTAATATATCAAACATAAGAGACAGTGATTCATTACAAAATCGAATACCGACAAGAGAGTTGAGGTGTGTGTGATAAATTGCAGTATGGAATGTTTGATATTACATCTCAAACAAAATGATCCTAGAAGGGGAATTTAAGGATGCAAAATGAATAGTTTTTCATCTGATTTCCAGGCACTCAAGATACATTTATTTATTTTGTATTTACTTTTATTATGAATTATTAATGACTTTGAAAACAAAATTTGACGAAAGTTATTTTTAGTGACTTGGCAGGATACGGTTCTTGTTTCATTTGGCGCCGTGCGTTGTTGACTTTAACCTTTAGTAAGTTCGTAACAAATTTGAGAACTGGAGAAAAGGTTATTGACTATCGCCAGAAACTTATAAGGGGTTGAAACGTGTAACTCGCGTTCAATGCTCGTGAATATTCACTTTTACCATATTTGGAAACCTTAGTGACAGATATCCATTTTAAACAAATGGCTGCCGCGCGATCACCATGCAGATGTTTTAAGACAAGAGTTCTGCTTTTCAAGGTTGAAAATACACCGTCAAAAGACAAAAAATGGAAAGAGAAAGATCAAAAGAATGCTCAGCATTCTTTTTGTGGAGAAAGGGAAGCTTTTCGTCAAGAAATCGTCCTTCGAGGAATTCAACCTTGTTTTCTTCACGAGGGAGCGCATGGTCTGTTTTGAAATGCAACCAAGGTAGTGAAGTTTTTGCTGAATTTTCAGGTACACTTTGCACTCTATGGCCAAGACAATTACGTTTTTGAAAGGGAATTTACGTGTTTTTAAATGTTTCATAGACGTTTTATAAATTTTTTTTCTTCGGCGCTAAAGAAAAATTACAAAATGTGCCCCGATTTGAAATGGATTTTGTGTTGAATTTTGCCATGTGCTCAGCCGATTTCACTTGCGTGAACGGATCCACGATCCAGATAGTGTTTACCGAATTGCTTTAAGGGATGAACTTTTTGGATTTTGAATAAAATTTTCAAGAAACGGCTTCCCTGGCTATTGTTTTGAGTTTGTTCATACATAAAATTAGCTCAAAACACGATCGTGACTACAACATCCAAGCTGAATTTAATTATAAGCTTAAATGCTTCTCACATTCTTTACACGCTTCACTTTTTGCGAAGATGTCAGGTTCAGGTTTTGGACACGTTTTGATACGCAGCTAATGAATTTTATTTGAAAATGTTTGTTACTGTTTATTCTAGACTTTTAATATACGAATTTTAAAAGCCTATTTGCAGAAAAAGTTTCCCGTGCAGAGGGTCAACGAGGCATAGTTTTTTGAAGTGACAACTTTAAGAAGTTGCGAGGACGTCAATGGGTTTCATAATGTTATGTTTGGCCCGGGTGGTAAGGCAATAATATGCTCAGTGTTTCGGTAAGATTCCTGGTTTCAACCTTTGAAAGCTTTCTCGGCTTTCGGGAGTTTTTCCCCGTTTGTCGGCCATTTTTTTCAAGCGGGCGCGTTAACCTGAAGTAAAATTACGTCACGCTGCTTACAGAGTTTGATTGGTCAGTTATCTCTTCTTCTCATTCCAAATATGGTACTTTCGAAAATGAATAATCACGAGCATCGGACAAAGCAAACATATGAGAGTTACACGTTTCAACCCCTTATGAGTTTCTGCTATCGCATAATAAAGTCTCATTATTAGAGACCTAATTGTGTTTCCACCATGGTGTAAGAAACAATAGATATTCATATCATTGTACAAATGATAATGCAACTGTGTTTTACGATCTTGTTTCCTTTCAGATACTCCATTAATAGTTGGAGTTGTCTGCGCATGCGTGGTATTGGCGCTTGTTATTTCCTGTGTAGTGTATATGAAGTGTTGGAGGAAGAGGTGATTATCATTGAGTTAATTACTAAAAAATCTAATTTTGGTGTTGTTACCTTTTTTAACCTGGACTGCTTACACTGCGTGAAATATGCATTAAAAATGGATATTCATATACGCTTCAGTAGGAAAAAATTGGCTATAAATGGCTATTTTTTTCTCTTTACCTTGTCTGGCGCTTTACGATCGACTGTTATCTTACTCGGTTAGGTAACGCCTGTTATGTAGGCTATACCACTTTCTTGAGCAGATTATACAGGCAACTGGAGACAGCGTTTAAATTCTGGCGAATAGGATTTAGGACTTTTTGGCTTCTAAGACCTTGCCATTGGTGGTACCACAGTACATCATCCAGGGTGTACAAGGGCTGAAAATTCAGAAAACCACGACCCATTGGCGGTTGCCAGCAGTCGCTCTTTGGAATCATTACCCTTCGGCTGACAAGCGTTACTTTCTCGCCTTAACGCACTGGTAATATGATTCCCCGACGCTTTCCGAACAAATTCAGTTCGTAGAGAATACTTTATCAAAATCAAGGCCATAAAGGGCTCGTCTACACCTGTATAAATTAATCCGGCCGGGTCACGAAGGTTTCCCATCCAGAGAATTTATTGCTTCCTTCCAAAACATAACCAGTGTTTGTCATAGGAAATACTTAAAGTACTTTTAGCAAAGACTTAAATATTCTCACTTCAGAATTATACCCAGAAGAAATGAATTTACAGCGAAATGCGTTGTATTACGCTGCGCGTATTCAGGCAAACTTCGAAGAGATTTTGGGTTTCTCTGTTCCGTCAATGATTTGAGTGAAGGCGGGGTTAATGCAAATCACAATGTAACGTGCTCACCCAGGTTGGCTGAGGATGCGATGACACTAGACTGCTCAAGAATAGCGAAGGTGATGGCGATGGTGAGTGGATAAGGAGGCAGACGTTGCTTTATTCTTGCAAGTGACAAGAATAAGAAAGATCAGAAAAATCTGCGAAGCAGACTTTCAAAACTAGTCGATTATTACCCGATACAGGTCGATCACAAATCAACGAACCTTGAAAAACGAAACAAACAAAACGGATTGAAATCCACCAATCACGAATCACAAACCAGGACCTTTTGAACTCGTGCAAGTACACATGTATTTCCTAAGAGGCCCGCTTAGATGATTGACGGAACAGAAAAACCCAAAATTCTTTCAAATTTTGCAAAACGCACAGCGCGATACAACAAAGTCGCTGTAAAGAATGCTCACTCTGTAAAACAGTGCTTTATGCAAACTAGCACTTGTCAAAATCTCTCATTCCCATTTCAAAGGATTATTGTTGTCCTAACGTGCACGTTAGGAAGATTGATCCTTCATTTGTAATACCGCACCTCGCGAACAGCGTCCCCACCCATGTTTTGTCGCCCTATAATTAATTATTTTACTTTGCTTTAAGTCGCAGTTTTCAGAGTCTGAGAACAGCAGACGAAGAAAGCTTAGAACTTAAGGGATGAAATCCTCTTCACCTGGTTATTTCAAGTAGCTTGCATCTGCTAATCTAGGTATGGCATAAAGACAATAAAAAAGAATGCGGTGCGAAAAATAGATTTACTTTAATAGTAGACCAATTTACTTCGGTTCGTTTTAATTAAGAGCGACCACTCGGAAAAGTTATCCGAATCATTACTTTCTTCCTTTCTTGTGAAAATTGCATGTGTCATGCTTTCAGAATAGTGGAGAGTGGTGCCAAATGGAGAACGAAGGCGGAAAAGCCGGGGGAGGGGCGAGCGAAAGGAGGGAACATTCTCCCTCTTTCAACTCTCACCCGCGCCCCGTTTCCTCGCTGTTTTTTGTCGCTCACTTCTCTTTCTACCATCTCCACTATTTCAACGTCTTGAACAGGCTATGGTGAAAACTCATGGAAGATCCAAAAGAATTGTCTTTACTCTAGTCATCAACCGCATTGGCTAGCATCGACAACGGCGACAGCATCGAAAACGTCCCTTTTAAAATGAAGTCGCGTTTCGTTGAACTTTGTCGCGTTTAAGCCAATTCGCTGAAAATGTCAATTGTAGGCGAATTTTCCAGGAGCCGATTTCTTGGGGACCGCACTCAAGCTTAGAAAGAGAAAGAAAAGTTCGTCGTCGCATGCTTGCGTCCTCCATAAAACGTGCAATTAGGCATGTTCACGTCGAAGTCATGCAGTGACGACAAAGAAATGTACAAAACAGCATGATGCACGTGCAAAGTTGTTGTTTTGCTTAACAAACCTATTGCTTTTTGACGATCTCGTTGCCGTCGCCGTCGCCGTCGTCGTTGCTAAAGCTCCATAATTAAATGGGAAAGATCTAAAACAAAAATGTGGCCGACTTTTATAGTCGCCGTAAGTTTATTATGTTTTCTTCTATCGGGCCCGCAATGGAACAGTTATGTGTAAACAAAAGCCATAATGGCTCTTGGTGTGAATTTTTTAAAAAACGTGACCAAGCTAAAACGACATCCTTAAAACTATATTTTTCAAAGTTTTTTTGTGGTCAGTCAAACAAACGGAATTTCAGTATCTTTTATAACACTGGAAAAATTCCATTGGCTGCCTCTATGTGAACTGGCTAATGTTTCGCCAAGACAAACACAAGCTACATAACTTGGATTCCCCACCCCCACCCATGCAGAATCTACTTAGTACCTCCCTGCCAGTCCATACGTACGGTTGGGCGTACGCTGTCGTCATAACCAGATTTTCTCGCGTGGATAGGGTCTGGATTGGTTTCCCATTTTCTCTTAGCTATTAGGCTGCCCTACGCGCTCGCGCGGGGGCTCCGCTATAAAAACCAGACGTCACTTGATTTGAATGAGAAAACAAACGAGATAAAGTAAAATGGTCTATTGAGTAAAGATACTTAAAGAGAGACATAGATCTCGGCAAGGTAAATCCAGGTTAGGTTTACGTTAAAAATTTCATTCAGCAGTTTTGAAAGGTTTTAGTCTGCAGATTGGCAAATATTTGGTGAAAATGAGTCAGCCAATCTGTGAGGCAAACATGTTATTTATTATGATGATTATGGAAGACCGCTGAAGGGAAAATAAATACCTCTAGCCGGATTTTTGAACACGTTACCGCCGAATAGACCTCTTCCGTTAAGCGGTTTGTTTTTACGGCCAAAAACTCTCCAAAGTATCCAATATAAAAACTAAGAATGCAGCCATTTTTTTTCTTCTCCTCCTTTCTTCCTCCTCGCTCTTTGTATTTCTCCTTGCCTTTTCTTTCGCTAGTGTGCTTTTCGAACTTATCGGGCGAAAATAAAAAGCTGGTCTTTTGTCCCTTTTCCTCTCAGATAGGTGCAAATTTTGCCAGGTTCGTTTTCAAATTATCGGCTAGATATAGATATTATACTTTTACACTCTTCTCAGCCTCTCTAAAGATTGATTTCCACTGACGCGTTTATGGCAACGCATTTTAACGCGCGTAAATTGTAATCACGTAAATAAAATAGAGGCAAGATAAAAACTGCTGAGCGTAAACGAGAAGTTGAACGAGGTTCAACTTTTTCGCTTACAAGCGACCTTTCATGCATTGCCTATATTTTATTTGCGAACGTAAATTTTACGCAACTGCGTACGTAAAAATTACGCCACACTGGAAATCAACCCTAATTGAGGCACACTGCGAGAAAAAGCGAAAATACGCGCGTTTCGCGAGCAGTTGAGGATAGGAGTCGGGCGCGGAAAAAATACTTCCTTATTCAGTGAAAGCTGTATTAAGGGGACCCAATATTAAGCGGAAGCCCTCTATTAACCATATTTTCGGCAGAACGAACCTATATTCATCGGACACGTCTATCAAGTGGACTCTAGGTAAGGCCTCGTGTTAGTGTGTCAACTTCGTACAGGTTTCACTGTGAAATATAGGTAGAGAAGTAGGCGGGACCAAGGAAATCAACGTTTTCTAACATTTTCGTGTCAAGCGGAAGCGAATGGGCATTTGGGTTGAGTGCAACGTTATGATGGCTCGTTAAAAATATCCATTTTAAAATAATGCTTATTATTATTTATTCAAAATATTTCGCCGTTTTTTTGATTTGCCTTAATCCTCCGCCTAATTCTTCAGTACCACGTGGCACGGACCAAGGTTAGAAGATGCGTGTACTATACAATCTTTGACGTGCAAGTTACTCTGACGTCAATGAAGGTATATTGTCAATATACGATCATTCAAACAAAAAGACAACGCCGCGGCAACCTAGCTATTTTGGCGTGACTATCGAACTCAAGAAAATGGCTATGAAAAGACGAAAAAGCCGAATTAATGACTGAAAATGAATCCAAATCCAATCCAAGAACACACGAACAAGTAAGGTTCGATAGATGTCATCTGCTTTTTGAGGAGTATATGCGATGAAAAATACATCAGTTCACAATCTTAAACTATGCCTCGAAACAGGCAAATGTTTTGAAGAACGTATACGTGGGGGAAAAGAAGTTAATGACTTGGAATTATTTGAATTTGTCTTTCGTATGATATAAAGAATTGTGCAGATCTCAGAGGCTGTTATTAAGACTTTACTCAACTGATCTGCATAATCCTTCATATTATACTCAGAGTATCAATAATAATTGAATATTTATAAATAACCAAAACAGGGTCCTTAAAATGTTGGGTGTAGCATCAAATGCTTTCAATTGTTGTGTCTGCCGCGCTTGTTTTCGGCCCGTTGTGCTTTTTCACACGTATGATCAAAAAGTTTAAGTTATTTACTAGAATTGTTGTTTTATATTTGAGAAAAAAAAAGGGTTCAAAGCCTTATTTAATAATATGAAGGAAAATAGGTGCATAGAGAGTATTTTAATGTGTTTTATTATAAATAACATTTTATCGCTATTTTATTACGTGTGATGAGTTTATTTTGAACTAAGAGGTGGTTTAATTTGCAGCATACGCTTATAGCTGTTGCATTTTGCCGTGGAATTTTTTATTGTTTTTCAGCTTCGCTTATATTTCGAGTTTCAAGTTTAATGTTTTGCCTCAGTACAAAACATGAAGTACTTACAAATAGATATAAATTGCTAATGGCGAGGAAGCCCGAGGGAAACTACTGGGCTTACAAGTAATATGGTCCCTCAGTTAATTATTTTATCGCAATATTAGCAGAAGTACTGAGACAAGTCAAATCATTGGCAGAGCTACTTAACAGTAAATTTATAATAGATATTTGTACATTATACCACATTTTGACGTCATCTGTAATATACATGAGAAGTTAAGCATCACGTTTACGTCAAACAGCAAACGTGAATTTGTACCACGTGTCCTAGTTTCCTCTTTACTTGTCGGTTATTCTTCATTATTTCTACACCTAAATTAGTAGTTTCACGCAATTGTTTATCCATGAGAATAGTTTTGAGCTGTTTTTACCTGCTCATTTTCTATTTTGAGAACTTCTCAGCTTGAATCTGACGTTTGTAGTTTGCCGTATACGTGAAGCTTAAACTCTCCATTACGGAACATTACAGACGCACGGCAACATGAAAACTGTTTGTTAAATCTTCACAGATGAAGCATTGGCCATTTTCTGTTTAGTTCAGGTTTGTTTATCGTTTTTCTCGCAATTTTCAATAAGTTTTTTCCATACAGGAAAAACTCCTTTCTAAGATAATCGGATTTGTAGATATCAAGTTATCAATTTGTTCTTCACACTGTATTTGTTTTTATGAGCTTAGATCGACCGTAATTAACCTATTTATTACAGATTACATCTTTTCGCTTTTAAAAGCTATTTAAAGCGTTGCATTCTCTTTTGTTTGTCACCATTTTTGAAAAATATACCAGAAGTTGAACGGTGAAACGTTGATCTTTTCATCTTACTAATTCCGGGTGCGTTGTGTTTGGAAAACAGTGCTAATTAGGCGAGTCGTGTTAGCCTAGTGTCACGCAACAAGGGTTTAAAGTGATACGCGACGCTTTGACGTCTCAATCAATAAACTTTTCAGATGACTTTTGTTTCCTGTAGCCCAATTTTTACCCAATTTTATTAACCATCCTACAGTGCAAAAGAATATCCTGAGGATCATACTGTTTGACCTGTTGTTACTTACATGTTCTTTACTTAGAGGTTTAGCCCACTGCTATCTGTACACTCGTTTTTTAAAACTAGCCAACAAACATGTGGAACGCAATTTCTTAAGTTCCGATTACTCCTAGTCTTGTGGGTTCTTTCAGTTTTTGTATTTTCGATTGAGATCCCTTCCACCTGACCGCCCAGGTAAACACCCCTCCCAAGTCTTCTAGAGGGGGGTGAATAGGGGTATGCAAATCCGCCGATCCGTTATGATTTATTAAGCAAATCCGCCCTTCCCTTTTCCCCCTGAATCCGAAATCCAGGCAAAAATATTTGAATTACACGCAAAGTCCAAAATCCAGGCCCAAAAAATAGATGAATCCGCAATCCGCTGCAATTGCAGGATCCGGAAATCCGTTAAAATCTCGTTGAATCCGGAATCCGAAATCCGGGCAAAAATATTTTCAAAATCCGCCGATTCTTTTGTCTATTCAGCCCCCCCTCCTTCTAAAAGCCGTTTTTAAGCCCTGTAATGTGGAAAAAATATATTTATTTAATGTCATTAACACTGCAAAAAAGTGAAAAAATACAGTTAAAAATAAAGGGAATGATGAAGAGTGACGTAAATTATGCACTTATATAGTGTGAAAGAGCATGTGGGGCTTCCGCAATCGCACTATAAACTCCCCCGAAATACAGAACATTCGGCAGTTTTTTTCTTATTTTACCTGGGACCAGTCAGCGAAAATCCTTCAACGCAGCTAGAAAGAACGCTTTAAAATCAGTGTTGCAAACTTAACTCCGCAAAATCATGAAATTTTTTCAGTCCTTTGCATGGTGGGCTGCAAGGTCTTACCCCCTACCATGAAAACATCTGTAAAATTATGCGACTATGTGAAACTATACTCGCAGGGTGTTCTTTTCTAATCAGTATAATTATATGTAATCGTTACGCAGCAACACTAGTGTAAGTTGTAAACTTAGTGGTCACATATACGTGCTATACAAAACAAAAAAAAAAAAACAAAACCAAAGAGTCCACGGCAGTACATTGTTTGCGCTCTACGAGGAGGCGTTTCCGTTTGCAGCCAGCCCCAGTTGCGGAAGCCCCGATTTTTATGATTTCCAAGGTCCACTTACGGAAGCTACGATTGTACCCCATTATAATTTCGAAGGGGAGCAAGAATGAGCATATAGTCGGTTAGTGCGCGGCCTTCTGAGGCCCTATCCACACGTATCCGGATATTTTTGAATCCGCGACCACAGGCGGCCCAGACGTAGTATGTGTCACTGAATGAATATATTAATATTCACATGGACAAATTAATGCGATGAGTCGTCGAAACTCCCATGGACTAAAATAGTCCAAAAGTCAAAATATAACAAAACAAAGCTAAGATACCTTCAACTGAACGTATCCTTGTCTTTTCTGGCCGGTTTAAGTGGCATTTTGTTGAGTTTTGCAATTGTAGGTACTATCCACTAAAGAAGAATTAAAGGCTGGCTACAAAACAAACAGACCATCTCCACGCGCCTTCACACGAAGGGCTATAAATTCGAGAATAATCGACGAATCCGCTCCAAATAACCATCGGCTAATCTGCAGGTAACGCGTGCTCCTGATTCTGGCTCGCTTGCTCCACAAAACCCATCGCAACTGCACAATAATTGCTCGCTCATCAACAACCACTGTTGACCTTTACGCTTCGATATGACCGCAAACGACCAGGTATAATACGCGACGTGAATATTCAAGCTTAGCGACCGCGTTCGCGCAACAATGCAGCACTTGCTATGGGAGGGATGGTACTATTGCTTCTAGGTCAATCGACTGACCGAAGGTTCGCTTCGTTAGTTTTGACCAGAAAACAAAAGACGATCGCGGGACTGTCCGTAAGTTTTCAACAGGGCAGCCCTGCTTTTCAAGTTCGAATTCTTCTAACGTTCGCTGTCTCAGCTGCTGTCACATTGTTCGTCCAGCCGCTTGCATAGGTTCTTGACTCTACCAGACTTATTTGCTTAGATTAACAACGTCTTACTCCATAATATGTTGTCCAAACTGGTGAAGGAGGGCGAGAATTTTCCGCCCAAGAAAAAGGCAAAATCTGGCCCCCGCTACGCAGCTGAATAGAAGATACAGCTGAAGATATCGTAAAGTAAAATTTATATGCGCGATATCTTTTATTATTATTATTATTCTCAAAACTCAGGGGCACCCAACGATGATTTCCCCCTAAATGCATTGAAAACACATTTAAGGCTGTCCAGAGTACTTTTGACCGAAAAATGCATTCTAAACAACACTTACATAAATTTAGTCAGGAGGGCTAAAAGCGAAGCTAATGATTTATAGTTTGCTCATACTAAATATAAAAGATATTGTGTAATGCTAAGCGGAGAAGGCAACGAGACAGGGCCACCCAACGACTGTTTCCTCAAATACGTTCAATTAAAAACACTTTTGTAGCTATTCATAAAGTACTTTTAGCTCTATAGAAATGCATTCTAAGTGGCGCTATAAAATTTGCATCTCAGTGTTCGGCCATTCTAGAGGAACTTGAGTCTTTTCGAAATTACGAGGAATTCCGAATTATTTTCCCCAAAATTTTAGATGCAATTTAACGTATTACGAAGGAGATAATTTTTCAGATACCTTCTTTCATCACATTTTTGAATCCGAAAATTTTAGGATTCCATTTTACTCTCTACGGAAAAAAGCCTAACCCGGTGAGTGAAATGTGAAAAATTAAAAGTTGGATGCCCTTGACCAGAACTGTGAAAAACAACAATAGGTCTAATTGCAGCACACTTTCTTGTACATTTCCTTGCCGTTGATTTGCATGACTGCAACGTGAAACGTCCAGAAAACTTGCTGGTTTTCACTTTTTATGGAGAAAATGTGGTACATGTTTTTGTTCACTTTTCCACTGCCGCTCATTTTTTTTTAGCTCCGCTATAAGATTCGTATCTGTTCGGTGCTCCTAGGACAAATTGGATCTTTTTAAAAATTACAAGGGCTTCAATATTATTTTCCCGATTGATTGACCTAGAAGCAATAGTACCATCCCTCCCATAGCAAGTGCTGCATTGTTGCGCGAACGCGGTCGCTAAGCTTGAATATTCACGTCGCGTATTATACCTGGTCGTTTGCGGTCATATCGAAGCGTAAAGGTCAACAGTGGTTGTTGATGAGCGAGCAATTATTGCCCAGTTGCGATGGGTTTTGTGGAGCAAGCGAGCCAGAAGCAGGAGCACACGTTACCTGCAGATTAGCCGATGGTTATTTGGAGCGGATTCGTCGATTATTCTCGAATTTATAGCCCTTCGTGTGAAGGCGCGTGGAGATGGTCTGTTTGTTTTGTAGCCAGCCTTTAATTCTTCTTTAGTGGATAGTACCTACAATTGCAAAACTTCTCAAAATGCCACTTAAACCGGCCAGAAAAGACAAGGATACGTTCAGTTGAAGGTATCTTAGCTTTGTTTTGTTATATTTTGACTTTTGGACTATTTTAGTCCATGGGAGTTTCGACGACTCATCGCATTAATTTGTCCATGTGAATATTAATATATTCATTCAGTGACACATACTACGTCTGGGCCGCCTGTGGTGGATACAGCTATCGTCCACACGTATCCGGTGTATCCGGCAGACGAATCCGCAACTTTTTGAATCCGCTTTCCATAGTGGACGAATCCGCTATGAATCCGGGATCGTGTGGACGCTAAATCCGGCTATTATTTTCTATTGACGTTACAAGCAGATCGAGTCAAGGGCCTGTTTCGCGAAAGTCCCGGTAACTGTTCTGGGGCCTGTTTCTCGACTTTTCGGGGCCGGAGGCAAATTTTGAAATCAAAACCAGTTGAATGGTAGCAGAGTTCCTAGCTCACAAATCGCTCAATTTGGCTTCGTTAAGTGATAATTTCATTATATCGTTTCAAAATTATTGAAACTTTGATCTTGAATGCAAACATAAAACAGCTTTTAGGCAGTAATTTTGCAAATTGTGTTTCATTTGTTTTCATTGAAGGTATGGCCCGTGCCCGTTAGAAACGCCATTCACTTTCTGAACGATCATCATGCACAAACAGTCATAAAGCGCGGCTAGAGTATTACATGTATATTCACTCATCTATTTATTCATACAGTTGCAAATGGGAAAAACATGATTGCTACTACACCATTTCTTGCAGTCGTGACTATGGGCAATGGGCATCAATGTGATTATTCCGGTCACGTGACCAGGGCTCATTGCTGTTATTATGACTGCTAATAACTTTAAAGGATTTGTAAGGAACTTAAAGCCTGCCAATAACCTGTTCTTAGAACCTCGAACAGGCTGAGTTGCCAAACGCTGAGGTTCGGCTATTTTTAATTTCGGAAATTTTTGGACATGCTTAGAGATAGAATTCTCATTATATTGCATTTTTCTATTCACACGTCTAATATAACATATTGCCTTTTTAATTCATCAGTTGTGGCGGGGATGGGTTTGTGGTCTATAATAATTAATAATTATTCACGCTATTAATGCAGTTATTATTTTTTTACCGGGCTTTTAAAACATGCCTCCTCCTCCTCCTCGTTACATACCGTATTAACTCGATAAAACGCCGCATCGAAAACGCCAAAAATCAATGAACACGGCGGAGTTTAATCAAGTAAATACGGTATTTAATTAACTTTCACTAAATATAACAACAGTGAATTAGAAGGGCTCTATGCAAATAACTATAGGATAAAAAATCTTCTGAAATGATGCGTATTTGGGCAAACTTTTTTACGTAGTTAACTCATACTTGTAACCCTGATCAATAAAGGAACCATATGATAATGTGGGTAAGATAGCTTTAGAGTATATGTCCCGTCAGGAGCCGATTATCGATCGGCTCCTGGTCCCGTATTATATTCTGATTATAAAGATTTTTGGTTATTTACCATAATTAAGGAGACCTTTTCATTCTTGCAGGAAAAAAGGTACATAAATGGCATGGATGTTTTAA